AAGTTTTGAACGATAACGCTGGCTACGGTGTGACTGCACGGACAATCAATCATCAATCAACAGTGCTCGGGATAGCGGTGGTCGATGTTAAATAATTATAGAATCACTTTTCCTGAACCCATTCCATAGGGACAATTTCCTGAACCTGTTCCATAGTGACGAGTTGTGTACAACTTGCCGACAGTTGTTAGACAATTAGACCCTTGCGACACTGTGCAAACGTAGACGAGCAGGCGCGTAACCAGAAAATTTTTTGGGGGGCGGTGGGGGACACCCCTTTAATATGGTCATTTTTCGCTCTATATGCCACAGCGAAAAAGATTTGGGGAGGGGGGGGGGAGAGGAGGGCACCAGCTTGGTGTGCCACCCCTGGCTACGGCCCTGGAGCCGAGCGAGAATAGACTTCGAAGTGCTAAGAATTGCCATGGAATTTCATACCAAAGTATGAAACTCTGTGGGCCAATCAGAAAAGCGTTATCGAAGGGTATACACAGGACGCAATGATCTCAAAAGGCGTTGAATTGCCGTAAGGAATCAGCAGAATAGCAAAACGTGAATACTTAAGACTTTCGAGTGACAGACTTGTGACTTTGGTCGTCGCAGACGTTTAGAGGGGCCATTATTTTTTTTTGCGCCATTGAAACCAAAAAACAAAACAAAAAAGACTATGTTTGAGTTGCATGCGATGTCATTGAAAGGGCAGATTTTCTTTTGAAAATCTTCATCGGCATATAGAAAGAGAAAAAAGCAACAACTAATGAATTTTGATTTCGAAGAGCGGAAGGAAGGTCATTATTAGTAATAACGAGATAGACAGGAGGAATACAGAAATGGCAGAGAGGTTAACTATTCTACGTTCAGTTTTCTGCCATAAACCGGGGGAGTGGAATAAAAGAGCATGTGTCGTGAAAAATTATGAGAAAGACGGAATGCCCCTCATAATTTACATAGCGGTGTCCCTGAGAGAATGACAAGCGAAGAGTCAGTGACTGATTGACTACGCTGCGAAAATAAAAATAAATAAAAATCAGTGGCCGTGTCTGTGGCAGAAGTTGGCCGCACATCGCTGAACCGAAATTGATGCTCGAGCTTTTCTTGTCTTTCTTTTTTTAACTTTTGTCTCTTTCGGGTACTCGTGCCCCATAGCTTCCCACAGAATCGAGGGCAATATTCTATGGGGAGCTATATCAATATCCTTCAATTATACCTTTCTCTATCTCTCCCTCCTTTCTGGAGACCTTGCAGACGGGACTTTCAGCATTAATAACTCCCAACAAGTATCGATTGCTTCCACTTCAACTGGAAATGTTTCCAGTTCAATCTCAGCTTGAACTAGTTGGTCTCTAACTAACTGGAACCCAGTTAAACTGGAAGATTTTTGGAACGAGTTGATTCCGAGTTTGTTTCCAACTGGAACCAGTTCACCCCAGTTTATTCCAGTTAAAACTGGTTGCATACCCAGTAATTGACACATTTTCACCTGGATTTGTAAAGACGAAAAAAAAGTATATCTGGGGCTGCATTTCTGACACACAACGATGATCGTCGTTTACCTAGCTTGATTCCTTTGCGTTATATCGCCACTCGCCGGGCGATTACAGGTCATAACGGGCGTGCGTCTGTCAGCGTGATATATAAGTCTCTTGATGGGGCATTAGCGGGCACCCACTTTTCGAGAAAGTTGACTCAAACAAACCAAGTGACTATGGTCGCTGTGTGGCAGAAAGATGCCCCGAACGTTCCCGTTTGACTTGGAGTACGTATACGCACTGTAAAAACTGATGCACCATTTGGGACGCATTTTTGCCACACAGCAGATATCGCCATTTATTACGATTCATCTTGTCAATGACCATTGACAAGATGCCCCTATAGTATCAGTTTTTTATTTTAGTTTTTTTGCTCAGAATTCTGACGTACGACTCATGAAGATTTTTATCTATTCGAAATGCGTCGCTTTCCCGCGCGTAAACTGCTACAGAAGAAGCGCTCAAAAGATAAGCTTTGTTTATGACATTTATTGTTTATAGCATTTGCTGTTTATGACATTTACCGTTTATGACATTTACTTCTGCGTGCTGGTTCATTTGTTACATGTACTTTCAGTAGCTTTCACTGGGTTTTTCCGCACTCACGGCCGCATTCATTCCCCACCAGGTGGATCACGGAAGCGTTGTTGGTTAAAAATGGCAGCCGAGTGTGATGCGAACGTGAAGCAAGGTATGTTTTAGAATTCATTTCAGTGGTAGTTCCAGTATCTTATTACGTAGATTGTCGTTCTTGATTGTAAGCATTGGTCTAGCCTAACAGTCTTTCATTCGCATTTGCGTCCTTTGTAATGGAATCGCCTTGAATATTCCGCCGTCGCTCAACTTCAGTTCGTGCTTCCTGAGCTAGCTTTTGTTTTAGTAATAAGCGCGTCGCGACGCTGTTTCAAGGTTAAGTGGGTTTATTGTCCTACGTAGCTCGATAAGGAAAACTTGTCTCAGTACGCGTGTCGGTCCTGGGCAGTGTACCTGAATGTCACTAATTTTATTTTCCGAACTAGCACACCGAAACTTCGCCAGTCGGTCGACGCAATGCTGTGCGTCACAGATCGCGACATTTTTTCCCTTTGAATGAAATCACCCAGCCAGTCGGGAGATGGATCGCTGGCATTTCTTAACTGAGACCTTCACTAGCGTTTGTCTTCGTTGACCATGTAAAAAGAAGAATATTCGTGCTTTCGTACCATAACCATACACACAAATGTGGGTTTTGGTTGTGCGTAGGCGCCGCGCGCAGGATGGCCGTCAGCTGTAGTTCGGACGCCCGTACTTTGACCCTTTTTGGCGCGGTTTAATGGCGAGTTGGATGAACAGAGCGACCGCGTGATGTGTCGAAAGGTCGGGTGTTCCGAAGTCTTTTTACGCAGCGTCACCGACCTTGTTTTTCGAACTGCGCGGAACAAAAAGGAAAGCGCCGATTGCGATGGTAACCTAAGTCGGGTTCTTGGTGTCGGGGTAATACGACTAGCAAACGATTCGTGCCGCATCTTTCGCACAGGTGCTACGTTCCACCTGCGTCATCTGTTTCTGGTCGCGTCCTTGTCGCTTTCATTGGCACACATATCTAAGCGCACAGCGGTTCCAGTCCTTGGATGACCTCGTTTTCTGTAATTCATTGGCCAAAACTTTCCCAGCAGCGGAAGCCTCTGTTACTTTAGGTCATTTTATTGAATTTTTCGTCCTTAAAGGGCAGCCGATTACGAAGGAAAACTATCCGTTTTCGTAAGGAGCATACGAAGCATCTTCTGGAGTGTGGCACCAAAACCTGACCAGTGTCTCGCAAAATATTTCTTTTCTTGTTTCTTTGAAAGACCTTACAACATATTACCGAGGAATACCGTTCAAAGTAACGAAAGAGTTTTTTTTTTTTTTCGGTAACATTGGAAGAGTTCTCTACATAAACACCGATGTTTTCCATTGAAACTGTGTTTTGAATTCATTGCTCATACAAATTAGAAGTAAGGTAAAACAGTGTATTCGCCTCTATTTGTAGGTTGACAGGCTGGCTGGCTAATATTTTGGGGTGTCACTTTCTGCGAAACAGTTTTAATCTTTTTTAGACTTCAGTGATGAATCGTACTATCACTCGTACACACAGAAATTTTAAGGATTGCTGAGAAATCACATGCTAATTCACCGTTGTCTGCGACCTTCATTTTCGAAGGATAGTCCTTTGAATAAGTTTTTTCATGTAATGTAGTGTTTGACTGCAATTGCTTGGCAACTTAAGATTGTTAAGCTTTGCTAGTCCCTTTAGCTGCCGTAAAAGTATATAATCTGTATGTTGTATCAGCCTCGCGAGGACTTGGGCCAGTATTCATAAACCAACCTCATCCTTGCCACAAGATTTCCCTATCAGTTTTACGCCTTTATTGCTCTTGATCTACAAAATGAGTTAGTAGTCATGAACCAATCTTGATGTTATCTTTTACCCTGTTACCATTCTTGTGCCCTTATGTGGAATGTAGAGAGTACAGGAACTTGAGGAAAAACGGAGGTTTGGCCAAGGTTGGTTTGTGAATATCGGCCCAGTCCCGCGATTCATAGCCATGCTCACCTCGTGACATTATCTATAAACACTCTCGCAATAAAATGAAGTGATGAGGCTAAGAAAAACCTAATGATGAAAATTAATTTCGAATGCTACACTTCATTGTTTTGTTGCTTTGAAACGTAAAGCCTCATAAACCAATGAGCTGTATGTCGTAAAATTATGCATGAAGAATTTATGAAAGAAAATGCAATATGTATTTTTGCTGCTTAGTAAAATGCAAGCAGTTGTGATGCGAGCATTGTGAACAGGGAACAGGCAAGAATAATTAATTTATAGCCACAACGCAAATATATGGCAACAGCTTTCTTTTAGTTGTGCGCACAGTTGGGCCCCTTCAGTGACATTGTATGTTCTCTATAAGCAGTGAAGCATTCTGTGAAAAAGTTGTAAAATATTGTATAGAGACAATGTAGAAAGACCCTATTTTTCATCCTAATATCTCAAATATAAGCTTTATTAGTTAAATATGCTACAGGGCTTTTGAGCCATTTAAGCCCTTTCCATACCAAGCTTTTTTTTTTTTTTGTAAAGCCATGGAAAATATTTCTAAACAGTTAATTCAGTGTTAATAGCATTTTTTATAGTGATGGTGTGGCAGCATAACTTCTTTTTTATTATCTTTTGTTCTTTCCTATCCTTTCCTGTTTCTGAGTGGCATACGGGCATGTACACAGAAAAAGGCTGATTGGAGGCTTCACCTGTCGTGGTAGAGTCTAGCGGGCTTTTTGTCATTCTCCATTCAGTTTGTCTGGTTAATTTAGGTAATGAATGATAGTTCAGTCTATTAAATAGGTACAGGGTTCCCAGCACTTTACAATCTTCTTAGAGGGACAAGCGGATCTTCTTAGAGGGACAAGCGGCTCCTAGCCACCTGAAACAGGTCTGCAATTCCCTTAGATGTCTGGGGCTGTACGCGCGCTACACTGAAAGAAGCAGTGCATCTTTATCCCTGCCTGACAAGGCGGGGAACCTGTGGAACTTCTTTCGTGATTGGAATAGGGGCTTGCAATTGTTCCCTTCGAATGAGGGACTCCGAGTAAGTGCAAGTCATTAGCTCACACTTCTCAAGTGCATGCCCTTTGTACACATTGCTCGTCACTACTACCGATTGCATGATTTAGTGAGGTCTTCGGACAAATGTCCGGCGTGGTCGTTCGGTTGTGCCGTTCTGTTGTAAAGATGACCAAACTTGAACATTTACTTTCTGTCATAGCAAGGAAAGGAAGTCTTGAAAGCACGGGCAGCCAACTGTTACTGTTGAGCTGAGTGAGGGGAGCTGCCAGAGACCCAAGCTTTTCCTTGCTGTTTTCACATCTTGGTTAGACCACAAGACAACTCATTAGAGTTACAAGTCCACATCTTAACTTTATGAGAAGGAATGACAAAGATCGCCATGTTTCATGAGGCTTAAAGGATCAGACATTGTTACTGGCTGCTGCAAAAAAAAAAGTAGTTTTCTGTGATACTTGTGCCATCATGTATCAGAGCAGCATGTTGAAATAATAAAATTACACAAACGTAATTGGCTCAACGAGAACAGGGCGGTACACAGGAATTTTTTTCATGGCGTGTTTATGTGTAGAACGGCAAACTGTTGCAACCGGTGGTCAATGTGAAGGCATGTAAATACTTTAGTATCACCCAAAATCTTAATGAATGAAAAAAATTCAGGGGTGTCACAACCCCCTCAGCTACCCCCCTAGTTATATCCCTGAGAGAGAATCATTCATGGTGTGGAAAGATTTAGCTTGTATGCTGTTGAAGATGAGCTCACTTGGTGTTAGAGTGTCATGTTTAAATGTGATGAATTCCTCATGGCAGTAGTCATGGCTAGTTCCTCTGTTTTGTTGACACACTGAGTCACATTAAAGTGAAAAAGACAATTTTATAATGCAACAACATATAGTACTTTCTGTTGTTGCACTGTGATTATTTCTAGCATGGTAGCCTAAATTAGAGTGAAACTGCACAAAGTGAACTTGGTTAAACAAATAAAGCAATACACATGGCAGCAATTGTGTGCCTCCCACTGAACATGTTTCTGTCCATGTTTATATAACTGCTTTTTGTTGTGTACAAACTTTGTGAACAGCAGCAAAGAAAGTGCACATTCCTGCCTAATCTTATTAGCCGCCCTTGTAAGAAACCCGCAAGTAGCAAGAGAAAGCAACAGCAGAGCAGCAATAACTGGTACTATCAGGTAGAGCACTTTTGGATTGGTAGTTAGTGTTCTTTCGACTTCTATTATATCTGGCTGCGTGCTTCTACACTTGAATTTTGCCGCAACGTGGAGGTAACAAGCCCCAAACAGCCACAGTTCTTATTAGTCCATTGACACAACCCAGGTGTTAAAATTGTGCCAAAACAATGCGGTGAAGCCTTATACCATTCTGTTTTTCTATTCTGCTTGTCCCATCAGCGGAGACCGTGTCAGTGCCTTCGAAACATGCGAGAGGGAGCACGAGACGATCATTGCTGATTCTAGGGATCACATTCCTCTCTTCACTGATGTGCCTTCTTCTAGTCTACTGGAATTTCCCAAAGCTGGAACCGTGAGTACCGTGCTGGAAGGAACGATTGGCCAATCTGCAAAGCTTTGCTCTAGCCATGAACAATCTTTAGGCATTCTCTTTTAACTCGAATGAGAAATTTAAAAGGAGAAATTTAAAAGCAGTAGAGAGGAATTCCAACTGGTCCTTATCCGTAGCCTGGAGATAAAATAGTTTGGCAAGTATGAAAGCTGAGTTTCAAAATTTTGCAGAAAGCTCGTTCTTACACCCAGGCTGTGAAGGGCACGTTAGGGCTAAAAAGTTGCGTAGCTTAACCAGTGTTTGGTTTTATTTGTGTTGAGCATGTGCTTGTCATTGAGGGAAGAACAAGAAATATGCGAGTACTGTACGCCGCAAACATTGCCAGCCAGTGCGTGGAGTTGTGGTGAGAGTGTAGGAAAAGTGATGTCATTGCTGCACCTATGAAAATTTATTGCCTGCTCATGGTGGAGATGCATTTACTCGGTGAATGCTTCTGCACGCATTCTTACAGATACGTTGGGGCAAGATTTAGCTGCACAGCGGCATACTTAATTAGAAACAGCGCACTGGTTGCTGTAACTATGTTGCAGGGCTGACTAATTTGATACCCACATGTTAGCATTACCAGCTGCGACAGGTCTGGCAATCTGTTATGTAGTGCAAGCTGAATGTTATGAAAAGCACTAGAAACCGTGCTGACTGGTGGTTTATTATGGTTTCGCGTTACTACTGCAGAGTTGTGGTTAGACACGAAAGATCGTTTTCATTTGTGACAAGCGTGGAGTGTTGTTGATGCTGCCGATTGATGATTTTATCTATAGGAGGGTATTGGAAACAGTATAACACTTGCATTGGAAGCGTCGAGGTACTTCAATGAGTCCTGGTCGGTTTAAATAAATCTACGGCCTACTGACTTGCGGTACAGTCGACTGGTCGTTTCTGAGCGCTCAGCAGGTGCTGGAAAAAATTTGTAAAATAGCAACTAACCATTGCTACTAAGATTATCATGTCCAAATATTATCTGGAATGAGAAAAATTACTTGCATACCTGCATGTTCTTGTGGAAGACTTAAAGCTATTGAATTCAACACCTTAAAACACACTCTTAGACGACCAGTCGAATGTTGAATTAGTGTTTTCCATTGTCTGTGTATTTGTTTTGGATGATAAGCCTTATTGAATAATGAGTTATTACTAAAATGAATAATTATTCAGTTACCTACCTATTGATGTTCTCACATTACTTGTCTTGCCCCACATTTCAGCTCTGAAAAGCAGCACATCAAGCTGCCGCGAGACATAGAGGATGCCAAGGGCTTGGGACGGGTGCTCAACAGATACACAGATCGTTATTTCTTCACCGTCACGTCTGGCTTCTTTGTCACCTACATCTTGTATCCTTTTCACTGGTGTGCCCTGCTATTGCTAAGATACCTTGGCCAACGTTGCTTGCAGTCTGGACTTGGCTATATTTGTTGGCCAAACTGACTCGGGACAGGGCGGGTGTGCACCAGCTACGCACGTAGCTTGGTTGTGCTTTGGCAGGCATATTGCTCCTTGCTTTATCTGCTGCCTGCTGTGTGTAGAGTCACAGTAGCACAGTACAGCCTCATAAGTGTTGCGGCTGCCACCTGGTACCACCGTGTGTTTGTGCAACGGTTGTCTGAACTGAAAGTCATGGCCAACATATCCAAAGAAGAAAGGAATAGAAGAAGCTCTAGGTGAAGACTCATTCTGACAAATATTGCTCAGTTGTCAACAATCTGTCTAGCTTCCAGCGTGCTTGCCAGGATAAAAGAGAGGTGCTTGTTGCCTGTGATAACTACCTTGCAACAACACTTATACTTGATGTACAAAAAAAATAATAATTCTTGTGGCAAAATTTTAAAGCAATGAAATCTACTAATGATGTCATGCTGTGATTGCTCGGACATACCCACGTCAGTCTCTAAACTTTACTATGAGACATTGCTGTACATGTGCTTGAATTGCAAGCCTCAGCTTGCTTTTAGGGACGCGCTCAAGCCCGCATATCTTGAGTGGGCAGTGTACAACTGGGGACTCGTTCCTTAGTTGAGGTTGCCTTATAAGTGATCATTTTGTCTTGGCATGCATAGAGAAGTGTCGAGCTTGAAGAAGGGAGAGAACGAGTGTTTTTCCTTGACATAAGTGCGCAGCTTGCAGTCCTTTGCGATTCCAGGCTCCATCTTCCTCAGCATCCTCTCTGGCTTTCTCTTCCCGTTCCCGTTGGCACTGTTTCTCGTTTGCCTGGTAAGTCGCCTAATTATCTTGCTTTGTGTGTGCTTTTACGGTATTGTTTCATTTCCTTTGGAGGTTTCTATTGGTTATGTGGGGAATTGAGGAAATATACTTGGATACCTTAGATGTTGAAATATAATGACAATAATAAATGGACAATAAGGTGAAATGCTGTATCAGTTTAAGTTACTCATTAATAATTCATTAGTAACTTTATTATTAATAATTTTGTAATCATAGACTCGGTATGTAAGGAGAGCATAAAAGTCATGTCTGTTTTTTTTTAATTTTATGTGTGTGTTATGTAACTTCCTGATTCCTTATGCTGGTTGAACTGTACTGAGCTACGAGCTACTCCAGTGTCAGCTCTTTAGTAATAGAATCTCACCCATGTGTTTGATTTCGGGAGATATTTTAGGCAGCACAACAGCAGCACATTTCTGTGGACTTGAGGCTTCTTCTTTTAATCGGTAAGAACGTCTCTGTAGCAGCAACGCATCTATGAGCTTGCTCACTGCCAATGGCGAATTCACAAGAGGTGTTTTTTGTATAGTATCTATGAAAACTACAATATCACATGGTGATGTGCCGGCCCCATCAGCTCCAATCGGTTCATATGTCAGAGGGAAGTCTGGTTGCTAATTTCGAATGGGCATGCCATATATAAAATTCATGACTCAAAAGAGCACAGAAGATGAATTACAGTACAATTGGTATGCCACCCTTCAAAGATGCCAAAAAAACATCATTCTTGTCACAAGAAGGTACTTGATATGCCAGCAAATGTGCGGAGACAAATAAGACATTGCCCTGAAGTTCCTGTAGCAGCTCACCGTGGTGTCGGATTTTGGTGTTTTTTGTCGGTAATTTTTTATCATAAAAGCGAATTGCATTTCGTCATTCTGAAGGAGCCAAAGCCATGATATAGGAAGCTCCACAAAATTGAGCTTCAGTCATCAAAATGCTAGTCTTTGAAATTCATGAGTTCAACATTCAAGTGCTATGGTTTTAGCATGTAATTCAGAAATGATTCTTGGATTTTCATTGTCTTCTGGTTATGAATCTATGGTGGCAAAGTTATATGTCGGAGTTCTTGAAGCAATATTCCCTCTAAACTGTCTCTCCTTTAACATATCACTTGCCCTTTGAAATCGGAGCTCTAAATAATATTAGATTGTGCTTCTGTAGTGTTCGGCGATGGGAGCGTCATTCTGCTACTTCTTCTCGTACCTGGTTGGGAGGCGCCTGGTGTTTAAGTACTTTCCCGCCAAAGCCATGAAGTGGTCCGAGCAGGTAGGAACGGTCGTCAAGTCATGATTGGAATACCTGTTTGGAAGGTATTGCTTATAAATCTATAACAGCAGCTGCCTGTTCACGAGGATTCTAAGTCGTCATAAGCATATTGACAGAACTCTTAAGCTGCATTTAAATGGTCAGTTGAAGTTTGCATCCCCTCACCTCAAAGAGGGGGTGCAAGTGTGCATATCAGCTATCTCGCTACATTGTGACCACTTAATGATGTTACCCCAAGCAAGCTTACAATCAGTTTTATATATTGGGAGTGCGAACCTATTTTTTGCAAAAGAACTTAAACCGATTTACAAAAGAATGAAAACAAGACATGGGGCTTTTGGTCTGCAGTCCTTTGTTTAGGGCTAACCAAAGAGGCAAAATTTAAAACCCTCCCATGTTAAATTGCATGTCTTGCATTGGAATGGGGTGTTTTTAAGAGCTGTGTTTGTCGGCATGTGTGTGATTCGGCATTCACTGGGCTGCCTTTTCCTTTTTCTTGCTGTGCCTTGGATGCAGGTGGGGCGGCATAAGGACAACTTGCTCAACTACATGATCTTCCTGCGCATCACGCCTTTCCTTCCCAATTGGTTCATCAACGTCACAGCACCCGTCATAGACGTGCCTATAGCCCCCTTCTTTCTAGGCACATTTGTAGGTAAGGCTTGCCAAATACTTCTTCCACTTGTTCGTGCGCCATCAGCACAAATCAGGCGAAATCAGTTCAGTTAGTGAAACCAAGTTTGGGGCTGTACAACTGTGCAGTGCTGTTGGCCTTTAAAGGGAACAACATAGTAGCGTGTACCTTACACTTTACGGTAGCTCAAACTTCAAGTGCCAGTAATGACTACATCAGTGCACTGCTTTGGGGTACAAAAAGGTGCCAGTATTTGCAGTTAATGCCCTGCAAAGAGTAGCAATTGTACGTTTATGATGGAAAAAAAATATTGCGGGCTGTGCACTCGTGTGTTCCTTTTAGAGTTGGAATTCCCTGGCATTTCTCCCTACATGCAACTTTGTCCAGAGCAGCTGTGGAGTTCAAATTATTCAGCAGTTTCAGTTAAGAGATGTGGAATTATAGAGATTTTACTGTGCCTGTACAGTAGACTCCTATAAAACGAAACTCTCTTAAAATGAAATTGCTGCTTAAATGAAACAACTACCACTAATATGTTTGGTTTCGTACTTGAATATTGTACCCCTGTTTATCTCTCAGTAAATGAAACTCCTCTTAAAGAAAACACACTTTTCGTTTAAAAGGAATCTACTGTAGCTTGCTCATAGTTGAAGAATTGAAAAATGTTTTTGCAGCAAGGGTCTATGAAGCAGTTTAGTCCAGTAATGGTGTCACCTTGTGATTACCGATAAAGGCATTTGAGGTCTCTTTCAAGTGATGTTATGACTTCTCAAAACCATATTTAGTAGCAGGTGCCGACATATTGTTTATTCGTTTTCTCTTTTTCTTCCAGTTAGCTGTCTTTCAGGTAGTAAGTCGTAGGTGTGCGGCTACCCCCTGAAATATACATATGGAAATAAGGCGTCGAGTAACTAGAATCCTCATCACTCCACCGCAGACCAATCACTTTGGCCGACTTAAAAAGCCTCTGGTGCATTTGCTTTGAACGCATCAATTTTGCAACATCTTTTTTTATTTTACTAGAATCACTGCTAAAACACAAAAACATGTTGAAAGGCATTTCGGCTGGATGAAGCTCGTCAAGATTCTGATACCATCGTATGTTAACTTGGTGTGTATCTAAGGGCCATTGTATTAACCTGTTACTATAAAGGTCTCTGTTAAAATCCCTACAATGGAGGCATAATGTGATGTGGAAGGTAGGAAAACTACCGCTCACTAGTATAGTAAGCTCCCCGTAAATGAAAATCTGTTAAACAAAACTGCTGCCTAAACGGAACAACTACCTCTGATATGATTGGTTGCGTGCGTGTATTCCGCACCCTTGTTTATCTCTCAGTAAACTGGACTCCTGTTAAATGGAGCGTATGTTACCGGTCTCTTTAGGCTCCATTCAATGAGAGTCTAGTGTAGTATGCTTCCTTCCTGTACTCGAAAGTTAAGCATTGTTGCCATAGTCAGTGTAGACTTGACATTTTGCCGTGATGCGGTGCGCTTGCAGGTGTAGCGCCGCCATCATTCGTAGCCATCCAGGCCGGCACCACGCTGCACAAGCTGAGCTCGTCCCGAGACGCAATCTCCTGGTGGTCCGTGTCCGTGCTGGCCGTCTTCGCCGTGCTGTCTCTACTGCCGGTGATCTTCAAGGGCAAGCTCAAGCAGAAAGTGCTCTAGTGCTCCCCTTCTCCTGGCCAGGATGCACATTCTCCACGCGTCTCTGCTGTTGACTCGCTGACGCCCGCCCAATTTGTTCTCTCGCGATTTTCTTTTGCGCCGCCAATTTTCGTGCTCCCACCCTTCCTCCGATCATGCCATTGACACTTGTTTTCCTGCTGTTAAACACAAAAAAATAATCTTTTTCCTGCAAAAAAAAATTTACTCCCATCTTTTGTCCGAAGACTTGTCCAGAGAGGTAGCAGCGCGTCTCTCGCTTGTTGGTTTTATTCCTTGCTGATCCTCTCTTGCACGGTACTTTCATCACACTTGGCTCTTCACCACCATTCCCTTGAAAATTGTGTGATGTCACAGAGAAAATCGATTTAAAGATGATTGGCTGTCTTTTTATTTTGACGTCACCTTTGTTTGTGCACCTGTCTACTATTGTCATTTTTTTTTTTGCTTTTTTCTCCGCTCAAATTTATACTACTAGCACAAAAAACCTTTAACGTCTGTGAGAATGCGAGGGTAATCGAGGCCGATGCAAGACCCTGCGTATTTTTGCCTTTCGGCTTTTAATGCACAATTGATAGGTTATGCTGTTGTTTTGTAATATTAGCACCGCATTCTTCGAGTGTTTGTTGTTTTGTGTGCTTTTTGAGGGATTTTTGTGTTTCCGAGAACTCAATATGAGCCTGGGGAATGAGTTGCACGTTTGTTTGCTATTTTTCACTTACTAGTCTAAGTGAAATCTCCTGGTCTGTGACGAGAGTTGCATCAGCAGTTATTGTGTGATAAATTGACGTCGCCTTTCTCCCCGCCTCTTTCCAAAGGGGCACAGCATTTTCTTTTGTGTGTGTGTGTCTGTTTGGCATACAGCTTTCAGATTTATCCAAGTAAACAGTATTCCTTTGTTGTTTTCTTGCACGTCTCGCTAACTTTTTTTTTATTCGCTTCATAACCAGGGTTGTTCATTTGCCTTTCTTTCTTTCGTCACGATTGAGACTTTGTCACTAGATTATTCTTGACTGCTTTGATCTACCGTTCAGTCTTTGAGGTGACCAGGTTGCTCGGATTATGTCTGCAGCTTTCGGTGAAGATAGCATGCTTCTGGACATGATCGCCCTTTTCAATCAACGCAGCAGATGTATCATGTGGCAAACCGGTAAAGCACACAACTCGGAAGTATGAACGCATGTTGTCAATGCAGTTTTGAGTAGCGACAATGCCGTAGCGACAATGCCATGCCGACACACCCAGTGACAATGCGCTGGGTGTGCTGGGCGCGTGCCACTTGGATAATTGCAAAGTTGTGTAATCTAGATTGCCCATTTTTTCGTGCGTATTTCTGCTTCGTCAGTGAATGAAACGGTTGATATTGACTCAACGCTGTAAGGCACGTGTTTTGGATTGTGTAGGCTCTTCTTTGTTAATACACAAGGTTGTAATAGCTTGGATGAACAAAAAAAAAAATTCTGCATGGTAGGCGCTTTGAGACCTAGCACTGTTGCCTACCAGGCTAGCAGTATGTAATGCATGTAAAGAGCGTGTATTTTTTAAGCTATCTGGTATACCAGGTGCAGCTGCTAATACTAAATTGCAAAAAACGAGGTGTGTTGTAAGGCTTGTGCAAAGTGTGTAAGAGCCATGACTGGTTAAAGGACTGATGGCAAGCGAAGTCTTCTAGCGGCTGATAAAGTCTATGTAGTGGTGGGGTTGCAGAAAGTGAGTGCGAACTAGATTAGCACACGAAGACCGAGGTTAAGGAGTAGCTATAATTATACGTTGCAATATTGCAAGTCTGAAAGCACTGCTCTGTACTATTTCAGGGTCATCACACCAAAGTTCCCACCACATCGTCAAATTAATTGACACGGGGAAGCCGAAGAAAACACACTCGATGAATGGATTCACTTCAAGAAACGTCAGAGTAATAACAGGAGTTTGACTATCACTTTTCTTGCTCTGTGCTACTTGTGGGATCTTTTAACTAAAGATAGTAGTGAGAGAGCACACTTTTCAATACCAGAATCTTTGTTACATTTGGGGACACGCTTTAAAAGCATTCTTTAAAAAAAAAAAAAAAGACATCTCTAAGTTGATCTTGGTATACTAAGTTTGATGTGATAATTTGACAAACTCCCATGAAATAGGCTTTACACAGTGAACACAAGTATTACCAGTACCGTACCTCCTGCCTACCTGTGACCCTAAACCAAAAGCTGCATGTGACCTCCTGTCTGACACCCTTAATTTAGTATGAAACTGTAGGCGCTATGATGAAAAATTTACTACTTGGTAATGCTGCAGTTACAAATAAACCTGAGCATCTTTTGTACGCACTTTATCAGAGCAAGACGAGCGTAAGATACGCAGTGAGGTACATGGCAACCACTGTCGGAGGTGAAGCATGGATTCAGCATTGCCTCTGTCCGCACTGTTTTGAGTGAGGATGCTCGCACTGGGCCTTAGCGCCAAGTCATCCGAGATGGGCACCTGTGTGCCCAAATACTTCAAGGTTGTGTAATCTTTGTCGTACATGAATGTGGTGTTTCGTCTGCATCTCTGGCTGCTGTTTTGTCTTTGTACGGTTGCAGAGGCTGAGCCGGTATGTCTATATCGCAGGCTCCAAAGCTTGTTGAAATCCATTTTGTGTTGATCCAGAGGGGGTCTTGTGTAAGTCTGTTGTTCAGGTCTGTTGTACGAAAGTAGTAGCCTAAATAGAAGGCTGATAAAAGAAAGCGTAATCATTTTTTAGCTCGTATTCTAAAGAAACTCACTGCGCTTTGCACTGCAGTGTACTATTACTGCAGTGTGCTGAAGTGATAGCATTCTGGGTTTGTATGCGTTCTTTGCCTACTCTGAAATGAAATAGTTGAAGAAAAGAAGGAAGCACCTTGTGTCAAAGAATTGCGTTCTCTTTTTTAGCGCTTACGAAGTGCTTTATTGACATTGCAAAGTTGCGACATTTCATGAAAGGTTGTACGCGTGCGAGTTGCATTAAGCTGTAACAAACACACCTTTCCAATGCTATATTTGTAAAGAAATTATATGTTCTCATTGTCCTCTACATTAGTGTAGCATGCCGGGAATGTGAATATTAGAGTCCCTGCATGCATTTTGTGAAACATGTTTTGAGAAAATTATGACCAACAAACTTAGGGCCCATTTCCGTTCATGGGTATTTTTTGTGAAACATATTTCTTTTGCTGACTCGGGTTCTGTTTCCAACCTAAGATTGTTTTTTGCTTGTTTTTTTTTTTTGCCAACTTTCCGAGACTTTTTACGCATGTATTCATGGGCGCAGTGCAGTGTTGTATGGAGCCGAGTGGGAAGCGGACAAAATTGCACAGGAGCAAGTGCAGTGATGTACACGCAGTGCAATTAGTGTCCGATGCGGAGGTTTTTAAAAAGTGCCAATTTCTTATCAGTGAGAGTGGTGCTGTACACGCTATTAATAGCATGCTTGTTAAAGCTAGCTGCACGAAAGGAACACTAAAAGTAGAGGAATATCTTTATACATCTTACATTTCTGTTGCTCACCGGAGGCAGAAACTAGTGAAGCTTTTGTAGCAGTCTAATCATGTAGCTCACATCACTACAAAGAATGCACAATTGAGCTTTGATAAATTTTGTTTGTACCATCTGGCGACATCTTGACGTGTAAAGGAAATAGGATGCAAGAAACGAGACCAGTGAAGCAGTGAGTCGGCAGGCATTGGCATTGTAGGAGTTTACCATCACCTTAGCTGAACAGGACAAAAGAAAAGAAAAAAATGCATCTGCACAACAGAGCTATTTGTCAGCTGTCTTCTGCTGGCCTATTGTTCTCTGCTCCTCTGACCTCAGTTATATGAAACAGAAAGATATTGCAAGTGGCAAGAATATTTCCTCGCATGGCCGTTTTACGTTTGTACTGTGAAGATTTTGCTGGGCTAAAACATGCAATGGTTAGTGTGGACAGACACTTTTCTAATGTATCATGGTTCAAAAAAGGAGTAGCTTCGAGAAAGCAGGCTTTATTTTGAACTTTAATTTGGTTCTGTGCTAAAAATCGGTACAAAGCATAACAGCTGTACTTCTCGTCCTGACCATTGCTCGCCTGAAGTGCCGTGTTTGAATTCCCTAGCTACAGGCAGCACTCTTTTTTGGAAGCACTGGTGGCTTCGAACAACTACAGCACTGGGCTCATGTTCTCTCTTTTTCTTTTCCTTCAAGTTCGAAACCCTGGACTCCCAAAGTGTGTTCTGCACGTCGTGCAATAACGAGATGATTTCTTTAGCACCATCACGGAAAAGCTTTGTACAAGAGAAGAAAACAAAAGACATTCCCTGGGGTGTGCCACCAGTCTGTTTTGTGAAGTGAATTTGTTGTATGTAGTGTACAGTAACAGTTTAATCAAAGTGCTCAGTGTTGTTAGACTTCAGTTTTCGACGTACTCTGAGGGGCGAAACGCTTCAAGTCCACACTTTCGATACCTTCTCAGCTTTCTTTCCTGTCCTTCACTTTTTGGTCTATGTTGTACGTTAGAATACAGTATTTCTCGAGCTCCTTTTTTTTTTGGCACTCTTTATTTTCATAGTTAGGCACTGAAAAACTAGTCACGACTGTAGCTTGTTTATATACGACAAAGTTTTAGCAAGATGCACGCAGCAAAAACTTATTATGCTCAACAGGAGCCTATGAGCTCCGTCGCTAGCTGTACGTTCCTAGTTCGAAAGTGACATCAGTTTCACTTTCATGGTTAAGGTAGCGGTCTTCGCAGCTAACATCTGTGCTACTAAAGCGCATCTGCCAGTGTTCACAGGTACACCTAAGTATTAGCCGATAGGACGTCGTCTTTTGGAACCTGTCGGAGTGTGTTGACGGCTGCCACTTTTTAACCAAGCAAACTATAAATGGAATGTTGTTTTTTTATCGCCCAGTTTATTACTAACACGTTGCTGTATCAATGCATCTTATTTTCTGCTGTGTGCGAGCTCTCTGCACTACCGCATCGCAGATTGGAAGTTGTACGCACACAGAAGCCGACTGCAGTGCTGTTGTGGAATTGCATATCGGTGTAAATTGAAGTTCGAAATAAAACGATGAAGTCTCAGTTGTGTTTGACTGGGAGCTCTCAGATTATGTATAAAAGGGGGAAAAAAAGAGACTAAAGAAACTGTTTTTCACCATAACAACTAGTTTATTAGCACTCAAACTTCAATAAAATGTCAAGAACTGTATGAAAAGCTGACTAGAATACCGCATGTGGTCTTAATAAAACTGAAAAAAAAACAAACAAACTTGGAACATAAAAGTAGCCTTGTGTCTAGAAATGGGATAACAAGCAGGAAGTGTCACATGCTAACACAAAGTCTCAGACTTCTCCACGAAAAATTGGCATAGCAAACACAGTTTATATAACACTATTTAGCGAGTAATGAAGACGTGGAATATTGCACATTGAGCACGTGCAATCCTGGTATTGGTAACTCGGCCAGACTACATTCACTCTTTGGCTTTTCGTTAGCTGTAAATGCACGAATCATGGAACACTCTTCGAAAGTAAGGCACCGTAATATAAACAAAACCTTTGTGTGTTTGAACAGTCTGAATAAAATACAACACTAAGATTGTGATTGTGCCGGCTTTCTGTTTAAACATGTGACGCTGCTAAAATGAGCTACACAAAAAGTAGCTCGTTTAGTTCCTGTTTGCTAAGTGGTTTCAAGTTTCTGTAATTGGCATCTTTAGCGGATTTTTCACTTCTGTAATTATGTGCGATACAGTTGAAACACTTTACAAAAGGCACTGGTGTAACGTACAATTGGATGTTAGAGAAGCCACACTGCCTGCATTGAAATAAGGGTTGATTGAAATGAAAACATGGTACGTACCATGCTTATGAAAGACTAAGGGACAAAACTGCTTTCTGGTGCATGTCTTCTATGAAAAAAGTGAGCTGTATGCTTTTACGAGCTTAAGCCGTTTCTAAACATTAGGGTTACCTCATTAAATACTGTGTTCCATGGTCCAATTAATCAAGAAAAAAAAGGCAGAGTTTTGCCACTAAAGTGAAAAAATGAATGAGATGGCAAGAAACTAAAATATCACACGAAACGACAAGCTTATCAAAACTTTCAGCACGCTGCTGCAGCACAAAGAAGGACACTCGAAAAGAACGCATAGGTATAATAACCCAGGACAAGTGTGAATTAACAACTGCCGTAGTTGTTACGTGTTTGTATTTAAGGAGCGCACTGAAAATGCCCGCAATTCGAAAGCCAACGCTATTTCATTTTTCTTTATTTTAAACAGCCGTGAAATGATCCCTCTGCGTCTCCTGCCACGCGGTGGCGTTGAATGCCTAGTGTGCCCTATGTTCCCCCCCCTTTTTTTTTTCAGTGCTACATCCTGAGTGTTACTGGAGGGGGGCCACTTTTTCTTGCGCGTCTCAAGGGCAGTTTTCAATTTGAAAGAAAATGTGAAAATGTTGGTGATAGAAAATACGCTCGAGCTGTTCAGAGATCTGCGTACTGCGAGTGGTAAATGTTGCGTGTGAATAGCCCGCCGTTATACCACCGACACAAGCATGGCAAATGGCTATGTTGGCTAGTGCAGTGGGCTGTGGAGCGAGGGGTTGCTGGTACGGTGATATTTTTTAGACTGTCTGCTCATTCTAAAGCTATGTTGCTTTAGATTTTTTTCTACTGATTAGTTTTTTATGCCTTTTTTTTACATATATAAGTACATATACATATGCGAAACACGACGGCAATAGCAAAAATGAGCTGAGTGTGTCCGTATAATTGTTATTGCAATAAAAAAATCTTTCTTCTCTAGAAGCAGTAAGTATTGGCACACGGGCAAAATTAATTGTACACATGTCAAACACTGTAGCAGCAGTCCTTGTTTGTTGTTTCAAGTCTCCAGAGGTAACTGCCACAGGCAATATTGCACATTTCATGGTGACTGGTGCAAGTAATTGCACATTTGCTTTGGAAAAAGCCATCACATCCCCCCCCATATTTTTTAAAATCTTCAAAATGATGGAATGTCGCACTTGCCTCTAACAAGGCTTCCGGAGGACATAACTGGCTGATATAAGTTCACTGCAAAGAGCCACAAAGTCAACAATCTTGTTTCATCGGACAGAGATTGCTAAACGTGACTATTGGTGTCGAGGTGTACAACAGGCATGTGCAAGAACATCTAGGTTTGGGGCTGCTGAAAAGCCAAGACCAATGAAGCCAGCAGATTGAATGAAGTACAGTCGACCGCAAAAGTTTACAGACCACGCGAGCGCATGGCCGAAAGCCTCTTCGCGATAATTCTGCTATGTCAGCGGTGGCTCGACAGCACCGTAGCGCCCTGAAAGCATCCCTCCCATAATCGATGGCCTGTCTCTTTTCCGACTGGGTACGATTGATTTTCACCTTTCGCTTTTCAACCCGACGCACTTTTGACATCTGCGTCTACGAGCTTCTGCCTGGAATGCAGTCCATCAGCATAAATGTTATCAGTCGCAATTTTTATCACAAAGTGACACCCAGCCAACAGAATGCCGGTTGAGGCACGCCGTGATAGTTATGATCCTCCTATGAAAACAGCAATGTGATGGTCATACTGCAGATAATCTCTTCCCGTGAAAACTGCGAACTAACAATGCGCTACACAGCAGAAGAAAACTGAAAGGCCAGTGAATAAGAAGACCCATTCCTGGCCCAGAACTGCGGTCGACGGTAGATGGCGCACTGCAAGGTGGCGCGGACAGGCACTTTGGCACGCACTCGCGTGGCCCACAAGCTTTTGTGGTCGACTGTCCAATGCAAGAGGCTGTAAGTAAACTTGTGAGAAGTCAACGTTTTGTTGGCAATCCCAAAAAACATTCGTGGCTAGAAAAGTACAGGTAAAAGTGTGTGGGGCACTAGCTTTGTGTTATTCGGGATGACTTCCATTTGATATTTTAAGGAATTTTCAAACGAAACGGCTGCATGTATGCAATGACTCATGTTTGAAGCCAGCTTAGATTCAGGCAAATATGGTGCATATGAAGGGGTATAAAAAATAATAAAGCAATGCTAATTCGAAGGATCTGGGCATGGCCCCCACTTATGGCAAGATATGTTATTTCATCCACAAATTATTTACCACTTATGTCATCAGTACTACACTAAACTTAAAAATAAAAAACGTCTCATATGTTTTCCTCGGCTGAATTGTTCATTTCATTCATTAAGCTGTGCCCAACAAAAAATAATAAAAATAAAAAGCCCCTTAGTCAGCTCACCCTATTTTGTGCAATATGGTGGAATTCAATACATTTGATAAGATTACACTGCATCAATATTGACTTGTTGCACCTTCAGGTGGTTGGCTGCCTTTTAGTATATCAGAACCTGCCAAAACGTTACTGGTCGACGATGGAACCTCCCTTAAAACAGGTAGCGATACATTTTGAAACAATTACCTGATAGCACGAAAGAATTTGCATTCATGCCATGGCAGAGTTTGTGCGAAACCTTCACTGCTATATTACACCAAATGCAGTGTGCCGCATTAAGTTATAAACGTACCCATCCCTAATTTCACACTGGACACCAACATCGAGACATTTATTCTGGTGGCTTGAGTGACCAGTCGCTTTAAAAAAATCAAGGAATATGTCCCGATAATGTCAACTTGCACTGCCTGCATTTACAGGTAGTACATTTGGGTCTTTGATAGAGAATTATGAGACAGTGTCATAATTTACTATTTAAAAAGCATTATGATTGCATGACACAACTAAGCTATATGCAGAAAAAATGCAGATAGGAGCGATGCCTGCCCCCAAAATATTTGACTGCAAGCATTGACTGGATTATCTGGGCATATTACGTGCCATTTACCCTATCGAGAAGTCCCTATTTGGGGTATGCTGCTCGAAGGGTGACCAGATGCGCACATAGGAGAACGCCTTTTCCCGTTTCCATTCTAGCCGATTGGTGCGGCATGTCGCTCATGCCACATAGTATGGAGTTTGTCAAGTGGAGCACTGGGATTTAAGATGAAAAGCGAGCGATGAAGTCTGAATTTGAGTGAGTAGGCTTGCTTATTCTCGCTGTATGCCATTGAAAAGATGTGCTTCATTTTCGCTGCAACGGGAGAGCACTTCAAAGCGACCTGTTCAATTACCATAGCAAAGTTGCATAATTGGAAAGGATCTACGCAAAGCTTTCGCATATTGAACAACAGACCTTGACAGTGGAAGCGCTTCACCCCGTCAAATCAGTCATTGATTGGAAATAAAAAATAAAGGTTTGCATAGCCTAAACAAGAACACATTTATCACGGATATGATTTTTTTACTTCACACTGTTTTGTTGGCACATACGAGGCAGGAATTGTGCACTTTTCTGACAGCTGAAATAGGCTTCACATGATGTCCGGAGCAGACAGTTGAAAAAATATAATCGGAAAAGGTGGGTCAGGCACTGCGGTTCTATTGTTGAAGACATAAGTGCTACTATTCCAGTGCACTTTCCTCTTCAAGAACAGGCAAAAGAGATGCTCCAAAAGTCTGCATATCTGTTGCATTTGTGCGAACTGCACAGAACTATTCGGGAATTCTTCTACGCATGAATGCAACCCCTTCAAAAGGCAGCAATAATTAGAAGGTCGATCGAATCCATACTCCGCAAATAGTTCATGCCACACGCAGCTCCCGGTCGCAAATTCATTGAGTATAGGTGGTTAGCAAAACTGTCAGAAACCTAATGTAATCGAAAATGGAGCTGAGCAACCTGCCAGAACTTCACAGAGATGCATTACACCTGCCCATTTCCCTAAATTTTCCATAACCTCATGAATGTTGTACCAAGTGTTATGAAAAATGACTTCTATTCACAACATAGTTTCACTGCTGTCGCCAAAATTTTCACTGAAAGTGCTCCAACAGTAAAGGAGTGCAAGTTGGGGGCTTTCTTCAAGCAAGTTAGACAGATGAGTTCATGAAGCAGGTGGAATTGACTATGACTCGATAGCTCAGTGTAACCTCAAGACAGTGTGTCTTGTGTCTAAAAATAAATAGCAAGAGTGCTCGAGCTTCACAATAAGTGTGCGCTCAATGCAAGCTAAAAAAAAGAAAAGCGAACCCACCCATACCACCTTCCCTCTTTTGTGCACAGAACTTTGCAAATTTTAATGTATGCCAGTTCATTTGAATGTGTCGCTGGTAAAAAAAAAATTAAACCTTGGGGTCTCAAATGCGAACACCCTAAAACTACTGAGATACAGGGGACTCGGTATTAATTCTGCCAATACTAGGTTCTTTAACAGGCACCTAAATTCAGGCACACGGGCATTTTTGTCTTTCTCCTCCGTAGAAATGTCACGGCCATGGCTGTGAATCGAGCCTGCGACCTGGTGATTAGCAGCGCAGCACCACAGGCGTTGGCATGCATGGTAATGGGATGTGTAGCACTGCACCTAAATGCATAACAACGAAGTACTGTATTGTTGAGAAGCCAAAGTAAGTGCCATTCCAAAAAGAACCATTCACCATTATAAATGATTCTAAAATCTGCACAGCAGATAAACACATATGCCTTAATAACTAGTCAACCCGAGCACTGTGCCTGTCTTACTGTCTGCGAGGAACAAGAGAAATTTGGAACTGGCTTCAGTAGAATGATCCCATATAGGTGATGCTCGGCATGTCTCCAATGTGAGCAGGAACCGACCTTGCCTTGGAGAGAGTGTCACTGAAGTACACTGAAAAGAAATGAAAAATTTAGTGCATTGCAAGCTGTTACGGGTGGTCTGACGCTTTAACCTAAACTGTCGAACAATTGTGAGCAATCATGTTTCAACCGTACTTTGCTGTCTAAAAATAGTTTCCCTTGAACATCATTGTTCATGGAACTCTCAGTATATTTATGAGAAAATGAAGGTGGTATTCCACTCATTAGGCAGGCTTTCATTTTTTTTTTTTCGTGAACTGTGAGTAAACTATTCTGTTGCATGCAGCTGAATTCCACCAACCAGAATGTGCATCTATGTGTACAAGGCAGAAATGAAAAAAAAAAAAAGTTTTCGAGAATTTCTTAATAAGTAGCCCTGCAACTTTTTGTTTATGTTCTTAGTTTCCATATGCTGACTCTGCGCAAGTGAACTGAACTGGCGTCTACGGCGTGCGTAGCTGCGACAATTTTTGGTATTTTTATCTTGACAAATACGCCTTTCTATGGCATTACTTGCAAAACGCCTTCTTTTTAAAGCAGTAGATCGAAAGAAATGCACAGTACTGCATATTATCCTAAGCTGGGCAGTTAAGAAAAAAGAGAAAGAAAGAAAAATCTTCATTTTGCTGGATTAAAACAGCAAGCTGAGCGAACAAGTTTCTAGGCTAGCATTGCCAGAGTCTTAACAATGGGAGAGGAACAAAGAACAATAGGTCCAGCATCTGCGTCATCAAAGTATACTGTCCTTTGTTTCTTTCATGCTGTTTGATGACGACTGTGGCTGGATTACACGGACAAACGGTTGGCACATGCAAGGTACCAACAATGTTCAGACACAGTTTTACTACTTGCTGATTAATTAAACTTTATGCCATATGTTACGTTTTGCTTGGTAGCAGTGCAGTCAAGTAATTGAGATGATGTCCTGCAACTTAGTGCTAGTTTTAAATTAGCAAAAAAATATTCATGAGTTCTAGTCCACATTTTTACGAAAAAACACTTCTCCCCAATCTGGGTACAAATCTCAGTGGAATTATTTAAAACTCTAGGACTAGTTAAGATATTAGTATAAGGTTATGCTCCACATAGAGCTAGGCATCATCATAACTGCATTTCACCATCTACATTCTCGTACAGTATACACAGTAAAGTGATCAACTGTTCAATTAACAGTTGATTACTTTAGAAATTGACCAATTATTTACTCGTTATAACATAAATTGTGATTTCTGCTGCTGCCATTAATCACTGACAATTTAAATGATCATATTGCAATAATCACGTTCTCTACTATTCCAAAACGTTGCACTACATTATTTTTATTGTTTGGAACTGCTGTTTCAACCTCAAAGTATGGGTGCATCTTTGGCAATAGCCGCCAATCTTGTCATCGGTTACTCCATTAAAAAATTTAAGTATTTCCTTTGAATTCATGAGTACTGTGCTTTTAAAAGCCTGACGGAAGGCAAAGATTATGGACTGTACCCAGCACTGGAAAGGCAGGCACATTGTAACGTTTCGTGTATCATTGACCTGTCAAAAGATAAATCTGATGATGCTTTGGAAGCTGATTAATGTTATTATAAGCAGTATGTGGTTCCAGATGGTGCAATTATTGAAGGAACTGCCACGAAAAAAAGAGCATACACAGTTTATTAGATAGCAGATGCCTATTAGTGTAGCGGGGTGAAAATGCAAAGGTTAAGTAGAAATCGCTGTGTGTAATAAAATCGCTGTGTATCATAAGCATTAAAAATCAGCCTTCACACTTGTAGATTTCAATCATTCATGACTGACATGGAACTTCATCAGAGCACCTGAGCAAGAAAATAGTACCGATTTGCACGATCGTAGGCCGACTCGAATGTAGACCGACTACCCTAAGGTTAAAAAAAAAAAAAAAAAAAACTCGAGTATATTTCATTAAAAAAAAAAGACTATATACGATGTATCTGAAAAATAGTCGAATTCCGGCGTGCCAAAGTGGCTTCACGACAGTGCTTCAAAGCTGTGCAGCAAAGCTAGCTTCATCAAATTACGCATTTGTTTTTAGAAGAGACTTTACAACCGAAACTAATTTTCGATTCTAGGTCGACATGACGATAGTTATAGCACGAGAACAGAACGACGACACAGAAACAAGAAGGACATGAAGTACACTTGTCTCTGTGTTGTCGTCCTGTTCTCGCACTATAACTATCGTCATGTAATACCAACTAGCCCAAGCTGCCACACTTCTAGGTCGACCTTAAACTTCGGATTTAAGCCCTGCCACGGTGATATGGTGGCTAAGCAACTTGGCTGCTGACCCGCAGTTCGTGGGATGGAATCCCGGCTGGGGCGGCTGCATTTTCGATGGAGGTGAAAATGCTGTAGGCCCGTGTGCTAAGTTTTCGGTGCACGTTAAAGAGCCCCAGGTGGTGAAAATTTCCAGAGCCCTCCACTACGGCATCTCTCATAATCAAATGGTGGTCTTGGGACGTTAAATCCAACATATCAATCAACTTCGGATTGCAAAGTAAGACAAATTGGGTCAACCTACAATAGTGCAAATATGGTGCTACTACAATTTAGCGAATGTAGTAACAGAACATCTTTTGCAGGCACTTACATACATCGTTGGGCTTCAGAAGCACCGACACCTGACGACAGCTACGGATGCAAAGCTCTGAGGGTTCAAGCACCACAAGTCTGCTGCCCTCTACTTGCACAAGCCAGGAACTTGAGAAGTCTGCGTCAGGCTGCGTAGGATACTGCCATTAGTAGGGACCCATTATGATTTATAAATGGACTCTGCATGCTGTCAGTAATTTTGCCAATCTCTTGCATCATTTTCAAAAGAAAGAAAACATGTCATGGCTTTCGTGTGTTTCCATATTTGTCTTCCCTAAGAGCCTGCCATCTGCTTGTGCTGGAAATTGAAGCAAGGAATAAGATATGCCGGTGTGTTAGAGTCAGCCATGAGATTAGGAGTATCAATAGTACAGTGAAGTCCTTTCGGTAAGTTGGAATGCTGTTTCAATGCTGTAGCACACTGAAAATCCGACACTGCGCATGTGGGACAACTGTGTGTGCAGTAGACGGGAAGGTGACCATGACAGATTTTGTATTGAGACTAAATGGCCAGCACGTTGTGACAGTATGATTCATGAGCCACAGCTGGGTGTACCGTATATTACTTGCATCCAACTCTTGTGTGTGTGATGAACGTTAACTGTCTTGTTCAATTCTGTTTTGAAAGGGATATTCCTTAATAGCTTTTCTTCCTATGCTTCGCATTATGACGTGCGCATAATCAAACAAGAAGCAGAAATAAAAATGCAACTATACTTTTCTATGTTGTAAAAAGAAAATATCAAATTCCCATGCACAGTTACATAGATGCAGAGCATTCCTCAGAAAGCTAGACTTTCCAGTTGTATGCAGCAGAATTTCGGTGATATGAATTTTGGTCTGACACAAGTTTGCTAAGTTCCCCGGCCGAATTTCATCGTGTCCAATGGGCCGGAATTCGGACTTTCCGAAATGTAAGCCCCGTCACGATGATTGAAACAAACTTTGACACCGAAACTGTCGAGCGAGGGCCGAGAGCAGCGTGCCTCAGAAGCTCATGTGTTCTTGAAGTACGTGCGTAGCCAGCGCACTCAGAGTCAGAACTGCGATTAACGTTTGCCGAAGCCATTGTGGACTGAAAGCGCGGTCGCTATCGGCGCGATCGTGTATAGTGACGACAAAACTACGCATCCGTTGCTCGATCACAGAGTCAAGACGACGTTGCTTGTCGCGACCCTGGCGGACAAAGCAGCAAGATGCAGATGGCAGCGGCGTAGCTACCTACAAAGCTCACAGCGCCGACTATGTGTCGTACCAGATAATAACTAGGTGCATCAGGACCGTCAATCAACAGGAACCTCTGCAAGGACACCTCGGAGACGTTTTGCACGAAGTAAGGCCTTGCTAAAGACTTTCCTCAGAATTCGTGCAGCCGGGGGTGATGCCAGCGCCCTGAAAGAGAAATATATATGCAGAGCTTGGGTGCATATAAGGAAATGTTTTGGTGTACTGCACCAACATAATGCACTAAAGTTCGAGGTGCGAAATCTTGCTGGGTTTATGGAGTTTCGTGCTACGAATGAGTAAAACGAATAAGGAGAATCAAAGAACTTGACTTTTTTCACATTGTCACAGCCGTTCCAAGGACAGAATAAAATCTGAGAACAGTGGCGCAAGCCAGGGGATGGCACATAAGGAGACAAGGCACGCAAATACAGATGCAAGAGAGAAATCAATATGCCGCAAATGCTCGAGTTTGCAGCGTGCTGACTTTTCTCTTGAGTCCGTATTTGCACACATTGTCTGTTTATCATGAATATCTTCGGCATTTCTCATCATTATCAGAGTGTTGACAGCAGTAGATGGGTCCTCATTTTTGCATGTGCAATGCAGGAAAGTAATGACAAGAATTTGAGTCTTCAGCTGAGTAACCGTCCTATCTTGCAAAGCCTGGGCGTGAAAAAAGGCGCTGCAAGTGCTCAAAGTTATCTTTTAGTTGATAAACAACAGACAGTGCATAAAACCAAATGTAGCAGAATTTCACACTTTATCCTGACCCTCTTTATATCACACACAACATAGGAGGTTTAGAAGATTCCACCAGTGAATGCCTTCATAATTAAAATATCTACTGCCGATAGTGAAACATGCTTTTTCATTTTATTATTATTTTTTCATTCATATTTGTCTTCACTTCTTTCATTATCTTAGCCAGCTCCTAGCACTTTCCACAATTTTTTTTTTTTTTTGAAAGAGAACACTTACTTTCGCAAATTGAGGTTGACAAGATAGGATTTTTCAGATGCCTTAAATATGAATAAAAATTAAAAAATAAGATTCATCAAGAGTTAAATGTACGAAACTTCTTCTTTTGTAAGAGTTCTTCGCCAATGCCTTCACTATATCTTGCACCAGAAGTGGCTGAAATTCTGTCTCACTAGCGATACTAGTGCGAGTGTCTTTTATGAGAATACTCAAGTAAAAAATGTCAAGCTGCCAAATTTTCGGAGCTGACATCTTGGAAAATGGGCAATCTATGCAAGAACTAAGCTTTGCAAGGACGCCCTTCTGAACTGGTGTACCGATGCACAATCAGTATGCTACGTTTTGTCTTTACACCTGCTGTTGTGCGTCCTATCCCCACATAGTGTAAGTTTTGCAAGCTTGCCAAATCGTAGAAATAGTAGGTGAGGAAATGATGGGAGTTCGCTTACCACGAGATCTGAAAATATCGGTCGTCCACCTGTTGCCACTCCTGCAACTCAAGCAAATGGCGGGGTTCCTTACACCACGAAGAGTCGAATAGAACTTGGCAGATCTATCGTTTGTTATTTCAGGGATGGGCCTTCAAATATTGGTGCACCTGCTCGCCACTGATGTTGAGCTTCAGGGCATCCTGAATAATGGAACGACAGTTACTAAATTCACAAATTGTGGGCCTGACATAGATAGTATGTTTCTAGTGATGCATACCTTTACGACGAAGGGCATAAGGCTCAAGACGTAGTCGCGGGCAGTGTCGGGATGACCGGTCAGGTCGACAATCGACTTGAAATTTTTGCAAGGCCAGCATGCAGATTCGTTCATTGGTTTGAAAAATGGATTGTGAACCAGGCATTTTCTACCGTGGTACTCTGAAACAAACCGAAGGAACTTTCGTCAAAGGAATTCATCACACGGCTACTGCATTTAGCTAGGCTAGTAGGTATTTGTTCAATACCTCCATAATACTAGCGAACATCCACAAACACAGCACAGAAAGACATAGACTAGTGGTTGTACTGTGTATGTCTGTACTACCGGTGCGTGTTCGCCAGTATTGTGGAGGTATTCTATTATAACATGACCTTCGCTCTCGATCGAATACTTACGTGCCAGTGACGGAAACTGGTTCAGCAACGGTAATGCGAGTAACCGAGCGGTTCGAAGTCCGGGGTACGTGAGCGCGTCGTATAATTTGTATATAGTCATGTCTTCGAAGTAAATCAGAAGGATCAATTTGAGGGACAGTACGAGAACAGAGAACCACATGGCCATGTTTGTGAACCGCGCGCAGCACACTTGTTCCCGGAGTGCTCGCGCATGTTGACGTTCCCTTCAAGAACAACTCTCTGAGGCACTTGTCGACGGCGCTAGGCGGTACGTCGAGCCTCACGGCACTAGCCAGCAGGTATCGTAGCTCGGCGCGAAACGAAGATTTCGTTGTTTTGGAGCGGACGCGGCCAGCTGAAGGCATGATGTCCGATTACGTTGATTGCCGCTTAGCAGCTTGGACGACTTTGGCGGCAGTGGAGAAGGCGAGAGTTACGGTTACGTTTCGGCGAAACTTTCGTGAATCACGATCACGTTCCTGGAATGCCACTGCACTCTCCTGAAAGCGGACACACGCATGAGATGAGCCATCGCTTTCTCACTCTCCCAAATTTTCTTTCCCTCACACCAGCCTTCGTAATGACAGTGAGTTATTGCACTTGTCGTGCTGAAAGTGACCTCAGCTGCTCTCCGGTATAATGTACAAGGGGTTTATTTATGCAAGCACATCTCGCATGTCCCGTAGAAAAAATATTTTAAAACAAAGTATTTATACAATAAATTCTACCCTCCATGACGTCCTGGGGGTGTAGCTCAGTGGTAGAGCGTTCGCTTCGCATGTGAAAGGCCCCGGGTTCGAACCCCGGCACCTCCACAAGGCAATATTTTTTTAAATTTTTAAAAAAATTACTAATTATGCAATTTGAAACGTAGAAGAGCACAGCCCAATGCCGCAAAGGCAAATTTGCCGCTGTAAAAGAAATCGCTTACCACTTGCTGGCATGCGAGCTGATGCAATCCCCATTGGCGCAACGAGCGCTGCTGCCAAATGGTTATTCGCGCACGTTCCGGCTATTCGTGACACTTATTTAGTTGTGGGTTCCTCATTCTGTGTCTTCTAGGGTCGCTAGAGCGCTATTTGGCGAGAACTATTTGCGGAGTCGCCTTTTACTACTATCATTATCCGAGTTCCTCGATAAAAAACGCCACGTAACGCTATCAAGGCGCAAGGTACGGTGATAAGGACTTCCGAGGACTTTATTCTGCAATAAATGTACTCATCGCATGTAGTTATACGTACAGTCGTTAATCTATCGTTTTTATTTACATATAACTTTCGCACACTTCAGCGCGGAAGGTTTTTTTTTTTCGCTTTCTTCTAGCTTTTTCCTCCACCTACCAGAGACCTCTCTGCTTTCCTCCTTCTCCTCTTTTTTGCGACGTCACAGGTTATTTGGGATGTGACGGCTGCTCCGCCATTTTCGTCTTCGACTTCAGCTGTGCAGTATCGTGTGAGAAATGGTCTGCTGTGAAGTTGTCGTTGTGTCGAGTGTTTCCCTTGCTTTGGACCGTGATTTCTGCGTAGTTAGCGATGGTGACCACTTTGGCATGATTGTCGCCGCTCGTGCTATCCGCTCGCATCGTCGAATTCAAGGGGAAACCGCCCGTAGTAAGCCTTGCCTCAGCCCTATCGGTAAGCCTGTCAAGTTCGAACCCTGGTCCATCATGCGGTGGTCCATGTGTAGAAACCATGCCGCGCTACTCGCAGGCGAATGTTGATTGAGTAGTGGTAGCCACTGGGAACGCCGGTCAGGTTTTCCGCACAGCCGAAGTGTTTGAGTGACGCAGCTGATTCACCCGAAGTGTCGTCGTCAGCCCGTGCTATGAGCCAAGCATGCCAAAAACGAGACACTCGCACGTCTGACATAGTCGCCCCGAAGCATGGCATGAAGAATGGCTTCCTAAAGTATCCCAAGTGCGGCTTCAGCTGCGCCGCCGCTGTGTCACGCAGCAACTCTGCAGAAGACTTGCTGACCGGACGGTCGACGAAAGCGCGCCAAGCACGCAGTCGCAAGCGATCTGCTACCGACCGCGGTGCAAGTGTGCCGGGACTCACAATGTGCATCGATAAGCCTCAGGAGGAAGCCCGGGTCGCTTCCAGCCCCGAAAGAATCGCGAACGCCCAGATGCCGCCCAAACAGAAGCAGCACAGGCGTCGACGGCGACGCGCGAAGCCCATGCGCGCGCCGTCGACTCCCGCAGCTCCGCCGCAAAGCCCCGCTGGAATTCGCATCGAGAGGTCCCCCACCAAACAGGACTTCATATTTTGCGTCGAATCGACCAGCAAGAGGGACCTGAAGAAACCAGGCGGTGATGAGGCGCCCTGTGCGTCGAAGGCTTCGCCCCCGTTCAACTCGGCCATCGCGTTCATTCTGGGAGGCAACGACGATTTGAGCGACACCAGCAGCGATTGGGACGAAGTGGACGACTATGGCGCTGGACCGGACTTTGCTGCCAACGTCTTCATGATGCCGCTGTTGAACAGTTTGCTCTCAATGTCGGCACTCTCCGACTCGTGCCCTTTGCGGAGTCTCAACGGCGATCAGGTGGACGGTCCGCTGCCCTCCGTGTCCCAGCACGTCAGAAATGCCAACGAAAAATGGAACCGAAATTACTACGGGGAGGACTCCTCCAAGCCGCCTCGCTCAGCAAAGGTGATGTTGCCCGATAAGCACCATTCCTAATAGTTGGTACGTGCGGCGGTTCTACTGCCGTCGCGGCAAGTGCGGTCAGTCGGGTAGAAGGCCATCTTGAGCGCCTCGCGACCGGAAAATAACGAGTCCTTTTTATGTTTGCGCATTTGCCCCCGATTCGTAAAGGAGGTCGTTACCGCTGGAATTACGTACTCCGAGGCGCCGCCATTTGTCTTATTTTTGTTTGGTTAAGTAGCCGGTAGATAAGTGAATTAGCAGAAAGTTGCCACGCCAGCGCTGATGTGGCGGCGTAACAGCTGTTAATTTTCGAGTAGTGATAAGTTGTGTGCATAAGCTCGCCTGCTGCGTACCCAGAGAATATTTTCCCTTGCAATCCAGCTGCAGGGACTCTATTATCAAATTTGAGTATTGCCTTCAGCTGTAAATGACGGATAGATGTAGATTGAATAACATTCAGACATTTCGTAGCCGAACAGACGTTGGTGGAAATTCTGTACGCTAACCGCGAGATTCGGGACTAGGTCGATGTTGTAAACGAAATTGTTCTTGGCAGACAGCAGCATGTTTGGGCATTGAGTAGTGACTGGGATTTCTAGTGTTATTCTGTTATATGCCAGATTATCTGAATTTGCCTGAACATTGCATGAAATTGAGGGGAAAAAAAAAAGTGATGTAATTGTAGGACCTTTGCCAATTAGTGGTCGTACTTTTGCTACGTGACCTTTCTCTGTCCCAAAAAAGCAGGCATTTTTGGTGAACACTGCATTTGCAGTCTTTCGGCATTGTTGCTGATTTGCCTTTTATCTGTAGAGTTCACATCTTTGCTCATATAAGTTTTTTTTTTTAATGGCCGAATTCAGAACTGAAATTAGCTATGGTAAGGCTCTATTGATGCATACATATTCCCAAATTTCTTATAGAACAGTTTGTACATGTGGCTTTCTATAGAAATCCTAACTTTTGAAGATGTTAGGGTTCTTGGATTGTGAGTCTAGTGTGTTGATATTTTGCACACTACTTATGCTGTCAGGTATAAGAACATAAGTGTATTGAAGAAAAAAAAACATTGGGAAAGTAAGCTTAAGTAGTAACTTTAGCAAAGCTTGAATAATGTGCTGGGAAGTAAGAAAAATGTAGTTACGTTTTACAATTTTGAAGACTGGCATATACATCAAAAGAATTAAGCTCTCGTTATTGCAAGCTTCCTTGGGGACATGTAGTCGCAGCATTGCCCAAGACGCTGCAGAATCAAGTTGTGAATGATTGATTGCTCAGGGCAGCATGAAATATGTAAAAAAAGACAGAGCAGTGAGGCTTGATACTGCATCTACAGGTCAACGAATTGTGAAGAACCTGCTAGATGTGTGATGAGGTTTTTGAAGTGGGAGATGAAGAGTACTGTGCCAGTGCCAAATCAATTCTTGTCTGCTGAGGAATTTTCAATCTGAAAACTGATACGTAATAGTACCTATATCATAAATATAGATGGTGGTCAGTATTGATACTAACATCATGTCACGAGAAGCAAGACTAATACTAACCAACTGAATATTATTGTGGCAAGAGTGCCCAGCGAATATGCTTCAGAAGTGCAGGTACCAGTAGCACATAATACAGCCAGAAATGCATACCAAGTTTTTCACTGCCACAATCTGTAAACTGATTGTGCTGGATGACCGACTCCCAGTGAGCAGCACATAATATGTGATAAGCTTCTGTCAGGGCAAACTTCACATGGATGCCATATCAGGCAGCCATTCATGGCCTGCATTATACTGCTGTAGATAAAAGCTGGCTAGATTAGTGTACATCTTATCACGAGTGTATTGGTACTGTGGCAGCCAACATGGTGCTAGTCAACATTTATCAGGCTCGTGAGGTCAGTTTTGGATGGTGCAAACTGAGTGACATGAATGTCCTTGGCATGCTTTGGGGGGTGTATGCATTCGGATATTTTACAGTTTTGAAGGTCACGTTTTTGTTTTTTGCCTCGGGACTATTCACAGGATTGAGATGGTCCTTCTCTCTCGTGTAGGGTGTGCGAATGTTTAAAAATTTCGGAATAGAAAAATCAAATGGTACTGATACGAAAGTGTTGAATATTTAAAAAAGATATTTTCAAATAATGAGCACCGACAGGAGAAATCCAAAATGACAAAAGTTTCTGCACAGATGGTCACATGCTTTTGATGATGAGAACCACATTGTGGTGACAGGTTTATCTATTTCGTTACAGCTTTAGTTGTTTTTGTGGTGTGATCGATCAGTTCAAAGTCTTTTTCTTCTCAATTTCATTTAATGCAGGCGACAATCTACTACTGTAGTCACTTGCCGTAAACGAGCTTACCTCAGTTATCCCCTACTGAGGTATTTTGAGTCCTGTAAAAAGTAATCGTAATGTCTCTGGTCGGATTTTTTTCAAATAAAATGTTGCCGAGTCCTAGGGCTATTTTGAGAACGGTTGTCTTACTGTTTGAAAGCTATTCGATGCCATCGCTATTTGATTTTTATTAGATTCGGTTTCAAAATTCACTATTTGTACATTCCTTATTTTGTGGCCTGCACATATTTAATCGGTACACAAAAATGGGTAACTGATTGTGCGCACTTAAATTGCCTAATCCCCATGGTTTTTTCTTTGTTTGTTTTTACAGCAGAAGGTTGTGCTAGTTTATTGGGTTTTGTCATGCAAAAAGGGTAGTCGTGCAGACAGATGCAAAGTGATCCAGACAACACATTTTCTAGCTTTTGACCGAAGTGCTGTGGCATAAAAGATAGTAAATATGAATCTTGTATGTGCATGCTTGGAACAGCAGCAACAGCAATCAGTAGGGCACAAATGTAGGTCTGTATGACAGATAACTCTTAATCGTATCTGAACAAAGATAATTGAATGCGAGCTTGCGTTTGTACTTTCACTATTATTAATATGCCAAGCCTTAACCATTAGACGTCTTACTTCGCCTGTCTGTACCAAACTGCACATTAGGGAAATTTGGGGTGCATTTGTAACCGTGGTAATGAAATGAAAGAGTAGGCTAATTCTTTGTTAGCAAGCCTGTTATGTTAATTTAATGTTTCATGCCTGTCAGGCCTTGTGTAGAAGTAACTGCAAGCTAAAAGGAATTAAAGATACCACTTTGGTATAGCAGCTTGTAAATTTATTTGTGTTTTTCAAAACACAAATGTCTGTTTATGTTAAAAAATTGCTCATCCTTGCTCTGCACGCAGTGCATAATCATTCAGTTTATTTGGAGCTGTGAAAGCATTAACGCTGCATCTACTTTCATTAGCCTCTGCAATTGTCTTTGTGTTAGAGAAATAATGGGAGTTTTTGTGGTGTTCAGCAACAGTGGCCACTACAATGTGAGGGTAACCTATCTGTGCTAAATATCTGGCCCACAGTTTCTACATACATGATTTGAGGAGCGAGTACTTAAGTTCAACATGGTGGTTCAGTTTTTTTTGCAACTTTAGAATGCTTGGACGAAAAGTTTAGCAAAGGTATTGAAGGTCTAGGAAGCGCACAGCCACCACACACGCTTCTCCTCGGACTTCAAGGGAATGCTACCAAGGAAGTGACAATACCAAGTTGGACAATTTCTCACTGTAGACGTGTTACTCGTTTTGTGTTGCAGGTCAGCTTTCCCGTGGGGGATCAGCTCGTCGAGGTGCACAGTGCAGATGACCTGGAACGCAAGGGGCCCTGGGAGCAAATTGCCGTGGACCGTCGCCGTTTCAAGCTCGGATTGCCTCTGTCGAAAGCGTGCTGGCACCTGTGCTCTCTCTTGAACACAGACAGAAGGTCTACCAGGAGATCTATGCGTTCGACTCTGAGTGACTTTCAATTCGTGCATTTTTCTTCGCCAGAAGACAAAATTTTTCTCAAGTGCTCGTGAACTCTGCAGACTGATGAGTCATCACCATCGAACGATAACTCTTCAGACTTTCACGCAAGCGTACTGGACTTGTTTGCGACAAATGCAGGGTTTTCTCTCGTTCTATTGTGCAGCTGCGGGAGCTGCTTGTGTTCACAGTAGCGCCTAGTCCTTCACCATGAAGAGATTCCACTCTTCTTGTTGCTCCAAGTGAAACTATGAACTCGCTGTGCACATGCTGTAAAATAGACCAGGGCATGGTTCGTTTTAGCACCATAACCCATGTTCTCGCTTTTATATCTTCACTTCATTGTTTGGTTTGAATCGGCTCACTTCTCTGGCACTCTAGGGGAAGGGCTCCCGTGGGCCCAGCATACTCTGCTGAATTTCTACCTGCTGAATTTTGCGGCGGCTAAGCATGCTAAGGCAGGTCATGAGGTGGCTCTCGAGGCCTACAACAATGCAAATTTGATGTGTCGCCACTCTCAACATGCTCAGCAAAATTAATTGCCGAACGAACAAAAGGCAAGTAAAGCCAGAATGTTGCACATTATGGAGTTATGCAAATATTTAAACTGACTTTACCTTCAGCTTACTAGTGGAGTAAAATTTTTATTTGCACATGCATTCCAGGCCATTCTCAAGGCTGTACAGTGCTAAATAAGTCATTTATATTTGCCTAACTTCAAAGGATAATATATTCCCAGACAATGTGCGCTTCTTAAAGGAAACCCTCTATACAAAATAAGGACGGTCCAGTTTAACTTTTTGCTGCAGCAAGTTTTTGTTTGTCTATGACAATGCACTGCAGAGTGCTTCATGCTTATATTGTTGTCCCTTATGATGTTTTTCTTTGTTTGAAAGATATTAAAGATGTAAATTGCATTTTGATGTCTAGTTTATTGCTGTTTCTATAAATAACTAGAAGTTCTCTCGCACAGTGCTTGCTTTATGGTTCATTATGAGAGGGTAGAAATACTGAGCTAACCTGCCACCTTGGCAATGGCACCGTACATCGGAACACACAGGTTCGCACGTTAGATCAACAGTGGGGTTCTTTAAAAAGGGTGGCGGGGTGGATTTGTATTACCGAGCATTGGGTCTGCTGTAAGGTTGAAAACTGCACTGCAGGTGCTCGAAACTAATCCAAAGTGCCCTGCCATGGCAAAGTTTGCAGCAAGACTGATGGTGTCATCCATTTGCGAATTCAGTCACCCACGAACTTTGTGCCGGAGCACTCCACTCTGGCGGAGAGAAACAAAAGCGAATCTACCGATAGAACACATGCGCTCCCTCTGGAGCAAATGGCAGGGTCAGAATGGAACGCAATGCGTGCATTTCTTCTTGCTCGAGTGAGCACGCTGGGCACAGCAACGCTATGCTAGCAAAACATGACCTCCGACGCGAGGCGCAACTGACGCGACCGCGTCTGTTGGCGTGCTCAAAGTTGCCAGCGTTTCAAGGCACAGGGTGCTTGCGACTTTCGATCGAATCCGCCGATTTTCAGAGTAGAAAAAGTTGCTCCGTGGAGTGGATCTCTCGACGAAGGTGCTCCAGATCTGCCAATGGAACATACAGGCAGCACTCTGAATCTGCTGATCGTAATAGGATGGAATAGACTTGCTTCACATGGAGCAGAAGAAAGTATTACCGGAACTGCTCCGAATCTGCCAATGGATGACATTATGAGAGAGTAGCTGAATTTAAATTTTGTAATTCTTTGCTACGTTGCGTTTTATCACTTTTGATACCACACAGTCTCCTCCGCCTGCCTGACTGAACTTACTGAGACACTGCAAATGTACAAATTCAATTAGCTTCAAGTATGTGATCTCGTGCAGTACAAGAAAATGCCGTTGACTAGTTTGTTTCTTTGCAAACAGGTTGTGCAACCGTTTGCAAACTTGAAGCAACACTTGCGATGAGAGAACTGTGATGGGCACAGGCTCTTTGACACTTAACTTGTGTACATTTTCACGAACAGGGCTGGTTTGTTGACATTTTTTGTGGCGTCATTCTCATAAACGGAAAATGTACGCCTGTCCTGATCACTGCGAAGGAAGCGGGGGAAGTGGAGTGTGGTGTATTTCAAGAGGCACTGCCTGGTGTCATACGACATCATCATGATGTCATCATAAGGGTGATGTCACACTTCTCTGGATGACATCATCAGGTGAGGTCATGTGATGATGCAATAAGGTGATGTCATCGTATGATGATGCATGTTTCATTCTGTCGAAAGTAATGGTGCATGTTTTCACATGAATTCTGTACTATTTGGATTTACGTGCCACGTTCGTTGCATTGCGCAATATTCTACTTTTGCGTTTGTAAAAGATACTCCCCTCGGTAGTTGAATCGGTAGTTTTCGCAGCTTCACTGGGCATATGCGCTAGCAGGGCAGAGATTGTGAGGTAGTTTCTTGCTACATGATTCTACATGAACTGCTGCGTGTGAAGACACTTAGTAGACACAAATTCTGGTGCATCCTGAGCAAGGAGACTCTTTAGTGACTGTTCCTGCCTTCACACTTCAAAACATGAAAGTACTCTGCTCTATAGCTTGGGCAACAATAAGTAAGCTGTACTTTAAACCGCAACAGCCTAGTTGTGGCTATCCCCGTGCCTTCTCCTTGTTGCAGATTCCTGCAACAAATCAACGGGGAAAGTGGCAGAGACCCACTTCCAACACGTTTCATCCTGCTTTCATTTGTGTACTCCACTGCTTCATGAACTGCCAAGAATGTACTACACATGTTAGCGGTAAATTTGCTGCAAAGCAGCTAGCCTGTGTTACTGGCCCCCAATGACTTGAGCTTACCATCGGCCCTGAAAATTGCGAAGCCATGACCCCGATTAACATCTTGTTGAGAACCATTACAACCACCTAGTGATGTTCTGTGCAACTGAAGAATTCCCATTCACAGACAAGAAAATTTCTATTTCAGAGATTTTTCCCTGCAGATGTTAATGAAATTCGCAGCATATTTCCCTGCACACAGTACTTTCCGTTCCCATCCACGCACACAAATACTATACCCTGGTCTGACGTACTGGGGACTTTTGAAATCGTGAGTTGATGACTAGCCCCTCTACAGCTGCACAACGAAAGCACAACTTTATTAATGCATATACTGTTAGTACACTGCACATTGTGGGCTTAAAGTCTAACAGAACTATTGTAAATATTGGACACAAATCTCAAGGGCTATGCTTGCGTGGTGAATGCGCCAGAACCGATTACAGCAGATGAAGGCACACTGTGACTGCTAATCATCGGTCATCATAGGAGAATTTAACCATTCCTGAAATTGTCTGCAATATCCCGAACATCCCCATTTTTCCTTTGGCTTAAAATGACGGGCTAAAATTACACAAAAAAGGGAAAATTCCATGCACGGAACACCACTGCAACCACCTCTGTCATTACAAGATGCAAACAGTAGTTCTCCTAAAGAGAGCAGACAGACTGTGGGCAGGGAAAAATAAGTTACCACTTGCCAACTAGACCTGCATTTCTACGTGTGCTTTTTCTCCGGCTTCCTCTCATAATTTGCAACTTGAGTACGACATTCACACCAGCATGGTCATTTACATGTTGAGTAACTGTCATGTGGTGGCAGCACTGTACATTTTTATGTGCGCTAGAATATTTATTTTTAAAATGATAAATGATGTAAATAAACTGAGTAGTAATTTGAGTGCCAAAACTTAGCGAAGATTTTGATGCACATTTGAATTTGCAAATACCTATGTAGTAGCTGCTGGGGACTAAGGGCCTTGAGTTAATCGACCTATGCATGTGAGAGGTAGTGGCCAGATACTGCACCAGGGTGGCGAATCCTTCTCTGGTGAGGGAGTGCTTTACCGGCGGTGGTCACCAATGAGGCCGCACTTAGGCCTCTTAATGCAGTTCCATCACCATGCAGATTTTCTTTTATCCACTTGGGAACTGCGCAGCACCGGGATTAGAACCACGGACCTTTTGCATGCGAGGGGGATGCTCTAACCACTATGCCATCGCCGCTTCTCATGGTGGCGGTCAGATCTGCAACACAACAGAGGGTGCTAAGAATCTCTGGATACGGACAGGCCGCCATTGGAACCTGAACTTGGCAACGTTTAACGCTAGAACCTTATCTAGTGAGGCAAGCCTAGCTGTAAGCTGTACTATTCGAGGAGCTAGAGGTTGTTAAATGGGGTATAATAGGGCTCAGTGAGGTTAGGAGGACAGATGAGGCCTATACGATGCTACAGAATGGGCACGTCCTTTGCTATCGGAGCTTGGCTGACAGAAGAGAACTGGGAGTGGGGTTTCTAATTCACAGAAACATAGCTGGCTACATAGAGGAATACTATAGCATTAATGAAAGGGTGGTAGTTATCGTAAATAAACTCAATAAGAGATACAAGATGAAGCTTACGCGCCTACATGCAGCCATGATGATGCTTCAGTTGAAAGCTTCTATGAAGACGTAAAATCGGCAACGAGTAACGTACACAGTATACTATACTGATTGGAGAGACTAATGCAAAGATAGAGAAGAAGCAGGCTGGAGACCAGGCAGTAGGAGATTATGGCATCGCTAATAAAAATGCCAGAGGAGCGCTACTGGCAGAATTTGCAGAACACAATAATTTACGGATTTTGAATACCTTCTACCAAAAACAAGGAAACCATAAGTAGACATGGAAGAGCCTTAATGGCGAAAATAAGAACGGAATAGACTTTATAATAAGTGCACACCCAAGCATCGTGCAGGATGTGGAAGTGGTTGGCAGGGTGTGATGCAGTTACCATAGAATGGTACGGTCTCGATTTCACCTAGACTTGAAGAATAAACGACAGAAACTGATACGCAAGAAGCCAGTCAATTAGCTAGCACTGTGAGGGAAAGTAGAGGAATTGAGAGTCTCCCTTCAGAACAGGTGCTCGGCTCTTATCGAGGAAACCAGCCTTAGCGTTGACGCAATCAATAATAATCTGAAGAGTATCATTATGGAGTGTGCAGTGGAAGTTGGAGGCAGGGTAGTTAGACAGGACACTAGCAAGCTTTCCCAGGAAACGAAGAATCTCATTAAGAAGCGTCAAAGCATGAAAATCTCAAGTACAACAGACAAAATAGAACTATCGGAGCTTTTGAACTTGATTAATAAGCGTAAGGTATCCGATGTAAGAAGGTATAACTTGGATAGATTTGAACACGCTCTGAAAAATGGAGGAAGCGTCAAAGCAGTGAAGAGGAAACTTGGGATAGGCAAAAATCGGATATATGCACTAAAGGACAAAGAAGGCAAAATAACTACCAATATGGATAGGATAGTTAAAATAGCGGAGGAGTTTTACAGAGATCTGTACAGTAGCCGAGACAACCACGACCTTAATAATATAAGAACTAGCAGTAACCCAGATGAGACCCCACCAGTAATGATAGAAGTCAGAAAAGCCTTGGAGAGCATGCAAAGAGGCAAAGCTGCTGGTGAGGACCAGGTAACATAGGATCTGCTGAAAGATGGAGGACAGATTGTGTTAGAAAAGCTATCCACCCTGTTTACGAGGTGTCTTCTGACGGGAAGAGTACCAGAGTCTTGGAAGAACGCTAACATCATCTTAATACATAAGGAAGGAGATGACAAGGACTTGAAGAATTACAGGCCGATCAGCTTGCTCTCCGTAGTATACAAGCTATTTACAAAGGTAATTGCTAGCAGGGTTAAAAAACCATTAGAATTCAATCAACCAAAAGAACAAGCAGGATTTCGAACTGGCTACTCAACAATCAACCACATTCATACTATCAGTTAGGTAATAGAGAAATGCTCAGAATATAGCCAACCACTATACATAGCCTTCATAGATTACGAGAAGGCGTTTGATTCAGTAGAAATATCAGCAGTCATGCAGACACTGCGGAATCAGGGCGTCGATGAACCATATATAAACATCCTGGAATAAATTTGCAGGGGATCAACTGCTACCATAGTGCTTCATAAAGAAAGCAACAGAATACCAATCAAGTAGGGTTTAAGCCAAGGGAATACAATCACCCCAATGCTATTTACCGCATGCTTACAGGAGGTTTTCAGAGGCCTAGAATGGGAACAGTTAGGGACAAGAATTAATGCAGAGTACCTTAGTAACCAGCGCTTCGCCGATAGCATTGCATTGCTGAGTAACTCAGGGGACGAATTGCAACTCACGATTACGGAGTTAGACAAGGAGAGCAAAAAGGTGGGTCTTAAGATACAAAAACATAGGTCATGGTTAAATACGCTCAAGTGCCTCTACAGAGCTGGTTAACGGTTGAGGTAGGCAGTTCCAGTCGTTTATGGTTCGAGGAAAGAACGAGTATTTGAAAATGTTTGTTCTGGCGAAATACGGTGTTAATGAATGAGTTTGACGATGCCTGGTTTGTCTTGTCGTAAGTGGTTTCAGATACAAATCACGGTTTACTGACAGCTTGTTGTTATTTAAAAGAAAAAGAAATTTGAGCCTGTGAGTTTTACGACGCTTTTCAAGTGTTGGTATACTGTTTTCTTTCATAAGGTTTGTGGGGGAATCAGTTCTTCGGTACTTGGAGTAAATAAAACGTACTGCTTTGCGTTGAATTAGTTCGAGAGCCTCAATGTTTCTTTTTGTGTATGGGTCCCAGACGATTGAGGCATATTCCAATGAGGGGCGTATAACAGACAAATAAGCTAGATTTAATAGCTAGTTTAATCTGCAGAACGACCTCAGAAGAGAGCAGCATTTCGAGATAGGTAATAGTGCACTTCAAGTTGTAAAAGACTATGTCTACTTAGGGCAGGTAACAACCGTGGAGCCTAACCACGAGATTGAAGTAACTAGAAGAATAAGAATGGGGTGGAGCACATTTGGCAAGCACTCTCAAATTATGACAGGTAGATTGCCACTATCCCATAAGAGGAAGGTATATAACAGCTGTATCTTGCCGGTACTTAGCTACGGAGCAGAAACCTGGAGACTTACAAAGAGGGTTCAGCTTAAATTGGGGACGACGCAGCGAGCAATGGAAAGAAAAATGGTAGGTGTAACCTTAAGAGACAAGAACAGAGCAGAGTGGATTAGGGAACAAAGGGGGTTAAGGATATCATAGTTGAAATCAAGAAGAGGAAATGGACATGGGCCAGGCATGCAGCGCATAGACAAAATAATCACTGGTCATTAAGGGTAACTGGATTCCCAGAGAAGGCAAGGGGGTTAGGGGCAGACAGAAGGTTAGGTGGGCAGATAGATTAAGAAGTTTGGGGTTATAAATTGGCAGCAGCAAGCAGTGGACCGAGTTAACTGACGGAACATGGGAGAGGCCTTTGTCCTGCAGTGGACGTAGTCGGGCTACTGCTGCTGATGATGATGTAGTAGCACATAAGCTTCCTTTCTATTGTACACAGCTTTTTTGGTCAAGTAGAAGCGTATGGAAGGTTTAATTTGCAGATTGAATTAGATAGTATTTCAGGAAAATAACTTGAACATTCAACATTTCCAAATAGACTATATGTAAAGGTCCATTCAGGTCCACTTTAAGAAAGTTTATTCACAGCATGTGATATATGTAATGCCATTTACAAGTATGCTTTTGGTGAAGTGGAGTGCTTTAAAAATCTTGTACGTTGTCACATCTGGCACACAATTATGACGCGAATGAAACAAAGGAACATCGTCTTGCCATGCGGAATGCCCACACAGTGCAAATTTTGTTAAAGGAGGTAAGTGTAAGATCCACAGAATTGTAAACTCTATAAAGCATTGCGTTAACAAGTAATTTAAGCCATATTGAGGTTTCATTTGTAATCTGTACAGGGGTGGGGGAAAGTTTTAATAGAAACAGAAATCATTGAGTTCACTTAATGTTTGCTTTGAAACAGGTACTCTGCACAGCGATTGTGTACAACTGATCAGTATGTTTAAGAATTTTCAAATAGTAGCTCTACATCTGAATTGTTGCCTTCCTGCAACATTGCTTAATCATTTTTCCACTGCAGTACTGTTTGCTATGTCGTTCAAAGTGCGCACACAAGTGCCACCATTCTGTGTGTGCTGTGTGAAACACACTAAATCCTGCACATATTGCACAGTGGGAATACGGCGCAGTAGCTGGGACATCCAGTTCTCAACTGCGTATTGATGCGGGTGTCTGGCATCGGTGCTAGTGATTATTAGCAAGACTGCTTTCTCACCTATCCTTCAGGACCCGGTTTAGGTTCGATCACCACCACTGTTTCACCGTGACATGGCAAGCATAAAGTCTTCTCATTATGTAGTCTATGCCATCAGATATGAAAAAGGTAAAGTCCATTTTATGAGCCGCTACTGCACAAATTTTAGAATATTCGGTGTTCCAGAGTGTCGAACTGACCACCATTCACCCTCGTGCAGCGATCAGCAAGCCTTCTGATAAGCTCAAGTGGTATAGCAAATCACAAGTTTCTCACAGAAAGCTTCTTGTAGGAAACAACCCAGAGAGGCAAAAATGCAAAGTAAGTTCTGGCACTGACAACTGGGTAGCTTCCATTTCTAGAAATGCCTGCAGCTTGGCACTGGAAATGCGTGAATCACTATTTTTTTTCCCTTTTTCTTCGTGTTGCCCAACTTCGTACAGATTTCAAATGTTGTCATTCAGTGATGCACTTCTTTCTTTCCACGTCTCCATTTTATGCACTGTGCTGATTCCGACACATATTATCAGCTTTCTCGAGCCTTCACCTTTGAGTAAACATGAAATCATGACACATAACTTTGCGGTGAAAATCGCATTTATTTGCTTACAAAAGCCGTAAAAAATAAAGTACAGTGTATGTTGCTCAATAAAAAAAAAAAAAGAGTCCAAACCTGCAGTGATGAAAACGTGTAAATATCAACTAATCACGATGTCGTAGAATCACGTGGCATGTATTGAGACTAGGCTAATGAGTTTGTGCGACTAGTTATGACGCCTTGTAGTGAAGATAAAGGTCATGGCCAATTTGAGTTCCTATTTCGTCCCAGTAATCTCGCAAAGGTAGCATGCAACCCAGTATCTAAGTTTGGCTTAAAAAATTGCTCTCGTAAGTAGCAGCCAGTCGTAGATGTTAACGGTAAATGCACAAAGCGACCATATTTGCATGACTTAGTGCAGTGGTTCTCAAATGGTGGCTTGCGGATCCCCTAGGGTTGGCGAAGCTATTTCCAAGATCCGCGAGATCCTCAACCACTTTTTAAACATTTTGTAATTTTTTTACATATGCAACTTCGTTTAAGCGTGGCTGTGCCAAGAATTGATGAACTATCCAAAATGAAGTGACACGTTTATTTGATGTTTTTGGTAGCAAAAAAGGCACCTGTCTCGCGCTCCAGTTGTGCTAATTTACCCACATACCCCCCTCTCCCCTCCAAGGGGTCTTCCATCACTTCCACCCGTCCACAAGGGGTCCCCAACACATCCATGGCTGAGAACCACTGACTTAGTGTACTGTACGACAATATGGCTAATAATTATGCCCTGCAGTGCCAGAGTACCACATCACCACGATCTCGTTCGCGTTCAGGCATTTATGACAAAGCAAAAGCCCTGAGCCATTTCTTGACGGTGACCATATTCAGTGTACATCATCACTTGACTAATACAAATGTGTTCCTTCCACAACTTATATGTTAATGTGTTCCCCTTACAACTGGTACAAATATACCACAGCTTCCTGGTTTCTTAAATGCAGGCAAGCAAACAATATTCAATCCACCAGATTAGTGGCAGTAAAATTCCAGAGTTTTTTTTTTTTTTTTACATAAGTACGTACTGAATTAACACACACTGGAATGTTGCAGAGTGAAAATGGTTTGCAAACCCTTTTAGCATATAAAATGACAGGATGACGTTGCAATGTTGTTCTCCTTTGACACCATCCATAGTATTCGTGCTTAACACGCTACCTCCAGCTCCTGTCTCTCCCTAAACAGCTTCTAACATGCAGAAATGTATTCTTTTTGCGCTAAGTACACCTGGATTCACCATACTGGGCTCTTGAAGAGCATTGCTTTGAAATGCTTTCCCTTCACTCCCTGGCGAATGTACTGCAATCCACAAACGCTCATGTTCGTTACAGAAACATCCGTCTCCACCGTTGCGTTGCAACCAAATGCAATCTCTCCATGTCACTGAACAGAAAACATCACACTCTTCCACATGGCACAAGAAAAATGAGCATCTCACACCCCTATAGCTCTCGCATGGCAAGGTTCAAAACTCGCATCACAATTTAACGAGCCCCACCGCCTTCGGAAAGAGCAAGAAGGTAAAGGAGAAATCTTAATGGTTGCACAGTGGTGACACACAAACCTTCATGACATGCTAAGCACTGTGATACTCTGCAAAAAATGTTGATACATATATAAAGCTATCGACCGCTACGATTTCCCTCAAACAATATTCTTTTCTTCGGGTGCAAATGCTTGTTCTTTTGTAGAGGCTATCAAACACAGGTTCAAGCTGTGTAAGAAAACAGCCTTTAGTTGGCAGCACACGATGTAACTAAAGTGATTTCCACATTAAGAAGAGCGAGCAGCTGCAGTAGTTTTATGAAGGAAATTCTCGAATGTATGTCGGAAGCAATCGTTCAACGGCTTTGACTCAGCCTGCTGAATCATACCAGAGACAAAACAGACAGGCTTGTGGGCAGTGGTGAAGTGTGAAACTACACAGCATAATTATGAAAATTTGGACATGTTATTAGGTCACACATAAATATTTATATTGGGGCAGGAAACATTTCTGAACAGTGTAGACTAGTTGTCAAAAGCTTCACCAGTTCAACAAATACTTCACATGGTGTCTAAGCACTAAAAAAACGTTTGGTTTCCCATTTGTGCGCGCAGATCTGTGAAACTCCGGCACCTTCCATGAAGTGTGAGATATAGTGGAACTGGTGCGTCGGACAGGTCGGATCAAAACATGCCTCGAACGGCATTGAGCACCAGCGATGTGGATATGAGCGACCAGATGTACAATGTTGGCGACATACTCTCCGCAAACTTTCTCGAGTGCTTCAGGATGTATATAAGGTACTTGTTTCGTAGACTTTGTTTTGGGCGCATCCTGTGAAAGAAAAACAAACAAATGTTCAGTTTGGACTACGCAGTGAACAATGCTGGCACGTGTGACCTCCTTTTTAGAACTTTCATAGATCAACATACAGTAAAACGGCAGAAGCAATGAGTTGGTATGAGGACACAAAAGGAACGATGCACAGAGAGGAAACAAACCCTTCATCACATCATGGCCCGTAAGACATTGGAACGGCATGCTGAACAACTTACTCTGTTAGGCATACTTTTTTTTTTTGCTTTTCTGATCTGCGATATTGCTTGCAGACTATAAATGAATGCAAAGAACTGTAGTAATTGGAGTTTCATGGTTAATGCTCAGTTGAGTGAGGGAATGACTGTTTTATTTTTTATTTTAACTTCCACAGCAGTTTTATGGACACAGAAGATGAAAGTACTAGAAGAAAGTTCAGTCAGAACTGACAAACTACTTCAAGTCGCCAAATAAATGCTAATTGACTGGGGTTAGAGCTATGCTGCTTTGCTTAATGCATCCTGCAGAGAACCATCCTTTGGCTCGCAAAAGCTTTTTTATTGAGTTCAGAAACCAGTACACTCATTTTGATGCTTTTCAGCACTTACTCTGGATAACACACACGACTTTCAGATAACACACTTTATTTTCTGGCTCTTGTAAAATCTTACCTGTGAGGTTCCCCTGCTAATTCTTTTCCTCACTATCTCTGTATTTTATCCACAAGCCTGCTGTTTGTCTCCACTTCTTTTATTTTATTATCTTTCCCTTCCCCAAATATAGGGTAGCAAACTATAAGTTTCTCAATTCGTTAGTCTTCCCCCCTTTTTTTGTCACTAGTCCCTGTCTTTGTAAATTAGCTTGGTTTCCTTTTTTATGCCCAGACGTTCACACCCAGTTCAAAAAACTAAAATTCCCTGATGCGCAGAAAAGGTGTGCAATGCCACATAGATACACTTGTAAGTAATATGAAATGGGATACTGAAGTTATTTTCTAAGGGCCATCGTGGCTAAGCGCAGCTACCAAAAATGAAAGTGCTCATAACGCTCGACACTGAAGCAGAAAGGTGCCTCTCGCAAACCAATTCATCGCGTCCTCACCTACACATTGCAAACCTGAACTTGGTGTTCCCTTTCATGCAATTCATAGCCGTTCCCATGATAAACAAGCAAAAGCCCAACACATCAATTCAACCTTGCCAAGCTCTCTTGCTCACCATGGGAATGGCGTGCTCTTGAAGGAACTCCCTGAGGAAAGGCTGCTTCTTGTGGACTGGAGGAAGGTACTCCCTGGGACTGCCGCGGTACCACCAGTCACGCCTGCTTGGTCGGGAAAGTTGGCAAAATGGCAATCAATACAAGAACCAAGGCCACTACTTAGCTAAGGCATTTCACATTAGTAACACTAAATCAGGTTGCACTGATAGAGCACCGATTTAAAACTTCGTTTTTATTTACAATGGGTTGATAGGTTATCAGAATAGCAAGTGAAGGTGAAAGTTTAAGCTTTGAAATTTCACACTGAACCTTCTGTAGGGGTGCATTGGTGCGATGTAGTAGTTTTTTGTATTTGGGTCGCTGTAAATGTTCTTCAAACTTGGCAAGTTCAGTCTCTGGTTCTTTTAGAATGCAATGGCACCGTAATCATCAGTGTTTAAAATGTTTCTTTTCCCAAACTTTCTTATATATTTCATATAAAAAAAAAAAATGCGTCCCTGGTTCTTTTAGAATGCAATAGCCCCGTAATCATCAGTGTTTAAAATGTTTCTTTTCCCAAACTTTCTTACACACTTCATATAAAAAAAAAAAGATGCAGGAAAGACATGAGCTGGCACAAAATCACGGTTTCATGGTCATGTAATAAATACACAACTCATAACACAATTCAATGGCTTCATGTGAGCCTGTTCTAGAGCTGGTTCACAAGGATTGCTGTGCAATCTTCCTAGCAGTTCCCTGAGGTTCACTGCTCTGGCATGTCCGTAAGACGTGATAGAAACTAACAGCACTTGTGTGTCTCAAGCCTTTCTCTGTTCCTGTCTCATGCACTTTTAGCTTCTATCATTTCAGACAGTGCACTGGAGACATAACACTGATTGCCCTCTAGTGCATTTATACATTACTCTTTCAGAAGTTACTTACTTAGCGGTAAGCTTACAAAAAGAAAAGAGCAACAGAAACAAAAAGAAGTTGGCATGACAGCAGCGGAACTTGTATGAATGAAACAATTTAGCGTAGGTTCCTGGCTGAATAGCTGAGTGGCCCATGATACTACAGAGCAGACCACTTGTAATGTAACCACTTTCAGCGTGGAACCAGGTTATTACATGTGTTTTTCTGACCACCGATATGTCGCCTATAGAACTCCATGCATAGGCGAGGGAAGGGACGTAGATGCGTGGAGGAAAATACCGGTTATAACGCGGACTTTTTAGGCGCACGACCAGTAAAATCGGCGAACGAGGCCCACTTTTCCCACTGCGGTGGCACGTTCGTAGTGGGAGGCAGGTGGGAATGCACGGGTGGAGGCCAGCCGCCAGCCGCGAAAAGAAAACATAGTGGAGGAGAAGAGAGGGTACAGTAAGAAGGGAGAGAGCATGTTTTCGGAGTGCGAGACAGAGGCAGCGGAGGCGGCAGCATATTTTTTCTCTCAGTCTCCGTCTTTTGCCATGTTGCATTTGTCGTGTGCCCTTCTCTGTTTACGGTGTCGTAGTGGCCGTGTGATGTCGCCGATGAGACTGTCAAAACAGATGACATGTGGTCCGGCCTTGTTGACAGCAAGTTCGTAACTGCCACCGACACTTTCCAACAATTAGTCAATGCCAGGGAGTCAGAGCTACTTGTCTGTGAGGAAGCGAGGTCAAGTGAAGCGGTCGTCGCAGCGGTGCGCGGTAGTGCGGAGGTTGCAACTGATGTGTCAGAGGGCGAGGACAATGATGATTCGACGCCAGAACTCGATTTCCTGTTCAAAGACGCGTTAGAATACCTCACAAGAGTGAAAGGATACTGCGCAAAAAACAATTTGAGCGAGAAATTGCTTCAGGGCTTAATCTTTCTAGAATACGAAATGGTGCGAAGTGCTGCTCTCAAGCATTGCCAGACAAAAATAATGGCATTCTTTCGTTGATGCTGGACTTGGCAACTCACGGCTGTGTTGTGACTGTGTTGAATGTGTCTGTGAGTGAGAAGTATAATAAATTGCTCTTGAAAGGTGGGTTGCCCTTTTGGCATCGGCAAAAGCTCAGAAGAGCATGTGTTTGGTTATAACGCGGTACCACTTATAGAGCTGATTTTTACGACTCCCGTGGCTTACGTTATAAGCGGTCTACAGTGTATAGCTAATATTTCACCAGAGTCCATCACTATAACTACACTGTAGCTTAGGGCACAGATGTTTACTGCATGCGTAAAGGCATATAACTTCTTCCGCTAACCAATCCCTACCTGTTGGAGTCCATCTTGGTAAACCAGTACTTGTACAGCATGGCACGAATGTACTTGGGAGGGTGACGGGTGAAAGGGTATCGCTCCATGTTCATCAAGCGCAACGCTGCACCCAGACAAACAAGACACACAAGAATACTTGTAGAGGTTGTATTTTACGTAAAATAAGGCGTTAAATGTAGCGAAGAAGATGAACGCTACTTGAGAAGGCAGCGGGTACTTGCCAGGGCTGTGAACTAACCAGGACCTCCACCAATTAAAATAAGGCGTTTGGAAGCAGCACTTATTTATCAGACAAAACAGCAGCCTCGAAAATTGACGTCATAATGGCGGATCAACATCATCCTCTTCCCATCTCGGCAAGTACCCACTGCCTCCTCCAGTAGCGTTCATCATCTTCGCTACATACACAACAAATTTCAGTGATGCTCTGTAACACACAATGTTATTATTCTCGCTATCTGCTGGCACGACCATCCAGATAACAATGATTTTGCAGGAATTAATATTTTCATTTGTTAAAGAAAGATCACTTCAGACAATAGTTTTGGTCTTTCTGAGATGTGCAGCACGGGTAGACATCAGTGACAGATAAAGTGACATAAACCTCCCTAATCGACTAGTCAACTGGAGACAGTTTCTATAAAGTTGCCTCCAAGGTCAATGGCGAAATACATTGCTGTTATACGTAGCTTTATCTCGGAATGCTATGGAAGACTAGATATTAAAAAAAAGAAACCTAGAAAAGACAGTACACTGAACACCAGTGTGTTGTGCCAGATATCTTGAGATCTGGTTACTTGCAGTCTTAGATTTGCAAATGAGTGAAGTGACCTCAAGCACTTACAATATAAAAGGGCGAAACGGGCTCTAGATACGGTAAAGCTGAATTTAATCAGTTAATTCCACAATTATAATTTATGAGTGAATGCAGCAAGGCATTTCTCTTTAAGGGGGGACGCGGGTCTTAGAATGGTGAAAAATGGCCAAAAAGTCGATTTTGAGAAAATGCGATAATTGAAATTTTTAGACCTATAAGCACGTGTCCTCAAATTGTGAACGCTGAATTCGATCAGTAAATGGTTAAAATTGATTATGATGATTATGAATTGATTATGATTGATTATGAAATTGCGGCTCCCGTGGCAAACAACCGTGAGTTGTTTTGCCACCGGAGTCGCAAAACAACCCACGGCAGGTCAAATTCGTTCAAACTTCCTGCGCGCGCCACCGGCGAGGCAGTCGGCCGATCGCCGCCATCTTGGGCTTGTTTTGAAGCTTATTCCTTTGTGCCCATTTTGCCACCCTTCAAAATGGCGTCGCTTAAACAAAACGGCTGCCCTCGCCCTCTTTTCCGGAGCCCCCTCCCAGACCGCTGATTGGCCGGAGCGCGCGCGCACCAGGCAAGCCCCCTGTTCCTCGCTTCCCATTGGCTGATGCGGCCAAAGTTGCCCGCGCTTTTTTTTTGTATGTTGTTCGTCGGCCGCCGATTCCCGTTCGCGCACGTTGTTCGTCTGCTTCCCGCACGTGCCTGCTTGTGCTACGCGACTGATGCACCAACATTCCGTCTTTCGCCGGCATGATTGGAGACGCTCGTCTAAAGAAGAAGACGCGCCAAGCCTACGGCAAGAAACGGAGGATCCCGTGGAACGCCCGCCAGAAGAAAGAAGCCGACAACGTGCAGCCAATTTCGCCCGATGCCGCCAAAGCGGCGCATTCCGACGACGGTGCGCAGTCGCGGCCGCTTGTGTCCGAAGCGGTGCACTCTCCTGTGCCATTGCAGCGGCACCTCATCAGATTGTGTCGTCGTCGGATCGTCATCTTGCACTTCCAGCAGCATCCTAGACCGTATTGACACGGCGTTTTATTCGGCGGACAAGTTTGCTGAGTGCGCGAGAAATGCAGCGGGCTTGAAGGCATCACTCGCATCGCAGTGCGCGATTGAACGTAAGTTCGAGTTAGTAGATATTGATCTGGAGGATGGTGGCAAAGAAAACAGGACAGAATTTGTTATTGTTCATCTGGCGGCGATACGATCGTTATTTGGACTTGTCGCATGCCCAGAGTGCGGTGAAAGAAGCGTCACTATTTCAAAGGCCAAGAAAGAGTATGGGCTGTGTTCGAAGCTCATAGTCACGTGCGGCAGTTGTGACTTTCGCGAAGAGCGCTTTTCGTCCCCACGTATAGCCGACGAGACCGACGCCAAAATAAGGCCGTTTGAAATTAATATGTGTGCCATGAAGGCCATCAACAGTATTGGCAAGGGAACAACGGCTTTGTCGGACTTCTTCGCCGGGATGAATATTTCGCATCGAGGGCTTCACCACAAGAGTTACCAAAGCCACATGAATATAATGAAAAAAGCCTGCGGTGCGACTACTGCCGAATGCGAAGCGGCTGAGCATTGCTCGCATCAAGGAGCTCTATGCAGAGTTCGGCAAAGCGCCCCGAAACGTCAACATCATTTATGACGGCACCTGGCTTACGCGTGGACATAGCTCGCATATATGTGTAGGCTGCATTGTTGAGGTGTATAGTGGCCTCGTGATAGACCATATCGTGCTATCGAACTTTTGCCTGGCTTGTACCACAGGAACCAAGGAAGGAGAAGCAGGACATTCTGCCTGGCTCATTCAGCATGCCCCTCTGTGCCAGAAGGATGTTGATTGTAATGCTGGCTAGATGAAAGTGGAGGCAGCTTGAGCAGGTCACTTGAAAAGCACAAGCTTCGTTATACGACAATGCAGTCGGACGGCAACAGCAGGACATTTCATGCACTCACAGAAGAATAGGTGTACGGCTTCATAAAGGTGGCCAAAAAGGACTGCAGAAATCATGTACACAAGCGTATGGGAGCTGCCTTACGTACCCTTGTAGAGAGAAAAAAAAAAGCTCAAGGTGGCTCACTTGGTGGAAAGGGCAGACTTACGCAACAAAAGATAAAGAAGATCACCTCATACTATGGCTACGCATTGAGAAGCCACAGAAACGATGTTCCAGGTATGCAGAAGGCTGTTCTAGCAACTTTGAACCACATGTCTTCAACTGACGAGGCACCAAAGCATGACATTTGCCCTGAAGGCCCTGAATCCTGATGCAAATTTCAGAGAGCTCTTGCGAAAAATGAGAAGCCGTCACCACACAAGGACAGCCTGCCTGATTTCGTAACTGAGGCATTGGAGCCTGTATTTAGGCGGCTGAGCGACAATGCCCTCTTGGAAAGGTGCAGCTGATGGTATCACCCAGAACCCAAGTGAGAGCCTGCACTCTATGATTTGGCAGCAGGCCCCCAAAACTCAGCATGCATCCTTGCAGAGCATTGACAGGGCTGTTGCCGAAGCCATCAGCCGCTTAAACCAAGGCACAACCAAGAGCAACGTGGAAATTGCCGAGAAGCTGGGCTACAGCGCTGGCAATAACTTGGTGCGTCACAGCCTTGAGGACAAGGGAGGCTGCAAAAATCGCAAAGAGAGCATCTCGACAGCAGTTCAATAAAGGAAAGACTTTCAAAGCGTCACAAGCCAGCAGGGGACTCTGCTTACAGCCCTGGTCTGCTGTAAACAGTCATGATGGCAAATAGTGAGAATTTTTGCAAAAATAAATATTCTTGGTTTTAGACCTAAACATTGTGTAAATTTATTGTCTATCCAAGGACAACATTATTACATGATTTTTTTGTGTTCCTTTCACTTGCAAGGCACTGGAATGACCACAAAGTAAAAAAATAATAATTCTCATGCAGAGTCAATGACTATTTTATAGTTCTAGAAGAAGCTGTGAGCAGTATTCTGGGTGGGTACAGTGAAATTTAGCATGGCCATTTATCCTATATAATTTATCCTACAGAATGCTGTCATTAATATGGCTGTAGCTTTACTTTAGCAAAACTTAAAGTTGCTAGAAATTTCAAACACGTTTTTCTCAGTTCGATGTTTTTGCACATTGCACTCGGCCTTACGGGGGTTCTTCCTATGTTAATGTTGAGTGAATGCGACAAAGTTGGTATCGTTTTATTCGTCTTGACATGATCTAGGGGGTGATGCTATTTCTATTTCTTTAGCATCACTTCAAAAATTACCATTGAAGATTTTAGTGAGAAATTTATCGTAATATAGTGACCATAAATGTTCGACCGTTTTCTTGCTTATAAAATGCCTTCAAATGGATAAAAATAGCATCACCCTCTACAGCAAGTCTCCAGCATTGGGATTATGCATTCACTTTTTGGATTTAGCAAGAATAAATTGCCAAGAAGTCCCATAAGAAGTACGCAATTAATTAAGATTAAGACCGTCATATTTTCTAAACCAATTGAAATATTAAGAAACAAATTAGAGATTTGAAATCAGCATGAAAAACTAGCTTAGGTAGTGAAGTTTGGTTAAGATTGAGCAAAAAATAAAACAACATTTCAGAACCCACGTCCCCCCTTAAGGGGAGATGCTACTCGAAAAACGATTTTGTTTAATAAGAGGCTGAATTCAACACAAATTGGCATGCTAATAGAGTTTTTTCTCCTCTTTTCAAATATGTCATTTATTTTCATGTAGATTGCTTGGTTTACTTTCTGCAGGTCAGATACTGCAAAATTATGGCCATTGTTATGCAACAATTATGACCTATAAAAATTTGAGATAAAGCATGCAGATATAGCTGACTATGATCCTTTGGAACTGTAGAGTGCAAAAAACTACATAAATTTTGTGTGTAAAAAGGTGAAATACAATAATAAAATAGAAAAATTTACTATGGCTCTAGTTGCCAAAAGCTTTCAATGTTATGTAATTTTTGAAAAACATAATCAAGCAGCACTGACAATCTGAATAGATACTTGCACTCTATGGGCCTTCATCATGCTATGTGCAAAATTTCATAGAGGTATGACAATTCTAAGTATGCGAACTAGCATGTATAAAAAGCACAGATCACACAAAACTGCAAAAGGAAAAAAACGCATTTGAAAGTTTGAAACCTTTTTTTTTTATCACAGAGTTGTTAGAAATGCATATTCTTTGGTCATAATGTTCAACAGAACTTTGAAAAGCCCTGCAAGTTACTAGAACTGTCCTGCAGCATAGGTTGTGCCCTCACGGTCCTTGCGAGCACTCTCTTCTAGCCGTGCCCTTTTCACTCCACGACGACGGTGGGCCCTTGCTTCTGCTGTCAGGCGCTCGGACATTCTCTTGATGCGCCTCGCATCGCGGGAATCACTGAAAGTAACTAGATCTCTAGATGGCAGTATGTTGAGCTCTTCCAGGATGTGCTCGAAAGTAGCATGACCCTTGTTGAACCACAGGATTGCCATAGCTGCGGCAGTCTCGACAACCGTTCGGGAGACAAACTTAGTCTTGGGCAAAGTAGCCAAATTTTGCTGTTCAGGGATTCCGATGCGTTCTGGGTTTTCCCTTTGATGCATCGCGCAAGGAGCTTCTCGTCCGTTAGCCGCTTATAAATGGGCAAAACAGCCAATCCCTGTGCTTTTGTCAGGAGAGGTGTGTGGCGTGGTGCAGGTTCACCAAGTGCTTCAGCGCGTTGATGTTTGCACCACGACTCTGTTCCTGCAGGGCAAAACTTGTGGCTGCCAGCATTGTCAGTAGAGCATGAGTGGAAGTACGAAGCCCATACTGCAGTGTACATATCCCGTACACTCCCCCTGTTGCTTGTTATGGCAATCTGATAGTATGTTTGGAGCTTCTGAATGGCTGGCTCTTTCATTTTCTGCCCTCGTAGTAATGGCACATGCAGCTTCCGTAGCCCGGTGCCAAGCCTCTTGGCCACATGATTAGTGCAGTCTTCTTTTTCTATATTGACAGCACCATAGACTTTTGACTCTGCAACTGCACTATATGCTTTGCTGTCACCGTCACTCAAGAATGTCATGAAATGCAGTGGGGTGTCATAAGTCAATGTTCTCTGTCAAACGCGCATTGCAGCCTCCGTTTCCATGGCATGGGAGGAACAGTCTGCATTTTTTTCACAGACTGGGCCATGGAATGCCTGCCACACTTCCTCGTCTGGGCCCATATCCTTGTGCCTACTGCATGTCAGGCAGTAATTTGATATGACCTCGAAGTCTAAGCAGAGGCCAGTATCTAAGGAGATAACTGCGCCAATCCCGTTGTGGCTTTTGTGGCCCCTCTTCTGCGAAGTGCCGTCGAACATAACAGCCACATCAGTTTCGCCTGCTACTTCTTTCGTCAACTCTCTGGATTGGCGCAAGTTTTCACTCACAGCTGCCATGGCAGCGGTGTGCACCTTCTTTGCTATCAAAAAAAATCCTCGGTGGTGCATTGGCTTTGGGAGTCCAATAATGGAGCAAAATCTCGACAATTGCTCATTCCCAATGCCGACAGCGCGTGCAGCCCCCCCCGCCTTCACATTTACAGTGAAACTATCTCGGGAGCTCCCACTGTCGTACCGTTGGCTCACTCGGCTGCTGCCGTCCGCCGTAACACGCAGTGACGTATAGGAGCACGAAAGAACAGTCGCTGAGCATTCGCTGTTTTCGCAATGAAGTTCGAGGAGCGACGAAAGTCCCTTGCGCTTTTCTGCCGGCTCCCGACTGACAAGTTTTTGAATACCGCAAGCAGGGCATGCCGCACTTCCCACAAGTGCCGTCAGCAAGAGGGTGTCGCACAAAACTGTCGTTGCACAAACCTCATCGCGCTAGGGCATGCCGCACCTCCCACAAGTGCCGTCAGCAAGAGGGTGTCGCACAAAACTGTCGTTGCACAAACCTCATCGCGCTGTCTTTCGTCTTTTTCGAAGAAGCCGAGCTTCTTTTCCGAAGCACTGACGAAAGAAAGCGCAGCGTCAATCCCTTCATCGCAGCCACTTTCGCTCGCGCACTCGTCGATGCCGCCGTTAGGCCTAGCACACGTAGGCGCATTCTCGTTCGTCGTTGTCGTTCGGGACGCTTTACGCCACCTTCCCTTGAACTTGTGCTTCGTTCGAAACTTCTGCGGTCTCACATTGCACTTTTTCGGGCTTGTCATCGCGGAAATATGCGTAGACGCGGAGAAAAGCAGACGGACCAAATGCCGATGGCCGCCACCAACACAGCTGACAATGACTCGGTAGCCAATGGCGATGCGGCTTAGGGTGCAGCGCGTTTCAAACCGCTCAAACCACGTGATAAAAAGGCCTAGCTTTTTATATTTTTTTGCACACGTACGAAACTGGCGGTCGTCGGAGCTGTAAGAAGAAGGCCGGACGCAACTTTCCCAACCGATCGCGATGGCGGGCGGCACTGCGACGGGGAGCAGCGCACAGTCAAAGATAACCAATATCGGTGCAAATTCACGAAATTTTGAGCCACTGCGATGCCTTTATACACATTTTTTTGCATTTTGCGATTCGAATTTAGTTTTAAAATTTTCACAGATGAAAGAAGAAGGTTTGAAGATTACAATGCAATAAAAATCAGAAATACGAAAAATTTCGCTAAAAACGCGATTTTTCGACTCGCATCTCCCCTTAAACACTCTTCATGAGTCCTGTGAGCCTCAAAGGCAATGTACAAGATGACTTCCACCTACAAACCTCAAACCAATGGGACGATGGAGCAATTCCCTCGCACGCTGTGCAACATGCTGACCATGTACAGTAAAACCTCGTTAATTTGAACTCAGTTATTTTGAAATCATGCTTAATTTGAAGTATTTCTGTGGTCCCGTATTTTACAATGTAAGTTTGAGCGGATAATCTAAAGTGGTGGCCAGCACAAGTCTATTCGAAAACTCTGGATGCAGTGTGTCGATTATTGTTTCTGATTTTGCTGCAAATCCGTGAAAACAATGGCCCTTGAGAGCCACTAGGCAATGTAGTTTAGGGATACTAATTAGTGGCAGCTGAAGCACCCCTGGCTTGTTACTTCCAGCACAAAAAAAAAAACGGTCTCGTGATTAGCTGAAATATGCGCCTGTGGAAAACAAGACGTGCGGGCAGCATGTCGCATGCTTCTCGCAACAATAGCGTGTCATGATTTATTAACTCTCTCTAGGAATTAAAAGAAATTAATAAAGGTCAGTCTGGAGAAACCTGCCATGTATGCGAACCTCCGAGTGCCGGTTGCTCCAGCAATTTGCTCACTTGCACTGCTGGCGAAGTTTTTGCCTGCAACGCCTACTTCGAAAACTCGGGCTGAAAGCTTCAATAGTGATGTTTTCCAGCCAAACCACATCGCGAATTTCGTCACACTGTCGGTTTATAAATTCTTTATTTTACCTAAAAGAATGGGTGAATGGTTGCATTATGACGTGCTGACGCAGCAAGAAGCAGGTGACGTGCTTACCACATGTCACTACTGCGTTTCAGTAAAGATGTCTTGTTTTTCGCAGGTGCGCGTTTTAGTTGGTCACATTTTTTTTTTCCCAGTGACACGGGTTAGGCCCAAACCCTTGTTTGCCTGCAAAATTGTGACCAGGCATTGCTGGAAGACGTAACCCTTGGAGCCACAATCTAGCTGGCACAGCAAACGACCATGCCCTGATTAACTTGAATAATTTCAACGTTTCTTGCATCCCACTTTTTATATGTTCTGTTAATTCGAAAAACCTGCTTAATTAGAAGATTTCTCACAGTCTCAGTGACTTTGAATAAACGAGGATTTACTGTAATATCCAACTTGATCATCACAACTAAATAAATCCACCACATGAAAAGCGATGGTGATGATATGTCTAGGTGAAGATGAAGTATACCAAAATGATTACATAAATAAACATTAGGCACTTTTTAAAGGAGCCCACTGTTAAGTATCTGGTTCACAAACTGATTGCAAGAGTCTGAGAGAGAGACCAGTCATAGAAACAATTAACCTAAGTTCTCCAATGTTCATGTTGATTTTGCTGTTCAAAACACTAAATGAAACCGGTAAAGTACCCAGCATCATAAAGCTCTACTACCCCCACATCTTTTACAGGGTGTTCGTTCAGAGTCAGAGCATGTCGTTCATGTGCCTGCACATGAGAGACAGACGTATACTTCCTGAGTGTGCAGGGAACGTTTAAGAAGGAAGATAGAGCAAAGAGATAGGACAGACAGCACTTTTATCGAACTTATGCATGCCTGTCTCGAACAGGCAAGGAAGGGAAAAGAGCCCGATGTACTTGGAAAATACTGCAAAAGAGTGGCTACTTGGGCTGGTTGGCATTGCATTTTTGAAAGAAATATACTTCCTGAATGCGCAAGGAACGTTTAAAAAGAAAGATAGAGCAGAGAGATAGGACAGAGTACTGTACTATCTCTCTGCTATATCTTCCTTCTTAAACGTTCCCTGCGCAGTCCAGGAAGTATATTTCTTTCAAAAATGCAATACCAACCAGCCCAAGTAGCCACTTTTTTGAGAGACAGACCTTCTAAAACCTGCGTATTTCCACAACTACATAAAATAAATGGAGGACAAACATACCTGCTGCATCATTGTTGAGCAAACGGTAAACCAAGCTGAGCAACCACGGGTTTTGCCTGTAGTCACCCAACGCAGCAAACCACATCTGCCAATCAAGCCTGGGCTGGTGTGGAACTATGGGCACAGAAAGAGCAGTTAGCAAGCACACCCACAATCACACGTGCCAGAGTACACACCGGTGCTACTTTTGGTGAAAACAGAAAAAATAAATCAAGAGATAAAAACTAATGCACTCATAAACCTTCCACAACCTTTTCTATACAAATGCACATAACACAAGAGATGGACAATACATTTAACCAAAAAACTCACTTTCGAAAACGGTGACTATGGCTAAATAATGCGTGGTGGCTGAGTGGCTAAACACATCGTGCCAAAAAACAAGAGACTGCAGCTTTGAAACCTTTGCCCCACTCGAACCCAAGATATTGAAATATTTTTTTTTTGCATCTAAGCACTTTGCAATTTCGTTCATACAAAATGCCCATTTTTTGCTAACAACCAGACACTGCTATCACTGCCAACTACACCGACATTGAAATTTCTTGAAAACAAGCTATTGTTTTTAAAATAGGTGCATCAAATCACCAGTAAATGAAATTCGTTACTCACGCAAACATCTTCCAGCTCACTGCTACAATAGCATTGCACGGTGCACTGATTATCTTTTACAGCATCAATTGACAGTTGCGGCAGAACGAAAGTAAATTCTTCAAGCATAAATTCTCAGACGTACATATTCGCAATAAAATGATGGAAATCATTCTCAACAATCAACTCCTGATAAAGTGGGTTGCAATCATTATGCGAAGTAATATTAAATCTCACTCGGGAGCTTAATTCTTACTGCAATGGCTGTAGGTATATAGAAAATATGCTAAATGTAAAAATTTTTTTTATCGTTTGCAATGTTGGCAGCCATCTACAGAACTATCACTAGGAGAAAATACAGCTCGAGGTCTAGGAGACCGTGCGGTGTGAGCGAACTACAGTGACAATGCAGCTGTTCTAGCTAGAGCCAAGCAGATGACAAAAGGCAGAGGCCTTGTGCTCACATCACTTGAGCACCTCTAGTCATAGATCGGCAAAACTTGCAGAACTCGCTCATTAACTATATTTGGTGCTTAGGGCTCACTTGGACTCAGACTCATGAAAATTTTCCTGAGCCGGACTCAAGCTCATAAATATTTTGTCCAACCGGACTCCATGGGACTCTAACTCATGGCTTGATCTGAGTCTGAGTGAGTTCGCGTATTGCTATCGGTGATGCACAAGGTGAATAACGGAATAACACGAAGGACCAGGCAAAGAGTAATGACGCACGCACGAGGAATGTCCACGTTGAGACAGAGCCCAAACAGGGACATTTCTCACATGCGCCAACAAGATTGTGCGATACACACTGATAATTGGGGGTGGGCGATGCACATCTCCCGGCTTGTACAAGAACTGGCAGCTCCACCCACGGACCGGTTGCGTCATCACTTCCTTCCAAGACCAACTCAGGTCGCCCTCCTACACCCGTCATGCTGTGCAAGCAACAAGGCAAAGGTCGAATTGGCTGGGGGCATTTTTTTTTTTTTTTTCACAACATAGATTTTCATGACCACGGTTATTTTTTTTAAGCTTCTCTATTAAAACCCACAGAAAATACATAATCAGACTGCAGATGAAGTATCATATGAAGCTAATAGTATTTTGTGGGGTTTTACATTGCCAAACCATAATACGATTACGAGAGGTGCTGTTATGAAGGGCTCCAGAAATTTTGACCGGCCTGCTGTCCTTAACGTACGCCGACGTCGCAATGTAACCACCACGACAGGAATCGAATCCACAAACTTCATGTCAACAGCTGAGCACCCAAGCCGCTGCTCCACTGTGACGAATTATTGTATGAAGCGCAAATGATACAAGGCAATGCTTGTACAGTCGAATCCCACAATAACGAAGTAAGCTACAACAAAATTTTCCCCACAACAAATAATTATCAATTCTCCACCAGCCGCCCATAGAAAACAATGTAAAATACGTCTCGTGACACCTAGTACTTTTCCTGGATATTTTCACTTTAACAACGTTTTCACGGGTACTACCTCATTATGAAAAAGGAAGTGGTCTAGGATTGCCACTGAAATTCCGTACTCGGCATGCTCATGACACCCAGAGCGCACGGCGGTATCACACCAACCGTGTCTTCATCAGAGACACGCTTTCTGCTACCACATGCACATTCAGCTAAATTTATCGTCATTGAGATGCTTGGCGACACCTCACCCATTCACCATAACGCTGCCGGTGGACTTGATGTGCGTGCGAGCCAGCGCCAGAATCGCGATCTACAAGAACCCCTGCCATAAGTTTTTGATATCATGCTCAAGAATAAAACTACCGCTCATTGTCACTAGCAGTGTGTTGATGAATAACAACAACGCGTTGTGAATGCGCACACACAAGCAGCACGCGCCTAGTCCTAGCCTAACTGCTTTCTGCCGCAACCGCTGCGAACTCAAATGCGGTAGTTTTAAGCGCGATTATGGGCGATCCCGAAAGTACGCACGCAGTCAACGAGCACTGACTCAACCCGTAACGATTTCTAGCCGTAAAGAAGCGAAGAAGATAGCAACGACGCAGTTTTAAGTCACGCGCACGGTCAGCGCAGCGCGCATAGATTGAAAACAGAACTACTGTTTGCTGCAACCACTGCGCAGAAAACTGTGGTCAATATTGTCTTATCCATCAATAGCACATACAATCCGAAGGTGCATAGCTAACACAGTCATAGGTTAAAGGTAATAAAGCCATAAAAAGACACGAAGCATTACAATCTTCCTGTCGTTTACTTACGGCCGCGTTAGTGCAGAGCTTCGTCACTTTCTCTTGCAGTTATCACTTGGCCTCTAGTGAAGCTTTGACACATTTGTTTGCGACGCTGCGACCAATACCAAAAACCAAAGATATTGCAAAAATGCTTTTGATACAACCTCTTGGTATCAAACATGGCATTTGATGCCAGGTCCATGTGGTGAAGGTGCCTAGCAAAGCCCTGTCCTTATTTGGCACACCATGAGGACGAAACTGAGAACAAAAGCTGCTCTTTGCTGGGGCACTTTACTCACGTTCATAGAAGGGGTGAATGAGCTGAGAATGAGTCCGCCTTAGTGGATCAGTGGTGAGGCTGTTTGTCTGCTGACCCGGGTCACGGGTGCGATTCCGACCATGGCGGTTGCATTTTGATGGAGGCGAAATGGCAAAAACCCATGTACAGTAAAACCTCGTTATAATGACGCGAGATATAATGAACTAATAGATATAACAAAGCCACTGTAATTCCCCTTGAAATTCCTATAGACGCCCATGTATTTAAAACCTTGTTTTAATGAAGCAAAATGAATATAACAAACCATTCTTCGTCCACAATGAGCATTTAATGATCATTTTCGTATACGTCAATTCAATATTTCATAGCGTGCGACGGTTTATGTTTCATTACGGCTGCGGTAATTCAAACTCGCGCCTTGCGCTCCCAGGGAGCCGCCTGCAAACACACGTGTGGGAGTGAGTCTCCCTGCCTCCCCTTTCCTCTGGAACTAATGGACTCGCCCGTGCAGCAACTCTCGTCAGCCGGCCTCCCCTCTCCTGTAGAAATCGTTGTCCCACCCGCGCATCTGACCTCCTTCCTCCCTTCAGCTCAAGCAGAAGTCAGCAATGTAGAAAGCCGTTGAGTCGGACGTCAAGAAAAAAAAAAGTGGCTGAAGATTTCGGCGATGTCACCAGTGGGTGTTACAAGCGACCGGGCCCAGACGTCGTGGGCCGCTCTCCTTGACGTCGGCTTTGTGCCTGACTGCCACACTTTCTGCATGTATGTCGGTGCCAATACTGATGCGGTGACAACCGTGCATGACGAGTGTTGGTGAACCGACGCTCGCGCAAGTGCTGGATGCGATAGACCTGCTGTGCCGCTTCTTTGGTGCTTAGGATGACGGTGAGGATGGACTCGAAATAGCTGCTGCAGCTGAAAAAGCAGTCATACGCATGAGGAAGAGTCGGCAAAAGCCTGTTAAGGACTAGTTTTCTTCGAAGTGACCTACCAGCTGGTGTGCTGGATTTGGCGAAAACAAAGTGCATTGTCATTTATTATTTTGATACTTTTTGCCTTCCGACGGCCGTTTTTCTCTGCGCGGTGGGCTGCTGTGATATTCATTGGTGAGTACATTCTTTCTTGATGACGAATTGTCGGTAGAAATAGATAATTGTTGTGTAGTGTATAGGGGGCGCTGTCAATGCTATCATCTGTATATAAGCGATTGCCATCAAAATAAAGGTGTGGTTCCCCGTCCATGGATCGGTCCGACTTATCACTCGGCGCTTCGCGATACGGTGATATCACATTCTGGCGCAGTCGGCGAAGCTAGCGAGCTAGCGACGAACCGTTTCCTGCCGTTTTAAGGGGCGTCGCCTACGAGATGGCAACGTACGGACTACCGCCATTACCGCCTTTTCTGGAGACTCCTGGAGATGCGACAATCCCATGGGAGCAGTGGCGCGATGATTTCACAAATTTCCTTGAAGCAACGGGGATGGACGCGCAACCGCCACCACGGAAAAAGGCCATTCTACTGCAATGTCTCGGGGTCGAGGGACGCCGTATTTTTCGCACACTGGGCCCAGAGCCGGCGCGGACGCCAGGCACGACAGAAGATAAGACGGAGGCAAGTGGAAGAGATAGTTACATCGAGGCGTTGGGCCTATTGGAGCGTCAGTTCTCAAGCACCGTCAACGTACTGGTAGAGCGACGTCGATTCACTTTACGTCGGCAACTGCCGAATGAGCCTATACGGGAGTTCGTCAGTAACCTCAGACAGTTAGCGAAGACGTGTGACTTCGGGGATTTCTTGGAGGCGGCTCTGCGAGACAGGGTTGTTGATGGAATACGGAGCACTGAGTTGCGACAGAAACTGCTCGTGAAGGGGTCCCAACTTACGCTGGCAGAGGCTGTAGAAATGCTGCAGACGTACGAGCAGGCAGCGGAGGGCGCTGCGGTCTATGACCAAGGGTCGCCACAAACGGACATAGTACAGCACGTATTCCAAGGCAGAGGCCCAGACGGCGACTCGACAGCGACGTCGGTGCGCAAGTGTTACCGGTGCGGCTCTACAAGGCACCTCGCTAATTCACAGGAATGTAAAGCACGGGGGAAACGTTGCTCCAAATGCCACAAGATGGGACATTTTCAAGCGGTCTGTGGCATGAGGAGGGAGCAGAACGTACGGACGGTCCGGAACGACGGCGCTAGCGAAGAAGGCGTGCTCACTGTGCTGGCGGTCAGACAAGTGGAACGACGGACTTTGGTAGTTGACGTCGTTGTTGAGAACGAGCCACTTCAGTTGCTGGTGGATACTGGGTCGTCGGTGTCTATTTTGCCCGACCACGTCTACCGAGACAAGTTCGCCAACAGGTTTCCTTTGACTGCGGCTACAGCGACGCTGCGTGATTTTTCACAGAAGAAAATTCCAGTCTTGGGATGGTTCACAGCCAGAGTTGTACGCGGGAAAAACTCGGCTTGCCTCCGCTTTTACGTTGTTCCCCAGGGCGTGGCATTACTGGGACTAGACGCGGTGCACCAGCTACAGTTGAACATCATCGGTTCTACATTGGAATGTCTACAAGTCACGGCCAGCCCCCAGTCGCTCCCTCCTGAATTGTGTGAGTTTTCTTTTCTTTTCGCTGATAAGTTGGGCTTAGCGAAAAACTTTGTACATTCTGTAAGCTGCGCGCAGACGTAAAACCAGTAGCAGCGAAAGTTCGACGCTTGCCCCTGACGCTGCGAGATAAAGTAGCGGCTGAACTGACAAGATTATTGGATGCAGGCATTATAGAAAGGGTTAGCGCTGCGGAATGGGTGTCTCCTATAGTGGTTGTGCAGAAGAAAGATGGAACTATTCGCCTATGCGTCGATTTGCGCGAGCCAAACAAAGCAGTAGTCATTGATGGATTCCCTTTGCCGCACACGGAGGAACTGTTACATGCGCTGAGCGGAGCAGCATGGTTCTCGAAACTGGATCTTGCTGCAGCCTACCATCAAGTGGAATTAGCCGAAGAGAGTCGCGAAATAACGACGTTTATTACGCACGAAGGCTTATTTAGGTTCTGCAGAGTTTGTTTTGGCCTCGCATCGGCACCTGCCGCGTTTCAGCGAATGATGCAAGAAATATTGAAGGGCTGCAAGGGCGTGTTGTTTTATATCGACGACATTATAGTCTTTGGAAAGACTAAGCACGAGCACAACCGTAACCTTCGCGAGGTATTGCATCGGATCGCTGAGGCGGGGCTGCAGCTGAATCAGAAATGCTTATTCGCTGTCAAGGAACTCTCCTTTTTGGGTCATCACGTGAGTGCAAGAGGTCTGGCCCCACTTAAGTCAAAGGTGGATGCTGTGATGAAAGCACAAACGCCTGCCGATGTAGTCTCGCTGCGGTCTTTCCTTGGGCTCATAGGCTATTACTCTCATTTTCTCCCCAATTATGCAGAGGTGGTGGAGCCACTGCGACGGCTTCTTCGTAAAGGACAGAAGTTCGTGTGGGACCAGAGCACCGAGGAGAGTTTTTGCAGGGTCAAGAAGATGCTGTCGTCATGTGGGGTGGTGGCCATGTTCAACGAGTCTTTGCCTGTACAAGTGACCACTGACGCCTCGGCATATGGACTGGGAGCTGTGCTACAGCAGGTAGTCGACGGAGAAGTACGTACAGTGGCATTCGCTTCGAGGACACTAACGCCACCAGAACGCAAGTACTCTACCGGGGAACGAGAGGCGCTGGCATGTTTATGGGCGTGCGAACATTGGCATGTTTATCTGTGGGGCCGCAAGTTTGTCTTACGAACTGACCATCAGGCTTTGGTGACACTGCTGTCCACAAATGGGGTTGGAAGACGGCCACTGCGTATTGAACGCTGGTCTGCTAGACTTCTGAGATACAACTTCACGGTGCAGTACACAAAGGGGAGCACCAATGTCGTTGCGGATGCGCTTTCTAGGCTACCGTTGACCCCTGCAGAGGACGACCCTGTGGAGGAAGTAGTTGCTGTGGTTTCCAGCATGATCACAAAGAGTGAGTTGCAAGCAGCGACAGCTGAGGATTCAGTGTTAAATGAGGTGGCACAGTATGTTATGTCCAGATGGCCGGAAAAGGGCTGTTTAGCTGAAAACATAAAATTGTTTTTTCGTATGCAAGAAGAACTGTCGGTTATAGACGGACTATTGTTTCGCGCTGAACGGGTCGTTCCCCCAGCAGCACTTGCTTCCAGGCTGGTCATGATGGCACACGAATCGCATCCAGGCATTGTAAGGACCAAACAACGGTTGAGGGAACAGTACTGGTGGCCCGGAATGGACAGTGATGTTGAATCTTTGGTTAGGAATTGTGCTGTCTGCAAAGCATCAGATAAATCTGCAAAAACTGTAAGGGCCCCGTTGGAGCCAGTGCAGTGGCCCGAGAAGCCGTGGGAAAAGCTTGGAATTGACATCGTTGGGCCGATGGAACGAGCCCCTCCAGAGTGCAGGTTTGCAATCACTATTATTGATTACCACAGCAAGTGGCCTGAGGTGGCATTTGTGTCCACAATAACTGCACAGGCAGTAGTGAAAGTACTCGTGGAAATTTTTTTCGAGAGAAGGGTACCCGAAAAGCATTGTGACTGACAATGGGCGTCAGTTCATGTCGACATGTTTTGAGCAGTTTTTACGAGACCGGGGAATTCAGCACTGTGTTACAACATTGTACTACCCGCAATGCAATGGGCAAATTGAGCGGTTCAACCGCGTTCTCAAGGAGTATATGCAGGTTGCGGCATTGGAGCGAAGACCACTGAAGGAGGCAATTTGGGACTACCTGGGTGTTTATAGGGCCACCCCGCATGCAACTACAGGAGCGTCGCCGGCTTACCTGCTGCATGGAAGAAAACCCAGAACGAGATTGGATGTTGTTGGCCTCCCAGAAAGGGAATTTTTTGAGGAGCCGCGTGTCGTCATGGAAAAGTTGAAACAGCGCGTTAAGGAGCAGCAACAACGAACAAAAAAGTACGTCGATGAAAAACGAGGTGCCAGAGCGTCTGTCATTGAGCCAGGAGATTTCGTAAAAGTAAAACAAGGCGGACCGAAGACGAAACACAAGTTTTCTTTGCCGATCCAGGTGAAGAGACGTGTGGGCACGAATTCGTTTCTACTGGCAAACGGGACGAAATGGAACGCATCAAAGTTAACAGTAATTAGTAAAGGAAGGACAGGACAGGCACAAGCACTAGCTGACGCGGTTACAGCGCGACGCAATGCATCTTCGGGGTTTTCCTACGACATGGATCTTCACATAGGAAAGATGGCTCAGCCACAAAACCCTATAGTCGTGAATGAATCGGAAGTGGGTCCATCAGAAGACACCCAGGGAAGCGCTAACCATTCTGACAGTGCACAAACCACGGTAACGGAGCCCATATTAGAGGTTCCCGATCAGCAGGACACATCTCGGTCGCAGTTGGCCACAGCCACAGCACCATCACGCACCAGGCCGGAACGAACAAGAAGAATGCCAACACGGTATCAAGACTACGAGCTGACCTGACTACAAGAACATCAAGTGTGGTGAAGTGAACGTGTGCTGTGAAGTGAGTGCGCGAAAGTAGACTGACTTTAGTTGTGTTGTTAATTTTTATGAGGGGGGAATGTGTTGTGTAGTGTATAGGGGGCGCTGTCAATGCTATCATCTGTATATAAGCGATTGCCATCAAAATAAAGGTGTGGTTCCCCGTCCATGGATCGGTCCGACTTATCACTCGGCGCTTCGCGATACGGTGATATCACAATAATGGTTATAACAAAATAAAGGTTATAACAAAGTAACTACGACTCCCCCATCAACTTCGTTATAACGAGGTTTGACTGTACTATGCGATGTCAGTGCACGTTAAACAACACCAGATGGTCAAAATTTCCGGAGCCCTCTACTACGGCGTTGCTCATAAGCACATCGTGGTTTTGGGATGTGAAAAACTCTACATATTATTATTATAAGGTGAGCTTACATATTATGTGAGTGTTTCGTGTTTCTCAGCAAGGAAAAGATTGTGTGAGCCAGACAGGGCAACGAGGCCAGATTTTTGGCTGTTTTGTAGTAAAGATATATTTTTCACAAATCAACAACATTTGAAAGAGGGTACAATTTTTGAAAATCAAATAGTTGAAAGTGAGCGTTTATCTTGTCAACATCTTCATAACCTTGCCTTTATTTAACTTGATGCTCATTAATATTGTCTATGAGTATGATGATGGCGACATAATGGAAACACTGGATAAACAGACTGAATTTCGTTTCAGCTTTTTTTAGGAGCGAAGCCCCTTATGGCATCACCTAGTTGGTCGTCCTTCCATCCTGCGTAGCCAGCACATGCACGGAGTGAACGATGATGAGTGGGGCGAAGCATCCGTTCGCCCGATGCGTGTCCTAGTGTGATAGGAGCAGACAAACGGACAGACCGACGGATGCATGGATAGACACACGAACGGACGGAAACACTGACAGACGAATGCACGGATGGAAAAACTGACGCTTCACCCCACTCATCATCATTCACTCTGCAGATATGCTGTGATTTTTTTAACTGATGCAAAACTAAGGAACGAATGAAGGGGTTTCACCATTACCGTCTGAACAGGCCATACGAGCTTGTCAGGTGGAAAGGTTGAACCTTGTAATGCCAGTGCCGAACTGTGGGCCACAGCCTTCGGTTCAGCCCACGATCCAGTTCCGAGAGTGGGACCAGAGATATGCAGAAGACCCACACCGCAGCTGTCCCGAGGAAAATGGTGCCCATGGTTGAGAAGATCTTGCTCAGGAGACCTCTTTCTTTTGCAACTGACCTGAAGGAAATGAAAAACAAAAAATGCAAGAACGAAACGTACATTCAAGTCAACAAAACACTACCATAAAATGCCGAGCAAGCAGCCCCATTATGGTGAAAGATAATCTGACTAGATTCGGGACAGGGGCGCTTGCTCAGTCCCGGACCGAGATTCAAGATGGTGCTGGGAAAGCCGCTAAAAATGAAAAAAAAAATGCCTATTCATGTTGCTAATGAGATGCTTTATTTACAAAGAATTTCATAAACAATATTGAATATACATTCGGCGTACTCATTCTTGCGGCTCTTTTTGCATAAGCGATGCTCGTCTCGAGAAAAAAAGCGGCCAAAGGGGAAGAAAGGGGTGGGTGGGTGTGATTGCTTGGTCATTCGCGCTTATTTCAGATTTTCAAAAGAAAGGCTCAGCATTTTACGGCAGATAGGGAAAGAATTTGAGGAACTAAGCACGCTCAGACAGCAATAACTGAATTAACTGTTGCAGCCGATAATAAAAAATTAAGAGGTTGTTTCCCACATCAAACACAACACTCCTGGTACAAATACAGAGCAAGGCACTAACTCGCGATTAGCGTGAAATCGCTGGAGAACTGCATGTTCTTGTTCCTAGGCTTCTGTTTTGCCCCCTTGCCCTATATGATAATCTTTAGCGGGCTAGCATATGCACAAGTACAATTAAAGCCCAATTAAATTCCTTTAAGGTGACCATGCAAAACCATGAAAAATATCCTAATTCCAAATACCATCCTGCTGAAATTTCCCGCAACTCTATGAAGACTGAGCTTGTCAATATAATAGCCCTTAAATATGCACGCAATCGAGGCTTATACAGAAGTAAAGTGGGTCATTGGAGCAAATGAATTGCCAGGAGAAGAAGTTTCCATGCTATGACGCAATCTGCACTTGTCTTTGCCTCTCCCCCTCCCCCCCCCCTTTTTTTTTCTAACTGTCAACACAGGAAACACCAGTTTTATGTCAAAACGCTGATATTACATTCAGGTGACTTTTTTATTTATTTTAAGCCCGTTCGAATAATTTATTTTAAGCCCGTGCACACTCAATTCGAGAAGACGCCCATTTTTCTTCTTTTTTTTTCCTCAATTATTACCTGGGAGATATTGTAAGAGGCTGGTCTTGGACAAGTTGCCTAGCATAATTGATGTTTTTAACACACTGGTTCTATAGATTTTGATTCGGTCAATGTGTTAATACTGGCGTCACACTACCCTGGAAAACACCCAAGATTTTGATGACAAGCTGAGGTGGAAAAATCCAAAGGCTCTAGTTAAATAGAACCTTATTGGACCAGGAAAATGTAGGCCATTTAACAGGAGTTCCAATGAAGAAGGGTGTAGACTCCAAGTATGAAACCAATCGTGCTGGAAGGATTTGTTCCATTTAAACAGCAGTTTCGTTTAACAAACTTCCGTTTAAATAGAGTCTACTGTACATGCAATAGCTTCGTTTAGAGGGACATTAAAGAGCAAAACTGTTCTTTTCGTATTAGTAAACTGCTCTTCCACGGAACCAAAAACATCGCGCTTGCAGCAAGAAGATGCCGGGCAAGCAAGAAAACGCGCAAGAAGAAAATGTGGACGCCACCTTGACAGCTTCCTCAACATTTGCCGTGGAGCCGCATATTTTGACGGTGCCTACTGAGGCTTAAGGGGGGGCGCGGCAAGTAAAGTGCCGATTTTGGTCAAAATATGCGATTTTCTGATTTATTTTTTTTCGTAATCTTCGGACCTTCAACTTTCTTGTTCTAAAATATTACAGCGAAACGTGTGCTACAAATCCCACAAATAGTGTTTTTGCCGAGGCTAGTCGCCGAAAAGTGCGAAAAAAAAAAGCCCCTGAAACGGTGTTGTTCACGCAGCGCAAACGCGCCAAGTTGTTGACCGTGAGCCGCCATTTTGGTAGCTTTGGAAAGAGGAGAAAGCCGGCTTCCCTATGGTCACGATCTCGTGTTTCGCCGAGTGAAAATAAAAGCGCGAGGAGCAAGTAAAAAAACGAAAACGAAGAACGGCAATCGGCTGCGCGGGTCACGTGGTAGCAGGCGCGACCTCTTACTGGTCAAAGCTGCGCCGCGCACCTTGGCAACCTTGGAAGCGCGAGCGCATCTGCGGCCGCCGCGCCGAGGATCATCCGGCGTGCGCTTCGTTTTTTGCCAGTTTGCTGTTTTTGTGATAGTTCGCGTGCTTTTTTTACCAAGCTTTGTTTACATCGGTGGTCTCTTCTGAGTGCTTGCTCATACTGCGGTGCTATGTTGCCGCAAAAAAAGTTCCGGAGCGTCCACAAGTACGGCAAGCGTCGGAAAGCTTGGAACAAAGGGCAGACGACTGCGGCTGCCGTCCCAGTCGCAGTTCCGGACGGAGCATGCTCTTCAAGCGTTACGGAGCCTCTACTCAGACCCTTCGCTGATTGTTGTGAGGCCGAGAGTGTGGAAGGTGCCACATCGTCGTATGTTAGACCGCCGAATGCCGTCGACCGTGATGGACGCTCTCGCGAACCCGATTGCGGTGGCACCGCGTCGGCAGCCGTTGCAACTCCGGGCGTTCGCGCGTCGAACATTCTATCGCGTGTTTCGGCCCAGATTCCGAGCAGTAAAGAAATCGCGCAGCGGGCGCAGACAAGGCGGGATGTTTTGGATGCCGTAGCATCGAAGTCCGCTTCAAAGCGGAAGCTCGAGCTTCTGAACGAAGGCTGCGACGAAAATGACGGCGGTAAGGACTCCACATTCTTTATTGTAAATAAGAGGATGCTGAACGGTCTACTTTCGTCAGCAAAGTGCAACAAGTGCGACGAAGGGTCAATACGCCTCGAGACTACGCACTGCCTTGGACTCGCGGCGAGGATGGAACTTTTTTGTGACAATTGTGGCATAGTGAACAGTGCGTGGTTGTCCCCGAGGTGCTCCGGGCAACAAAAAACGAACCCCTTTAAGGTAAACGTGCGTGCTTTGAGGGCTGTGCAGTCAGTTGGCAGAAAACAATCTGCCATAAATGACATTGTTTCTGCGATGGACATTTCGCATCGAGCACTGCACCACAAGTCCTACCAGAGACTGCAAAGAAAGTACAGCCACCCTGCCACCACATCAGCTGCCACCCGCATTGAAGCAGAAAGTGCACAGAAGGTGCATGACATTTACAAGGACCTAGGAGGAGTGCCAGGCAACATTGACGTCATTTACGACGGCACGTGGATGACGAGGGGGCACAGAAGTCATATTGGCGGTGGCTGTGTAATCGAGCTGTACACAGGCTTGGTCTTGGACCACTGTGTCCTGTCCAACTACTGCCAAGGCTGTGCTGTTGGCCCCAAGCCTGGTGACAACAACTATGAGGAGTGGCTTGAGAAACACAAGCCACAGTGCCAAAAGAACACCGATGCTAATGCAGGCCAAATGGAAGTAGAAGCAGCTAGGATCATGTTTGAAAGATCGTTTACCAAGTACAAGCTTCGATACATCAATGTGCTCTGCGACGGTGACAACCGTACGTACCTTGCCCTCATGCAAGACAAGGTGTATGGCTACATGGTGATCAAGAAACAGGAGTGTGTGAACCATGTGAAAAAAAGAATGTGCACTTCCTTGCGCAACCTTCTTGATGAGCACAAATCCAAAGGCCGAGGACTGAGCATGGGTGGCAAAGGCCGGCTGACGCAGGGCCTGATAAAGAAGTTAACGAATTATTATGGCTGGGCCATTAAGAGCCACCCCAACGATGTTCCTGGCATGGAGAGGGCCATCATGGCCACTTATTACCATGTAACATCCACAGACCAGGATCCACACCACGACCTGAGCCCAAGTGGGACCGACTACTGGTGCCCGCACAATCAGGCATTGGCCAAGGGAGAGCCGCTGCCGCCTCACAAACATAAACTGCCCCCTCACGTGCGAGTGGCACTGCTGCCAATCTACAAGCGCCTCTCGAACAAAGAGCTCCTTGAAAGGTGTACGCAGGGAAAAACCCAGAACGCTGTGGAGAGTATGAACAGCGTCATTTGGTCACTCCAGCCCAAGAGCCAGTTCGCCTCCCTTCGGAGTGTGGAAAGTGCAGTTGCAGATGCAGTCTGCCGTTTCAATGGTGGCTGCAAGAGTGCGCTGCAAGAGATCACTGCTCAACTGGGCTTCAATCCAGGAGACTGCTCTTTGCGGCAAGCAGCCGAAAAGGATGCCAAAAGGGTAAAGAGGGCTCAAAAGATGCACTGTTCCACAACAAAGAAGCGCAAAACTGGGTTGCGCTCTACAGAGGCCAAGGCCACAGCATCTCAGGATTACTGCCCAGGAGGATTCTGAGTGTTTTAGGCATGTTGTGAACTTCCAAACAAGAGTGAACTTTCAAAGTCAGTTTTCTCAACTCTTGATTTTCGCCTATGTGCCTTCGCTACAACATCTGTAATTTTCTAACAAAGACTGATAGAGTCGTTCCGTTTTTTGCACTAGGCTCAGGAGGCCTTTAGCAGTGCAATAAAGCTTTATCTCTCTTCTTACTCATCATTTAAAATTTTAGAACACATTTTATAATTACTGCGATGTGTGCGCAAAACAACATCCATGTTTTGGAAATTTTATTTATGGTTACAAGAACTAGAAAAATCAACTAATAGCTTCCTTGCACAAGATGACGCTTTGGGAACATAATATGAAAAAATAATTTCATTTAGCAATAATTATCTCTTTTAATTGTGAAGAGCATTAATTAGTATAGTTATGCTTGTAACTCATAAAGTACAAGAGGTATTTGAAAACGGTTTTCATATTTGGAATCCTCACAATCATCCACATACACACACCAAATTTCATCACAAACAGTACATTAATAAAAAAATTAGTAGTACTTGCCACATCCCCCCTTAAGTAGTACACACCAAATTTAAGCAAATTTTGTGGCACCAATGACACCAAAATACGGCACACAAACTTTGTAATCTGTGACATCACACGAGGAGATTTCGGTGCCAAATTCCTAAATGAAACTTCGATCTTAATGTTCTCCTATTAAACCTGTGATGGTGAAATTAACGAAATTAGTGTTTCAGAGAACGATTTATCAATCTAAACCGATTCACTGTTTCTCTTCAGTGTCCTTTTAACACAAGATACTCCAGCCCACTGAGCCTGCATTTTTTATGACTTTGCTCATCTCGTATGGCCCTGTAAAAAGGACTTTGCCGACGCATCGTCAAGTTGGGCTCGTCCGATTTCAAGTTCAAAATATCTTTTTCTTCAGATTACTGTAATAAAGACATCTTTCGTAATGCCCCATATTGCTGGCATTCTTAAGGCACTTTCCACGTCAGGGAGACTCCACCCACGAGAGGAAGTTAAATTTCAACATCGCAAAGTACAGTTAAACCCCTTTGCAAGAGACGCTGATGTAACAGACAATGGCTATAAAGACACATATGCGCCCACATTAAAATATGGGTTGATAAGAAAATGCATATGCAGTACCCTGCTTCCCAACAGTAATAATGCTCGTAGCGAATTAAAGAATATTGAATAATTTTTTTACCTGTACAGAGCGATCAAAATATGGTAAGCCAGAGACGCAGCTCCGACCCACACCATGAGGGGCACGGCAGTGCCGAGGAACTGGTCAAACTTTGCGCTGCTGAAGGCTGCAAACAAAGGGCACAATCGACGTAAGATTGAAACCCGTTAAACGGCAGTAAAACATTAAACCCACTTAGTGTGAAAACAGTTCAAACAGCATTCGCTCAATGCCAAAGCTAGAAACCTTGAAATTGTCTCTGCAAATATTCGACAATGAATCTGATTATGTAGCAATATAGATATATAGACTGTCCCGTTGTGCAATTATACCGAGGCTACACAACCTACACAAGACTGCACGAATCAGCATCATGATTTGAGTACAATGATTTGAAGCACTCGCTGGGCTTTTTCTTTCTTGCCCTGCCTTTTGCTATACCTAACTCCTAAGATTACTTTAAGAGGCATCTCTGAAAATATATGTTCATGCATCTGCTGTATGCATGCCTATATACCCTACAAATTCGAAATTGAAAAAAAAAAAATACATGCTGTCCGAAAAACATGATGGACATGACGTTCACCCTCATTATGTCAGATGGGACTACAGTCGAACTTCGCTACACGAAACTGACGGGGCGCGGGAAAAATTTTGTGAAAGCGAGAATTTCATTGTAGTGAAATTAAAAAAAAATATAGCTCATCTGAGCTACCAAACGGAGGAACGTTTATTCTCAGAATTCAAAAAATGTCCGCTGCTTCCTATTCTTTCCCAGCAGCGTCATGACGTGATTCTCACGCATGCATAGCAAGGCCCTAGTGAAAAGTACCCTGAAACAACGCCTAAAACTGCTTTCGTAAACGAACCAAACAGTTGCATTAGCATCTTAACACCAGCAGCTGTCCGCCGTCAAAAGTATCCGAGAACGCCGAAATGGAAACAGGGTATCGTGAAGCGGCGACATTTGCATTATTCTATGCTCAGAATATAACCAACCACTATACATAGCCTTCATAGATTACGAGAATGTGTTTGATTCAGTAGAAATATCAGCCGTCATGCAGACACTACGGAACCAGGGGGTCGAGGAAGTATATATGAACATCCTGCAAGAAATCTACAAGGGATCAACTGCTACCATAGTGCTTCATGAACAAAGCAACAGAATACCAATCAAGAAGGGTGTAGGGATCAACTGCTACCATAGTGCTTCATGAAGAAAGCAACAGAATACCAATCAAGAAGGGTGTAAGGCAGGGGGACACAATCTCCCCAATGCTGTTTACTGCATGCTTACAGGAGGTTTTCAGAAGACTAGAATGGGAACAGTTAGGGATAAGAGTTAATGGAGATTCCCTTAGTAACCTGCGCTTCGCCGATGACATTGCATTGCTGAGTAACTCAGGGGACGAATTGCAACTCATGATTACGGAGTTAGACAAGGAGAGCAGAAAGGTGGGTCTTAAAATTAATCTGCAGAAAACAAAAGTAATGTACAACAACCTCGGAAGAGAGCAGCACTTCGAGATAGGTAATAGTGCACTTCAAGTTGTAAACGACTATGTCTATTTAGGGCAGGTAATAACCGCGGAGCTGAACCACGAGTTTGAAGTAACTAGAAGAATAAGAATGGGGTGGAGCACATTTGGCAAGCACTCTCAAATTATGACGGGTAGATTGCCACTATCCCTCAAGAGAAAGGTATATAACAGCTGTATCTTGCCGGTACTTAGCTACGGAGCAGAAACCTGAAGACTTACAAAGAGGGTTCAGCTTAAATTGAGGACGACGCAGCGAGCAGTGGAAAGAAAAACGGTAGCTGTAACCTTAAGAGACAAGAAGAGAGCAGAGTGGATTAGGGAACGACAAAGGTTAAGGATATCATAGTTGAAATCAAGAAGAGGAAATGGACATGGGCCGGGCATGTAGCGCGTGGACCAGATAACTGCTGGTCATTAAAGGTAACTAACTGGATTCCTAGAGAAGCCAAGCGGGTTAGGGGGAGACAGAAGGTAAGGTGGGCAGATGAGATTAAGAAGTTCGCGGATATAAATTGGCAGCAGCAACCACAGGACCGGTTTAACTGGCGGAACATGGGAGAGGCCTTTGTCCTGCAGTGGACGTATCAGGCTGATGATGATGCCATTCTTATTATCCACCACTCGCGGCTAGCTGATTTTATTGATAATGCAGACAAACAGCTGCTCTGATTATTTACGACACTGGCCAAGCGTGAACATAATGATAAGCAATGAAATCGGAAAAGGCATCGTGCCGCGTTTGCACCAAGCAGCTGCGAGAAGGAAACCATGAACTTGGCGACTGAGCAGCTTCGGATTGTCTGAGCTCAAAGGCAAGCCAGTGGCAAAACAAAAATAGGGCAGTCTCGTTGCCATCGCTATCGAGCAATGCTTGCTGAATAGCGGCGGTATAGCAGCGGTTTGTAATGGCGCCAACGCGTGTTTTAGACTTCGTTGACGCATTTTCAAGCTCTGAAAATGCATCGAAATGTTAAAGATTGGGTTTACTGCATAGCAATAAGTATCTAAGCCTGGAATTGCATTGTAAAATTTCATTGAAGCGAGGCAATCGAAAAAAAAGTGTTCGTTGTGGCAACAATATTTATGCATTCACTCCTATAGACTGCTGACGGGGAATCGTGAATCTTTCGTCGTAGCGGAAATTTCGTTGATGCGGCGTTCGTTGCAGCGGAGTTCGACTGTACTACCGAGTGCACTCCCAATGGCGCCTGCGGCTTCTTTGTGAGAACTGTTTGTAACAACGAAACACTGTTTCTACGATTTAGCCATGCACACTGCCTGCGCATGTCGGCTAAAAAGACAATGCCCTGCCTTTCCAAAGTATGCCTACTAAATGAGACACACGTTTATGCAATATAGTCACTATATTCTAGGGAAAATATAACTTGATTTTAATGTCCTATAATTGACATGGACACACAAAATTCTTCAATAATTTGCCTTGTTTGCTCACACTTGATTATCCGAATTGTGCCCGCCTTGTTTGGGCATAAACGAAAAGCTACACAAAATTTGGTAAACACGGAGTTGCATCACCTAGTACCCTCAGCAAAACAATGTGACATATGTACTCCTTAATTGAGGACTAACAATCGAGCCAAGGCATTTCTGGTAATTATTTGTAGTACTAATTGCGATGCAAATGGAAAAAAATTGAAGCATATGAAAAGATGACTTGCTGTTGGAAAGGCAAGATGGAAGCTTGTGATGAAAAATTCATTAACAAAGGGCTTGCTGGAGCCGACGTTCTGACAAATGGACTCGTCTATGCGAGGCTGAAACTGCAAGTTATCGTTTTGTCATCTTCAATTTCTTCTCAGTTATGTCAGTTATGTTACTGTAAATAACTTCCCCGATACTTTCTTTGTCCTTATTGTATATTAGTTTGCATCGGTCTTGTGTCTAACAAAAAAAAAAAAAATCTTAAATCTTCATCTTAAAATCTCCCTTCTTCTGTGGCACACTTCACTAAGACAAAAGTAGTACACCTACACACACTTGTTTGCATTCTCACAGCAAAGAGAACATTGCAAATTCTCATAATCATTGTCACATTCCACACACGTGGTGTTAGATGTGAACATTTGGCAAACTTGTATGGTTGGGCAATGGCCTGTAGTTTATAAATCAAGTAACACCAACCCAAGTATTAAAGTGAGGAACTACTTTGACATAAGCTCGAAGCACAATGTTACAGGGTCAACTTGGCCCCTTCTTCAGGGGTGACTGGGAGGCACCAGAGAGTGGGCGTCTCTGCCGACTGAAGAGAGGCTTTGAACTTTTCAGCTAGAAAAACATAGCACTCCTCCAGTTCTGTCAATAACCAAACTCCACCAACTGGTGCTAAGTTGGATGCTACTAATATAGGAACCACCACTGCACTTGTCATTTGTGTTACACATGCAAGGTGACCAGCCAAATTCAAATCATCAGGTAAAGGTATAATTTCACCAGTCGAAACAATGAAATTATGGCTCAGAAATGCTGCCGTACCAACTAGCCTGACTTTCAATACTACTAAAATCATGGTCTCACAATTATGTACAAGTACAGGCCGAAACCACCTTAGGCAGAGATCGAACTAAAAAGTCGAATCAGCACCAGCCTGCTGTTATTCCTGGCATGAGGGATGCGACTTGATTTGCCTTTACTCACCAATTTTTGATTGCACCGCCCAGCTGTCGTCCAGCTGCAGGCGAAAAAACCTGACGGTTCCGTAAGCAAGACCACCGTATACCATCCATGTGACAGCCTTAGCCAGAATGCCTGACAGAGAGCGCATGCTGGCGTACTTGCCTGCAATTAAAGAATAAGGAATGCGTTATTGTATGATATTTGATGATATCGAAAGCGAGTCATTCACCAAGCACCTTTTGGAGAGAAAGAATAACAACAAAGCCAATGTCGATCATTGTCCTTTATTAAGGGAGGACGCACTTTTTGAAAACCGAAAAATGGCAAAAGAGTAGATTTTTTTAAAACCACATATTCAAGTAGTATGTCTTATAAACTATCTGTTCTGTAAATATCAATGTCTAAATCATCACAAAAGTAGATAAAATAAATTATACAACATGCCGCAGCAGCCGGCGAGTGGCCAGCGAGCGCTGAAAATATCCCAACTTCGCGTGTTAGCGATTTCCCAACCACGCGGCACAGCACCGCCATCTTAGTCTTGTTTTTCTCACGAATTCTCGCCCTTTTTATTTGCCACCCACGGCAGCAGCAGAGGTGTTGCCGAGGCGGCAATCACCCATGATTGAGGGGCTCTCGAAGTTTTGAAGTCTCCCGCGGTTCGGATGCAAAGCCGCGATTGGAGAAAGCGGGCACCTCTCGAGGGAGTGGACGATCGTGCAGCTCCTATTTGCTGCTGCGCGCGACGATGCATCTGTTCCTCCAGCTCGCCGTCTGCTCTGGCGCTTGCAAGGCCGGTGTGCTTTTTGTGTCCCGTTTGTCATCATCCAGCTCAGTTCTCACACGTGCTCTTCTATCTTTCACCATCCTTATGAGACAATCTTTCACCGTGCTCATGAGGCCGATTGTTGCACTGTCGGTCACGGTGGGCAAAACAAAGTTCGGGACTCTGGACGCGTTCGGTTCAAGAAAGCGTCAGATGAAGCTTGTACGCATGGCGTGGCTCGTTCATACGGCAACACCTGGTGACGATTGCATCGATGGTTCCAACGGAGCGCTTCTGCTTCGTCTCTGCAAGACAATGACTGCAATGACGTTTATCGAACGTCTAGATGGCAACACCATTGGTAAAAGACACAACTGAGGTTGGTATTTCATGCTCAAGTGCCCCTGATGTGTCGCGCTCGCTAACAGGAGTGATTATGGCCCTGAACAGTGCGACCGCGACGTCGACTGTGCATTTGCAGAAGAGTTTTCGGACATGCGAGGAGTTATCGGCAGAAGATAGCGAACGTGCTGCTGTGCAACAAAAGCTCGGCATTATGCCGACAGCTGAGAGGAAGTTTCAGATGATGCTTGAACCTGAAGAAGCCACCGCTATGACTGAAGACGAAAAATATTGCCTTGTGCAAAGGACTGCCCCTAGCGACTTGCTGTACGACAAGCAGGAAGAGCGGCAAAGGAAAAGAGTCCCAAAGGGCGCATCTAGCTATTGTGCAGGGTCATTTTAGACCAAAATATGTGCTCTAAACTTTCGACGTACGTTTTCTGAGAAAGACTTTTTTTGGCCAGTGAGGTTGTTTAGTCTGGTGATATCTCTGTAATTGTTCATCTAATTTTTATCAGATTAGTTTTATTATGTACCTTAATAAATAGCCCACCCACTGACAGAGCTGCTTTTTGAATTAATTGTGTGTAATTTGTGGTAATTAAAATTTCATTGATAAGAGCTCAATGGCAAACACTAAATCTAGTGCTTTGCTCAAAATTTTCAAAAAGAAAATTTTGTTTGATATGTAAAGTTCTGTTTATGCTGAACAGCTTTGTTGCAGTTGATTCTCGCATTCATTTCTTCATCTCATGTGTTGAAATATTTTACGTGCATATTTTATCATTTATAATGTTGTGTGTTTGTCATTGCAAAGCATATTTATTTATTAATTTTCTTTTGCTTGTTAATCGTGGTTTACTATTAAGTTGTTGATAGTTCTAAGCATTATTGTTGGTATTGTTTTTAATGATATTCCCACTACGGCTTGAGCCTGAGCAGGGACTGCAGTATTTGTAAATAAATAAAAAAATAATAAAAAAGGGGTTCTGTCCTAGTGTAAAGCACCCATCCAGGAATCATCAAAGTGAATTTCACGGTGCTAACACATTTACTGAATTCACCAGAGCCTGACTAAGAAACCTATGTGGGCTATCCTGACTAATGGCTGTACCTTGGAAACCAGTGAGCCTAAATGCATGCAATTTTGCGGTTATTCAAATGGCTTTGTTATTAGCCTACCCTGAAAATTTCATTAGGATATCTAAACAAACAAAAAAGTTGCCTTTCCATGGTAGTCTCCCCCTTAAAAACAAATTACAAATATATTGAAAAGAGTTTCACAAACAGTTTTTCATGTTTTTTGGCCTGATATACTTTCTTTTTCATACCGAGCAATCTCTCTGTTTAACAAGATTTTGCATTATATGTTTTATATATACATATATATGTATATATATCAACAAGGCCTTCAAGTCATGATTGTATTTTGGCTTAAACAGCAGATTCCTTTTCTATGTGCATATTACACACGCAAACATAAAGAGAAGTTCTCTGCAGGCCTACCTGAAAAATATTTCTGGCTACTCCCTTAAAAACAAGCTTAAAAGTTTGCTGAAATCTGCTACACATTTTCACAAATATGTATAGAAAAAAAAAACGTTTTAGGCTAAACTCTCTGGAGATCTTCAATAAGATAAAGAGCTTGTCCTAGCTTCTACACCAGCCTCTCTGATCCCTTAAAGTGGCGCTGCAACACTTTTCTCAGTAGTTGTTAAATGGCTTTATTAGAGGAGTTCATTGCCTCGCAAACTGACAGCCGCAGAAATTCGTGAGGTACTATAGAGGTCTGTTACATGCTTTCATCCAGCGCATTATCTCTCTTTTCATACCAGCGAGGGCAGTTTCAGCTACCCAAAGGGTGCGACAAAGGGCAAAAGATGCACCTATTCTTCAGTGTGTCACGACCTTGAGATCTTTCTTTTTGTTTTCTTCAAATTCGCGCCTTACTTCTATGCGTGATCGTGAGCATAGGTACGAGCATGTGACAACAACCCTTAACGGCCGCGGCAATTGTGCAGCTCACAGTGCTCGAATGAGCCAACGACTGTGGATATTTAGATTATGTCACAGTCATTTGGTTCTGTCGCGTCTTCTGTAAAGAGAAGAGAGGGCTATTCCAAGCCAACTTTTAGAATCAACTGTAAATTCTTGGCTACTTGCTGCGCAATGTGTTTAGCTCGCATGTTCTTAAAGGCCTTGACTATTGTTCAGCAGCGTTTCCCAGCAATGTACAGTGCTTCAGGGCCCCTTGAACGTCCCACAGATGAGCTCAGCACGTTTACGCATTCCGGCGCTCGCTACCACGGTGGAGTAGACGAAACAGTAGGTGCTAGCATATCACAATGATATCTTCCGCAACGTAATGCCACAAGTAAAACTAGCTGCAAGCCACACAGAGATGACAAAGTGTCTCGGATTACACTTCCTTTGTACACTCCGATAAAAATGTTCTTCTGAATGTAAGTGTTGCTCCTTAACATGATAGCACCAAAGAGCTCTTTTTGAAAAATTGCGGTATGAATGTCGCTGGCCGTGGTGTTTATGGTTTGAGCAAGAAAGCAGCACTGGCTGTGAGTGAAAATTCGATGTGCAACTAAAAATAGCTGGTGGCACAGTTTAGGTCTCCACTGAAAAGGGAAGGCAGCCTAGCGATAGGAAAGGTCATATTGTGTGTGAGCATATGTGTGTACGGATAGTAGCGCTACTGCATTCAACTCACAGGCAAAGCTTAAGGGTGCCCCGATTTTAATTTAACATGTAAATTTCAAAAAGCATTAAAAAAAAGAAAGAAAAAAGTAGTCGGCACTGTTTTTCGAAGATAACGCAAGGGGGCAAGTTATTAAATGCATGTAAGCATGCATTTCTCTATCATGCACCTACGTGACTGAAGCTGCGTGAATGAAAAGTCGAATAGGCCACTATTTGCTCTGCATCGGAACATGGCACGGCCGATGGAACAACACAGTGTTCAGTCTCACCTGCAGTGACCCTTCTCGTACTGCCAAGAAACAGCGCATCATCGGCCAGTGACAAGCACAGCGTTATGGTAAGCAAGTTGAAGAAGTTGTAGTTGCCCGTGGCAATGATCAGCATCTGCAGAAAGACCTAGAACAGAAAACAAGGGCTGCCAGTGTGTAGCAGCCAGAATGCATGCTAACATACAAATAAAAATTAAAATCTGGGGTTTCTGTGCCCAAGTGCACTTGGATTGTAACGAGGGAAGAGAACTTCAAAATTTATTTTTTTTGCCACCTGGGCCTCCCTTAACAAGCATCTAAATTTAAGCACATGGATGTTTACGCATATACCGCTTCCACTGAAATTTGCTCACTGTGGCCAGGAATCAAAACTGAATACATCAGCTGAGCAGCACGAAACCTGATTGACTAAATGCCACTGCAAAATGTCGTTAACAGAGATCAATTGGTAGGCACCAGTACCTCACTGAAATTCAACACTTCCTGCCATGTAAATTTACTATAAAAATGTGCCGCAAAGAAATACTATTTCGATGGGGCTAGTAGACGACACTTTAAAAGTAGGCAATGGGAAACTTGCAGATATCAGTGCACGGTAACATTGCCAGATAAACAACATAAACTGGGAGGTCTCCTAATAATCATAGTATATTGGTACTCAATATCATACAGAAAAAAAAGATAAAGAAGAAAACGTTAAATTTGCAGCGACTAGGGCTATAAGAAGTGGCGCTGGCCATCCCACGCATGCTTTTTTGTGACGTTGGTGACTGCGTGACAAAGTCAACGTGCCGCTAGTTATCTAAGGGTTTACTAAAAAGCGACACTTACACTTATGACACTTATGACATTAAATCAGTTCAGACAGGCAAGGTATGTCTTTCAAAACTGTACCCTCATTCATCAATTTTATAGTTAAAAGTTACTGGCATAGAAAATTAGCTCCGACTTCTTTTGTCACATCTGGCAACTAATACTGCCAGGGAGGCCGTAGTGGGCAATGATAAAGAATGATAATCTTGACACCATTTTCCCCCATGTGTTGCTGTGGGAAAAGGTGCTGTTAGTAAAAAGTTACTGGCATAGAAAGTTAGCTCCGACTTCCTTTGTCACATCTGGCAACTAATACTGCCAGGGAGGCCGTAGTGGGCAATGATAAAGAATGATAACCTTGACACCATTTTCCCTCATGTGTTGCTGTGGGAAAAGGTACTGTAACTTGCAACATCTAGCCTCTGAATTGTTCAAAATTTAGGTACATATGTATGCTCTGCTAATTTTTCGCACACATCCGATTGCTTACTGAAGGTCCTGTTGCAGTCTAGCAAGGACTAGAAATAAAGTCTAACCCATTTATAAGAGACACCCATGTGCCTACTATAAAACGCAGGTTGATAAGAAAATACATACGAGGTACCTTGCTCATAAGAGACACCTCATATAAAAGACAAGAATTGCTTTCTGTTGTATCTCTCTCGTAGAAGGGTTCAACTGTATAGTACCTCATAAGAGGATTTCACAGAATAAGCTTTATAATTCATAGATGCAATATTTAGGTTATCAGAAGTTCAACTAATATTAATTCCCTGAAAATGTGCACAAGGTGGCTCTAGACCTGGCTATGAAGAACTCAAAGAAATTGGAATAAATGAATAAATAACTAAATAAATCACCGCCAAAGCACTCCATACAAGTGCTTAGCCAGCTAATCTGAGACATGCAGCACCAGTGGTTGTCACTGGGTTGATCTCAACAGGTCATTAAAGCCTTTCTCAATTTAAAAAAATATATGATCAGAAAGAGACGGTGCACAAATAACATGCCGGCTACGTACTTAACTCTTGAATGAATCAAGCATTTACTGGTTACGTTCGTCCAGAAATATTGACTGGTATTTTCTGTCAGGTGTGTTTATTTTTAGCGGAAAGGTGGTGAGTGTGATTCGCCTAGTTTCCATGGCTCCACACGTTTTTTGTCCGTAAACGACGCCTTTTAAGTCAACCAGTGGTGGGAAGTGAGACTTGCTACATGTATATCTGTGACTGGCCTTACTACTCCCCAGTTTTTGTGCACATAGCATTGGCGAAATTTGGCTCTGCCCAGCCACATCCCCTTCAGTGGCTGTGCGTACAATTATACACATAAACTTCAAAGGCCTGTCACACACTGCATGTTTCTCCAAATGGCTTGATCTGCAGGGTGCACATTCCTGCAGGCTTCCCGAGTGGAAAACTAGCGATCGTTCAACTTCGCTGTGTTGGGTATTGCAGCAGAGGATAACTTTGCTGAAGAGACTACACCACCTTTAACATTCATTCAATGTGCCATGCTCCAGGACTGACGTCAAGAGTATTCTCTTCCTTTGCTCGAAACGTGGCAACCAGAAACCAAAGAGACCACACATTTTGTGCAAAATATTTAATTCTTCTTATGCAAAAAGTGAAGTTGACTGGTTGTAGATCAGTTAAATAATTGCATGCTAATTAGCATTGAATACTGAAACTCCCCTAAAACGATGCATTCCTTCATTTTCTTTTATGAAATGCAATACCCAGTGCCTTGGAATTTCACTGTGTAAATTCGATGCATTTGCAGACAGTGCATCGTAACTTACACTTGAAGGCACTGTACAGCTTCACAACAATAAAGAAAATAGTGAAATTCTCGTGGAGTAGTCTGCAATGGCAAAGCATTCTGTTAGTCAGCAAGCACCCACCTGGCAGTAAAAGCTGAAGATCCTTAGAGCACGCACGGGCGCAAAGAACAAGGGTGGAACGGCGATTTCGACCACAAACGTGAAGACCACCCCTAGTCGGAGCACCCAGTTGGGCAGGTGGTGAAAGTACCACGCAATGGGCGTCGGGATGCACTGGCTTTCGAAATGATAGTTGAGAGCTGCGGAAGAAAGGAAACAAACCCAAGCATATGAATCCAAAAGCTGAAAAATAAGCACAAGTAACACAGAGACAAAATAAACAGTGTGCAAGGTAGCAAATGGAAGCATAATATGGAGTTTCATTTATCATAATTTAGGGCAAATGGATATAACAAGTGATTATACCAGAGGAGTTAATATTATTTTCAATGTATTCAAATGACAGAAGAGAGTCAATAGTAAGCAACTTATAGAACATAATAGCAAAACATGAACTATTTCAGCTGACCAAAACTTTACACTGGTTAAGTAAGCCGAAGGCATTAGAACGTAGAGAACTGTAAGCGACAATAAGTATCACTTCATCTCATATTCGCTGTACAGAAGAAAGATAACATAGACTTGTATTATACCAAGTCATTATTCCACTGTTAATATGAGAATCTATCCATGTGAAGGAGTTTTAAACTCAAGCACAAGAAAAAATATACCGGCATGCCACAAATACAGAAAGAGTACTCTAGAACATAACAAATGTTGCAGTTTTATGTCTCAAAAGAGCGATAAGATTATGAGAGAAGCAGTGTATTTCACAACTTAACATGATCGATTTGAACACTGAACTTTAAACAGCTACAAGAAATACATCAGAACCACTAAAGGGACAGAATCCTCCTTTCCTATTGTTAGGAAAGGAGGTTGATTGGCGACTTTTTATGAGAACGGAAAATTAAAATATCTCATTCTACATAAATTAATACGTAGCTAATAACAGGCCCTGCAAATCAGAATGTCCTTGAGATCATTCAATACACTGCCGACATTGCCTCTACTATGAACACAAGAGTGTACGGGTGCGCCAAGGCACAAGTGGCTCGATCCGGAGAAACAAAAGCCACTGGACAACAATCAGAACTTTACTGCACATTCAAGCTTTACACAAATCTGAAGGGGCCAGTAAACAACCTTGCAGACCAGAATGTGTACGATGTGAATATGCTGCTACAAGAATTTTAGCAAATAGGTGATATAATAACAAAGTTACAGTGTATAGAACAATTCATTTTGGCTGATTTCGATTTCTTGACCTTCCCTGACCTTTCCATCTTTCTCAGCAGCAAAGAGGGGTAGCCATATTATGACGTGAGTGTGCCGACTTCCACAACATAAGGTCACCGATGACGTCATCAGCACACACCCTACGACTGAGCAAGGCATCCTTCCACAGCGCTACAAAAGCGAATGTTTTAAACCCTGTGGGGGTGCTGACAGCCCCTGTAAAGTTGTCTGCCCCGCATGGCGCACGTGACTCGACCAGAAGCCGTATTTTGGGGGTGACAACTGTTGAGCGATAGGTGGTTGTGTTTGCGAGCGGTGATCACCACTATCATCATCATGGTTGGTAGAGCGATAGCGCTGGCGGTGACTCCTGGCGGAAGGCAAGCCTGGGTGGCGGGCGAGAGAGTTGAGCGAGTCTCTTTTCGCGTGGGGCGGTAGCGCGGACGGTTGCCTCCAGTGGTGGGTTCGCCGTGGACGGCGTCGCAGGCCGTCTATGGTGGGCCCACAGTGGTGAGTCAAGCGTTGGCGACACCGCCTTGTTAGTCATGTTGTTGAGTGTTGTTTAGTAGTGTGTAAGGACGTCTTAGCGTGTTGGTCACGACTGATGTTATAATTATTCGGTTGACGATATCGTCATTCAGAAGTAGTTAAATATGTGCTGTTTGGTTCGTTCCGACCCTGTCTGCTGTGTTCGTTCACTCCAAGAGCGTGGTGGTCGCGCTCCTCTCTTTGAGACCCCACAACTAACTTGAACAAAAGCTATGGTATGTTGGAAATTTGAAAGTAAGGACCTGGACTGAAATTCAAAATATAATCTCCGTTCAAATGAGTTTAGAACATTCAGTTTTGTAGCACTGCACGCAGTTCTTATCCCAGGATACATTGTGATACGCAAATTTACTTTAAAACTTTTAGTCTAGAAAAACTTGTGCTCCCTCTAAGGCCCCTGACACATTTTGTATTTAAAAGATTTTACATTATACTTGAAAGATATGAATGAACATTTGAAATTAACAGCACCCAAATATTCATAAACTCACCCATTTTCATCAAAATCGATTGAGAAACAAAGTTTTAAGAGCAGTGTCACCCTCCCCCCCCCACTAACTAATTTGATGTTGCGTTTGCTTCAATTTTTTACTGTACCACAAATCTTGCTTTTAGAAGATTGGTATTGCATGCTCACTGCAAAAAAAAAAAAAAATCATTACACGAACAATGCTTCTCCAATTATAGAATTGTTCAGTAAGTTGATTTAGTCAGAGCATCATCTCTAGAGCCACATTACAAGCAACATGACGAGAGTTCTACTCAAAAGGTCTCCCTGTCACGTTTTATTGTGCAAACACTGTTTACTTTCACAGTATGCGACGGTGCGGGGCAGTGCTCACCTGTGAGACCCCACCAAGTGGGGCAACCGCTGGTCAGTTTGACCACTCCGGAGGCAAACATGAACCGGAACAGGAGCCAGCGCACCAGCCACAGGGTGATGTCGTCATATGGCCGGTGCGGCAGACGCCAGCTCGAGCTGAGCCCCAGAGTCCGATGAAGGATGCCCAGTGGTGCAACGAGTATGCACAGGAAGCCAGCTTCCAAGAGCAGAATGTCCCTAAGAACATTTTGCATGCGGTCAGCAACTGCATAATTGCTATGCTGACAGCACAGATGTAAGAGCTAACCAATCAGATACCACTCCTCAGCCTCCACAACAATGTTAGAACTTAAAAATTGTAAAAATGCATGACAATTGCCTTGCTGCGATGGTCTAGTGGCCAAGGCTGCTGGCCCGCAGGTCCCAGGATCGAATCCCGGCTTCAGTGGCTGCATTTTCGATGTAGGCGGAAATGCTGTAGGCCTATGTGCTCAGATTTGGGTGCGCGTTAAAGAACCCCAGATAGTCGAAATTTCCAGAGCCCTCCACTATGGTTTCTTTGATAATCATGTGGTGGTTTTGGGATGTTAAACCCCACATATCTATCAATCATCAATTCATCATGCATGACAATTTTATATTTCAGAGACCATTCTACACTTTGCAGGACTCTGCAGAATTAATGTTTATGCCCTCATATTCAAGTTGTCAATTAGCTCAGCCTCAGGCTGCCAATAGCTGGTCCCATGGTAAGCTCCCCTGGTAGAGTGACCGTACCGTAAATGTGCTATTCCTCGGTTCTATCCCCGGGCAAGGACAAATTTTTCATCAACTAGGCAGCTCTTATTTCCTAGAAATTAGTATAGGTTTCTCTGTAGCTCTGTGCCACTAACAGGAGGCTAGTGATTTTACTTTTTGTAATGTCATGCTATGCACAAGCAATCCCATTAACTAAACATCAGCTTGCATAGTAAGCAGTGGATAGTTGAGAAAGTACACAAACTTACCATTGAAACCACATGAACACTTGGCCAACCTGGCAAAAGAAGAAATGACAAACACAACGGTGTGATATGTATGCTCATGCTATTCCGTGAAATGCAGGTGTTGAGCACCTAGATAATGCATTTCATATTGAAGCAGCACCGCAGGAATGAAAAGACAGACAGGCACTACACTCGCAACGATCTGTTCAAAAGGGAAGGCTTCCTATATATACACAAACATGCATATATCCAAAAAAACCAGAACATCGGCCAAACAGGCTATACTATACGCTAACAATTCCATTTCAGCATCATACTGTGTAACAGATGTTTGAGTGACACGTGCATGACCCCTGGTTTGGTTAGGATAGACCTCTCGCATTTCAGCGCACTTTCATTCCCGCTTGTGCCTAGGACCTTGACCTCGTAAAAATTATGGTTCACTAAAACAAGATCTGCAATGAGCAGATAGGTGAGCACTTGCATCTTCCTTTAAAATATTAGCATGCTTCCTCATTCAGATTATGAGGCTGGCTAGATTCCTATTCCGGCCAGCATGATAGACAGTCTACATTACTAGCTTAGAAGACAACTTTCAGCTCGATTCCGGTGTGCTATGGAAAAGATCTAGGAGACATCAGTGCAACATATGCCACAAGCTGTCAAAAAGGAAAGCTAAGAAAAGCGCAGAAAATTGTTATCACTCTACTCTGTTACGTGTTCAAAGATGAAAAAATCCACACAACGTGCTCACATTAAGCACGTAACTAAGAGTGACCATGTTTCTATGTGAGCAGGTGACCTTTCTGGTCTAGTTTCCAATATTCAGTCATGATCTTATTTAAACAGCAATATGGCGGTCTTAATTTCGGACTTCAATACTGTGTTCACAAAGCTTTGTCTCTCGCTGGCTTGATCAGAACTGTAATGTGACCTAAGATGACTGCTGTCTGATTAGATGTCAATTAGCAATCTATGATAAGTGCTGAAACAGTACGTCTTTTTACGCCAGGTTTGCAAGTAAAGACTTACCTGGTAAATTGAAAAGTACAGTATCCAAAGAAGGGCAAAGTTGATGCAGTCCCTGAAGCGCGCTGACACGCAGGCCATGAAGGACATGACAATACCGAGGAATGCCAGGAACTCGGCCATTGTGGCCACCTTGAGGCCAAAGTTTGGCGCCAGCCATATCAAGGAGGGCCTCTCGGCAGCTAGTTTGGCCAATTCTTGGAGTGGCTTGGTGTGGCTATCTGGTGAGGGCATGAACATTTCAAAAATTTTAATAGCAATCTGGGAGATATGCAGCTTAGGTGAACAAATGCAATATAACTCGAAATAAGCAATAAACTGCCAAGGGAGATATTAGCGAAGTACTTGGTTGACCTTAGCAATTGTAGAGAGTGCGCTCTTCTGACACGTGGACTAAGCATGCAAGCAGAAAGTCAGGAAAACTTGACATTTACTTCAATTTTGCTGGCACTTAAATTCCGATACACTGTTCTGAATAGCATGCTGGGCAAAGGCAGTGCATGGCAACTTCAGACACCATGCAAAAGCTTGGCTCTTATGTTCCAATGAACTACTCAGCACATTAGAATGCGGCTATAAATAAACTGATTATTATAAATTCATTTTTTGTTGCCTTTGCTATGAATGCAGTTTATGCTTTATGCAGTTTGGATACCCCACATAACCTAACAGGTCATCACATTCACACTGTCACCTTTTGCTAGTGATGACTACAAAATGTTTTACTAAATTTTTTTACAATCTTAATTTACAATCTTAATCCGCAAGCGCGGAAACACTGCACAGACAGTATTAAGCAAATAAATGATATTAATATTAGAGATGTATACATGCTAGATGACACTATAACACAAAACGATGTATGGGAGGAGGAGCAATAGAATGTGCATGTATTGTTTCACTCTGCCAAGCAAATCGCAAATAAACATGGCTCAAGGAAGAGTGCATGCACCTGAGAGGGAGAAAAAAAAATGCTAATTTGTATCTGGACACTCCAGATATGCTGCATCCAAGGATCAGCTGATAGTCTAATACAGTGTTTCTCAGCCATGAACTTTGAAGGGACGCTGTGGATTGATGAAATCGACGGGGGACCCCATGCAGCGAGAGAAAGAAAGACGGGGGCGGGAGTCACAACACAGCATGCTGCGGGAAGTACGGTAGGCGGCTTTCATTTATTTAAATGGATCTCCGCGGACCCACATTTGAGAACCACTGTTCTAAAACCTCAAACTTCATTTGCGGGTTGCGTTTGGTAAAGAAGAGCTCCACTTCCTCACTGACCGGTGACCAAACGCAGCTTGGCTTTCAGTTTCACATTTGCATTACTGCCCAACCCATCTGCGCAGTGGCAAAGCGCGACGCTGCATTTGACACGATGCAAACACTTAGGTGAAACTAGACGAAAAAACATGCACTAGTCGTACCTATAGGAATCAGCGATCTCGCTGGCGCAACTCCATGGTCTCCATAGAGTCCTGCATGATAGAGACACCGTTGTTTATTATGACAACGAGTGAATGGCCTTCGTGCGCGTATGCATCGAACGACGCTTGAACGATCACTACGCCACATAGCAAAAGTAACACTCATATCGAAAATAAACAGCAGAACTGAAAGCAGATTATCCTCCACTGTTAGCATGGCAAACGCAAGCACTAAATATCAGAGGAGAAGCTCGACTGCGACGATCGTGCACGTTGGTCCGCGTATACCCACCGGGCATTTGATGATAGATGGACGCGAATGCGCTCAGATATACTACAGACATTGCCCAGAGGAAGGAATCGCGCGTAGCACGCGTCTGCCCCATTATGAGCGGCTCAAAGAAGAATGCGAGGTAGCGACAGAAGTTTTCAGCGGTAGCTTTGTCTCGCTCTTGCCTTCCTCATCGACATTGGAACTGAATGGATATATGCATTGAGTGTTTCATCAACGCCTCCTAAAAAGTTTATGCCTGGATTGTGAGCCGCAAACGCGTTGCCAAACCTTCTGATTTTACCCTCCTTCTTCGGTACGAAGGCGAGCGTTTCTGACGGCCGCCTCCTGCGAACACAGCAATGCTCTCACAATTGCCTCCGAGCAGCTATAATGTCACGTGACAAAACGGTATAAGTAATGTCACGTGACTGAGCGGTACGGAGGCGAGCGGTCTCACACGGCGGCCGGTCGCAACACAAGGCAAAAGGCATAGCCTCTGAGATTACGTGCTGGCAAAAAGCTCTCAATTGAAAAGAGAGCGACGTTCCAGGCATAATCTTCTAAGAGGCTTTGGCTTCAAGAATAGATACAAGGAGTAATGTTAGGACCATCTTCCTTGAATCAAAATGGCGCAAAGTGCCTCAATGTTTTCTCGTGGCCAATCGGCGCGTTTTTGGAGAGTATGGTAGAATGGTGGATTCAAGGATTCAGGTGCGTTGTTCAGACATTCAAGAATAACAAAAATTGCAGATTTGATTTATTATTTTCTTGAAGCAAGTACCTGGCCGTATTTTGTCAATGTAAACAAATTGCAACAATTATTCGTGACTCACGATAAAGTAGGTGACTTGGACTCTCTATGCTTGGACTACTTTTCATAGCTTTATATAATTTTTATAGCTCCTGCTTTGTGCTGTTGCACAAGGTTCTTAGTCGCGTCGAAGCCCAGGATTGTAAACTGGAGCACCCGCGACGCAAAACGCGGGAAAGCATTTGCGCGAAATAAAAACATGTAAAACCACGGAGGTGTAACACCAACGCCTCCTAGATTTCTTGTGCCTGCCGGATGAGCGCAAAACGTCGGTCATTTATAGCGGCGCTGCCTACGTAGGAATGAGGTTTTTGTACTTGGCCTTTGAGATTGGCAGTTTTGGCGTTTGTCACTAATTTCAGAGGATGCCGTGTATTAAAAAGTTGCTTGCTGAATGACGGCATCACTTACGTAGGGTTAATTATAATTACGTCTTTTCAAAACTTTACTACGTTATTTTTGTTGCATATAAGCTCCAAAAGTGTAAAAACTTATTTAAAAGCATCCCTACTTGAGTGGCGCCATCACTATAGTTTCGACGACCACCGCTTCTCAAGTGACCGCCGATAATCCGGCAGGCACGACAAATCTAGGAGGCGTTGGTAAAACATTGATGCCGTTGATGCCGATGTCGGTATCCTCTGGTTTCGCTTGAACAGCGCTATGCCTGTCGTTACCTGCAGTGGTTGCGGGTATGTAAATGCTCATATTTTTGTGACTGCGCGCGCTGAACGTGCATTACATGAGCCACTTAGTGCGCCAAAGCCTGTGTTTCGCAGCGTCGTGTCTTCCCCCTCGCAGCGCTGATCGTCTAACCGACTCGGGTGAAAAATAGCCGTTGGCGCGGAGTGCATTCAAAATGGCCTCGGCACGATGTTGGCTGGAGGTTAGTCGTGTCTTGTTTCGCGAAACCATGGATGACGCCGATCCTGCGTCGCGACAACTCGGGTGTCGCGTTTGCGCGTACGATCGCATCGTAGTCCGCACCCGTAAGCACTCTTGAGACGGCGCGCCAAATCATGGCGGCAAGGCGATGTGGGCGCTCAAAGGCTCAAACTTCGGCCGCTTGGCATTATTGTTTGACGACTTTGAAGTTCGTTCAGTGAGCATCGCTCGCAACTTTCGTATGCATGTGCCTAAAACCAAGTTATGATTTTCACTGATTGGACGTTTACGGCGCTTTCCGTGCAATCTAGTGTGGGCAATTCCTCCCCTAAATATATATAATTCAGCTAGTGTCAGCGTCACTTTTTGCACCCTCAGTAGCTCTACTGTTGCTAAAGAAGTGCCATTTAATCGATCATAATAACTGCAGTGCATACTACGATGTTTACGAAACGCGAACCGCAGTCTGTACGAACACATGCTAGGTAGCGGCCGCCGTGCCCTTGTTCCGCAGTGCGTGTTTGTATATTTTTGTTGTTTTTTTTTTCGCCCCTCGGTTGTGATGTGTTTCGTCCGTGTTTCAGCGCGCTGACTGCGCGTAATTCACCGATTCTCGCTTTCTGTTGTGATCGCGGTGGGTAACGCTTCCTTCCCGTACTCCGTTAGATTTCCGCTGGTGAAGATGCAGGTGAAGTGAGGTGACGCCTTCAGCGGACCCGTCTATTTCTGAAGCGGCGCACCCCGGACTCCCAGCCGAGTTTCAACACTGATCTCAACGGCGGCAAAAAGGCATGCTTTGCGACTCTTTGTTCTTTGCCGTTCTTTTTGCTATAAGTGTGAGGAAGTTTTTTCTTTCGCAGGTTTCACTTTTCCCTATGGCTTGTCCTCGTGAACGTTCCCTGATAGCACGTTCACTACGCTTATTATAGTCTGTAGTTCCTTTCCAATTAAAAAAAAAAAATCGGCACGCCATGTCAGTATAGAAACTTCGAGATATCGCCGTACTTGAGATTTACGGAGATATGTTGGAGTTGCTCGTGAAGTTTCCAACGGGCACGCCAACATCCCTAAATGACGACTACAAGTCTGAATGGGTTCATAAAGCTCTAGATCTAGGGATAACCCGTAGTGTGTCCCTGCGTGATATTGTAGTCGGTCTCCCACATGTGTGATCGCATCTGTGATCTTTTCGATGTGCGTTCTCCGTGGCACCTGTGAGGAGCGTAGCCGAGTAAAGGCGCCACATGCTGTGCTGCGCTTATGTTATTACTATTAGTGATAACTGATGGGGCATTCTTTGCTAAGCTTTTAAAGTAACGGACATCGTGAACCTGCAAACAGGTTTTAGTCTAGCCATCGTTTATTTTTTTGCCCCTTGTGCGATTACCCCAATTGGCGTACCTTTTTTTTAATAAAATACAAACACCAAAACTTATTGCAAATAGTTGGCTCGTACCTTTGGTCTGTTGAAGAAGAGGTTCTTTCTCACAATATGTTATACTTTGCTTTCAATTATTATTCGCGAAGGTAACTTAAACTGCTAAATAAAAGTGAAGTGCTGAAACTCTAATCTATGGTCTGCGTTAGTGAAAATGAGTCACCAGGACTCATTTTCCGGCAAACAAATCAAACTCCGAGTAGCATATATGTGGATGGGTCTAGAAGTATTTGGTTCAAGGGGCTAGGACACACATTTGATGAATCGGAGTAAACTTAATTTATACATGGGTGGCCTAAACACGTGCCACACTTATTTGAAGGATATGCAGTTATTCAGCAGCAAGTTGTCAGTCCCATGTTTAACTGACGTGTCTGCACAACTGCCATAGCGCTCGTGTTGCAGAATCATTTAGAGCTGTTCACATCTAATGTGCCTATTTCCTCGAAACTTGAATCGAATCTTTCTATCATATTCAATAAAACAATGTTAATCACTGATGTATTGTTAATTACTGCATTAGACATGAATGGAATATCAATTCATATTGAAAATTCCAGATATTTGTGCACACCTTTGAAGCAGCCTTTTCTGTATACACTACAAGCTCTAGCAGCCAATGTATTTTTTTTTTTTGTTTAAGAATCAGCAAACATTTTGATATTCTGACATTGTTCTCTGATAGCTGTGTTTGGAACGATTTAAAAATTTCATTGCTTTAATGCACCTACCGAAGGTGCGTTGTGCACACTCTGTGAATGTCAACGTAGTAACTTCCTGGTGATGGCATAAGGCAGGCAGACCTTAGTTTTATATTATTTCCTTTGCAGCAGTACTGCTTTACATGGAAAAATCATTGCCTTAGATAATTTCATTTTACTAGTTTTTTTTTAATTGCGACAAAGACTTGCCTTTAAGGCATAACATTCTTGCGAGTATGTTTGTTGAATGTGTGCCGTTAGGCCGGTGTTGTGTTCTACACCAGGCATATGTGCAAAAACTAGCTCTGTTAATTCCTTTACTTCATGTTTGGGAACATGCACAGTTCAAGCAATATAGCCACTTGTACAGTTTTTTCCACTTTGTAGTAATTAACAGTGGGTTGTATGCATGTAGTAATATACTTCCTTAACTTAATTTTGATACTATAAGAAACACCTGGTATGTGTATGCTGCAGTATTTGTTATATGTGTGCCCTACCACTGTATACTTTCTAGCAGTTCAGTATTGGCCTCTGCATGCATTGTTCTTTTTGCTGTTGTTTTGTGTTGCAGGGAAATAATGAGTACAGAATCGTTTCATTATCTTGGGCTTTCGTATGAACTTGTTTCCAAGACAGGAACACTAAAATGAAATACTATACCAGGGCAGAATGATAAGTTGTTTTTCGGGAACCAAAGTGTCATTCTTTTTATGACGGCAGACTCATTGCTAGAAGTAAAAATGCAGCTCCAAGTTAAATTTATGAATTTCGTGCCAATAGCGCGATGTTGATACATTAATGTCTCAAATCTTGTTATCTTGTTTCTTATATATATATACTGACACATATAGGAAAAAGTGTATACTTAAGGGCTCGTTTTTATGCGTTTGACACAATGTTAATGATGTGATATAATAGACAATAATGCCAAGGAAAGTATAGGGGAAGTTATCAGACCGAATTGTAATGTAAATGTGGAAAAAGACTAGTGGCTGAAAAGATAACTTGCCGTGGGCAAGATAACTTGCCTTTGTAATTTGGTCGCATTGGCTGAATAAAGTTCACAAATCATGGCATGTTAAATCTGTGGCGCCCTTGTAACCCAGTGTAATGTATTCTTACTGATAAGGAATTATATAGGCCATAGCAGATGCAGTCAAATTTTTATCACATTGCGGCCAGCTGGTGCGTAAATGTCCATTTAGTTTTGCCTCCTGTTTTTTCTTCCTCTTGGAAATTTTCCTGCTTACCAAGTGTGCTTTCGTGACAAGAGTGGCAGAAGTTTATAATGCTTAATTGAAGTTTGCTAGTGTGTGGAAGAAAAACGGAAAAAATCACTAAGGCGCGGAAGATGTGAATTGGGCAAGACGAGCTCTGGGCTTAGAACTGAAAGTCTTTGTAGAAACTTCGCTCCCCGAAACACTGAATCAGCAGCAGATGCACAAGTTACCTGAGCCGGGCTCAATTCATACAAACATAGCGAGATAGAAAACACTGCCCAAGATAAGACAACATGCACTGGCTCTCTAGTAATGCTTTATCTAGGAAGCATACTGAAGGATAAGTGATGCATGAGCTTTTGTCCTTTTTTTTTCTTTTATATCGCATTCTTAACAAATGTCAGGCCTTTTTCTACTTTTTTCTTTGTCAATAATTCCTTCCGAGTTAAAATCTTTGATTTGCATATAAGGGTAGGTGTTTTCTCTTTGGTGTCACTTCAACACTTCGTACTTCCCTGAAAAAAAAAAAAAAAATGCAGAGTCCGAAGAAATGGACGGGCTGGGGGGCTCGTCCCAGCGGTACCGGGCCCAGGACCGGGAAATAGAGCAGCGGTATGCCAACCTGCTTACGCCCATTCGAGACTTGACAAAGAACTTCGAGGTCGACATCGCTGCATACCTGGACCAGTATCTGGGGGAGGTGGGTGTTGGCTGTGTTTGAATGACTGCACTGTGGCTTGCTGGCTTTCTTGAAGCGTTCTCTTTATGAGAGATTCATTTTGAGTTTACTTTCAAAGCCCAGTGGTACTGTCAACATATATAGAATGGTAATTCTTCGCAGTCGCAAATCTTCTTAACCTCCTCCTGACAGATTGCCGCAGGAGTGGTTTTTTTTTTTGTTATTTTCACATCATATTCATTGTCTGCATGCTTTGGGGCAGTTCATTAATTCTGCTTTCGCCTGTGATCCACTTACCTTCGGTTTAGCCTTGATTTATCAGGATAAACGTTTCTTCAGCTGTGGAACTTCGTAATATAGAAGCCTGTATGAATTATCCTTGGCGGAAATTAGTAAGCACTGACCAATCATTAAAATAAAAACAGAAAGGTGTTTTGGCCCTGCTACAAAGGCCTTGGTCACTAAAAGCAATGCCTTTTTTTGTGTGTGTGAACAATACCTTCATAACAGAGCCAAAACGTCTTTATGTTTTCGTTAGGAAAATTGGTCGGTGCTTACAAATTTCCCCAATGAATTTTCCAGACCAGACGGTGTTTAATCGAACCCTGGACTTCATGAATTTTCCTTGTAACATTATGCTACTGGCTGGCTTGTGGCAATTTCTTGGCAATTTTGGCCGTCTATATATTTATTTATGATCCTTGAAACGTATTACATTGGGGAGAACAATGGGCATTGCTTTTGTCGGGCAGTTGGGTTTCGAAAAGGATATTGCAGTACTCGAGTGAAGTTATAAAATTCTCTCTCCTAACTGTGCTTGCGAGCTGGGTTGCATTGTGTAAGATATACTTGATGGAATAAATGCGAATAAGTCTCATTGCTGCTCGGAGATGTAAATGCGGGCAAACCTGATTGCATGTCAAAGTGCGAAATGCAACTTTTCATAACTGTCAAGCGCTGATGGAGTGGCAATGCATGCTCCTTGTGTTTCTGTAGAAGAGTGAAGCAACATGCACTGTTTGCCTTGATTGCTTTTTATCAGTCTCGAGATATTCTTTATTTATTTTATTTTTCATTTCTCAGCTGTCACAAACTCCGATCACCTACCAGGAAGGCGAATCCAGCGTCAATTTCACCCAAGCAGCCTTTCTGATTCAGGGAAGTGCCTTCGTCTATGGCAAAAAGGTGAATTAATTGCATCACGTTTTTGTGTTTCTTTTGTTTTTTCATGCTGTATAGCAATGGTTGGAAAAGCATAATTTGGTCTACTACTTAATGTATAGTTTTTATAAATTGGTCTTAAAGTTCACACATAGCCTTGGTTATACATTTTAATTATAGTAAAGGCACAACTGCAATGTCTCAGGCCTTTGCACGACTGCAATTTTTTTCTTCTTATTTTACACATTGTTGTGTATTTCTGTGACTAACTTTTTAACAGCAGTGCTGCTGCAGCTGGCTGCAGTTTGTCCGGTGTTGCAAGAGGCTTCACAGGGGGGTATGCACCACAGGCATTGGACAAGCCTCATTACCGAGTACAGCAGGTGCGGGCGTGAAGCAAAAATTCTGCTCACTGAAGAGAAGCAAAGCACGTGAAGCTTTTGAGGGAGAGAGAAATAAAGTGATTAGAACAATAATGTGCAAAATATAGAGAAATGAAGGAAATTGAAAGACATAGATAAAAACAGGCACAAAAGAGAGATTAAAAAGAAAACAACAAAGAGCAAGGCAGCAAGATAAATAAAAAGATAGGAAAAAACAGAGAAAAGGGATGGAAAAGCAAGTGGGAAAAAAAATGAGGAAGGCCACCCACCTGCTTTTTTTTTTTTTTTTTTCAGGCTCGGCACCCCTGGTGGAAAGCATCCATAATTTTTTCGATATATTTTTCTCCCGCGTATATTACAACATTACTTTTTCTATTGCTTTGTGATTTGTAGCATAAAATGTAGATTTGACAACTACGGAGTCAGATGTTTTGAAATATTTCCCACATGTTCAGCTGGTCCTGCCAAGGGTCAGAATGGCGGGAAGCTAAGATATACGTCCCTTTCTTTCTTGTCTTGGTAGGAAGCACTGAAGGCAATAACCAGTTTTTGCGCTTAACCTGCTGACTGCTAGCAAGTTACCCGCAAAGACTGGTCATGGCTGCCGTGGAATCTCTGTATAGGGACCTAAAGAAACAAAATTGGAAGCAGTAATAACACTTTCCTGCAGTAGCGGAAAACGACTGTTGTCCCCTTGAAAAGATTGGAAATGAGGTTGGTGTGCGAGTGGTCATAGTCTGCTGTAGAGAAACTGCAAAAATATGTCGTAAAAATCTAAAAAATCTGTCTTGTTTTGAAAAAAAAAAAAAAAAAAAGGTTGCAAAGTTAAGCGTCATAATGACTGTGTTGAATGTGCACAGTTCGTTGTTCATAGAGTGCCCTTGTCCTGTGGCCACGCTTATGTTGGACAGACTGAAAGTTGTATCAATGAGAGGGTAAAAGAACGTCACAATAAAATACAAAAGGCTACCGATGGTTACTTGGCTGTCCACTGTAACGAGTGCGGTTGTGTGCCGTATTTTGACAACGCATGCGTTTTATATTGTGGTAGAGATTTATTAACGCGTTTGATTGTTTAAAGCAGCAGGAATGGAATAACTTTTTAAGGTCGGTATTCGTTATTTTGAAGTGTTGTGGAAATACGAGGGGGATAAAATTTGATACGTTCTGGAAATATTTGGTATTCTGAAATTTATAGCAATAAAATACTTTTACATTAGACAAATGGACATTTGGAGGGTGTAGTGTGTGGCGTATTCTGAAGGAGTACAGCCACTAGCATGGGTTCTGTCTTAGCAATCCGCAGGGCCGCGTTCGGACAGCCAAGGCGTCGAGCGCAGTGTTGCAAGTACAGAGTACTGATTTCAAACAAGTCACAACACTGAATTGCCTGCGGCAACACCAAAAACGCAGTGCAGCCCCCGTTGAAAAAAGGCACCGGAAAAACAAACGAGTCTTATCCACGCCACGGGCGAAAAGTACAACACAAAGGGTGCCGCGAGCACGTCCTCTTAGGAATTCACTTTGACATGCTGCTTAGGGGAATGGGCCCTCTCGACTATGCTGCGCTGCTCTCACGATCTGTGACTGCTAGGCCCGATCACTTGAGTAACGGCTAACTCCGCTCGTGTCGGCTTCGAGAAGTATGGGTCCGTGTAGTACGACCACGTGCAAGAATACTGCACCACTCTTCGGCCTAGCGTTTGAAAGGGGCAACAAAAGGTAAGCGTTCGCCGGGGGCGCAAGGCACCGTTGACGAGTCCGAGCGAGCTCCAAACTAAGGGAGCCAACAGACGAAAAAAGAACGTGTGCTCACCCTTTGGCTGTGCCTAGAGATCTCTGACTGACTCCCGACGCGCGCGCGCGATACATCTTGAGAGACTTGAGCGCTGCGCCACGGTTTACTTCTGGCTGAGAGGGGTGAACATCACTCCCGCTTCCCCAGTGCCAACGGATCGGAGAAGGGGAGAGTCTTGTTAGGACATGAGAATGGGGACAAAGCACGCGCAGTGGTGGTGGGCTAGCCTCTCAATTCCCACAAGAGGGATTTTTGAAAAAATTGTTAATCTGAGGTTCGCTGTAACGAGATTTGACTGTAGTTAAAGTTAAGCACTTGCGTCTCTTCTCTCATGTTCTCGTGTGGAAGTTGCATGCTTCCTGCCAAGATTGGTTCATACCAACTTGCCCGATATAATTGTTTATTAAGTCCTTTTCTTTACTGAGACTTATCGGGCCTTGTGAACACTTTGATTAGTGTTATGCAATGCTTTGGGTGAAAGCTGTACATGAAAGAAAATTTAACGAGGCTCGCACCTATGATTAAGGGCTTCCTTACTGCTTTGCTTACGAAAATGCTTCCAGCTGGTAGTAAGGACATTCAGCCAAACACACATGAATCATGGGCTGAGTTGGTGGCATGGGAGCAATATTTCTTCCTTTTCTCCCCTTGTCTTGAATGCCTGAATCATTAAACTGCAGAAGAAATGAAAATTGTTTATCACTTTCTAGCTTTAAATAGCAAGTTTTAAATGATTCCGCAGTTCAATTATCTAAAATGCACCTTTAATGCATACTTTTATGTATGTCACGAATTATCCACATGCCACAGAACCGAGGACCTTGCAATGAAGGATGTGCCTCAGAACTATGCGACATGTCGTGTGCCACATCCTGAACGCATACGCACCAAATAAACAAAATTATTGAAGATAGAACTTGCATCAGCCAGGTGAGAAAGTACGAAGTGAGCGCTCTTGCACGCGCTTCACACTATCCGCCATCAGCTACAAAACAATTGGTTCTGGCATAAAACAGCTTACACAAGATAGCGCTAAATTTTTTATGCTGAAAGCTACGTTCCCCGTGAGTACTTCACAGCCGGCATTAAAGGCAGCACGCATTCCTTGACTTGCTTGCGCGAAGTGTTTCGTTACGTCATGAATTCGCGACACTGTGCGGTAAGGGGTTAAAAGGGAGCATAGACATTGCTTCGTAGCATCCGGCCTTCTGAGCTGCTTTCGGATGACAAGGAGACACAATTTTTCATCTGTCATCAGTGTTGGAATAGAGCTATGAAGACATGTCTCCTCATATATTTATTTTGGGACGTTAAACCCCACATATCAATCAATCCTCATATATTTATGATAATTAACTATTTGACATGTTGCACACTGCCTCGACGCCCCTTTCAGTCACCCTGTGAAAAATGAGAACAAAAAAAAATTGTGTTACAAATAAAAAATCTAGCAATGTAATGCCCTCAATCAGACGTCTTAGAATGTATAGCGCTGTCAACTAGTTTCCTGTTATGTTTTTAAGGGAATAAAGCTTGGTACAAAACCAGATGGAGAAATGTATTGTAAATAAAGATAATCATAAAGATACGTTCATGAAATTTCTACAGTAGCATAAAAAAAACATTTTGAACAAGTGTGCTAATCTTCATGAAAATCCATAAAGAAATGAGAAAGCTGGTATCGAAAGCCACGTCCCCCATTATTAAGAGTGTTGTTTGAAAATACAGCTGCATTTAAGGCACTTTTCAAGTATGCAGTTACCGTGCTCTGAAACAAACTCAAAATGTGAAGGTAGTTGGAAGGGATGCACAAATAGTGAATTTCAGGTTCTAAGTGAATGGGGATTTTGGTCGAGTAATTTCAAATTGAATTGAATGGCATGCTTTACTTATTATGCATATTTGCCATGACCCTACTGATCTGCACAACAAGGCATGTACGAATGTTGATCTATTTCATTTGCAATACTTCATGTTTACAAGCCTATTTAACGAGCTTTTAAACTTAAAATATTATTAATCGGTGGTGGGGTACTATATTAATTTAACCAACGCAAAAGAGCGGCCAGCATAATTTAAATTTATGTGTAAGCAAATTCGAATACTGTAATATTCGTTCAAATATTTCAACTGCTCAAGTATTTGCACATGCTTAGTAGCTGGCACTTGTACTATATGGTGTTGATAAAGGGCACTTGGAGGAGGTCAGCCTCTCCTGATTGTCACCTTTTTGCATTAAAACGACAGCAAAGTTTAATAAAGCAAGAAAAAAATATATCTAAAAGAGTGGTTTCACATTAAGGCAAAGAATCATTAAGAACAGTATGATGATCAAGAAATACAGTGAAGAAGTTTCAGGAAGCTGACGTAATAGGTGCCGCCAATGACATTGTCAGTTATTTTGCATATCTTATTGGCGCGCAAGGTGAGATTAAAGGAATCCATCAGTGTTTATCATCTACAGATGAAATATTCAATTTAATTTGGCACTTGCTGTCTTCTCCTCTAAAATCACTTTATGTGCCACGGTTTGGTTTGCGCACTCTATGACAGAAGTGCAAGCCAGGCACACTGCATTGGTTCTTGCAGAGTAAGTTGGGTGCAGCGTGGCAGTGTGGCTGTTTGGCTTTGTTGCGGCTGCAAAATTAAACACTTCGTACATCCCTGTGGAACTCCCAACATCTATTGCAAATGCACCTGGAGGGGGGTCTGTGTAATTTCACTCGCATTAAAAACAAAATATTCATTTTTTTTCCCCTACTGTCACCTTGATCGGCTATGACAGTGTAGGGAATTGAGTGAAATGTGGCTGATTTTTTCTATTTCATTAATTTTTTTGGGGGGTGGGCTGTAACGAACTCATCAGTTGAAGTTCTTGTAGCAGGATTGATTTCAGTGTTGCTTCTCTTTTTTTTTTTTCTCAGGTGGAATATCTCCACTCCCTTGTACAAAAGATGGCAGCCGAAATAGTTCACAACAGGTACTCTCCTATTTTGTTTTTCATACCTTGCATGTATCTGCTCAATACTACTGAGCCAATCTACAGTGCTCATTGTACTTTTTTCGTTGATAATGTAGCTTACATATTGTCCTCTGTCTTAATACAACGTACATATTTACTAAAAGGTGGTAACTGTATTCTAGTTTTTTAATTGTTTACCTATTGCTTATTAGTTTCCTCTTAGGCATCTTCCTCGAGAAAACAATGTTGCCAGCATTACACATGTATTTAGTGCTTTTTGTGCTATAGCTTTACTCTTTTTTTTTTTTGTGGAGTCTCAACAAAACCTCTGCACTATAAGAGAAATGGCATTACAGTGCGCTTCCAGGTTTGAATGCAGTCGAACCCATTTATAACGAACTCAAGAGTGCCGCGATAAGTGGTTGTTAGATCAATAGTTCATTGCATATGGATTCACCCTTAAAGACATGCACTTTGTGATTAAACCATTTTTTTTTGTGTATATTTATTAAAAAGTGTTAACGGCTTCGGTGACAGGTTAGGCCTTTTTGTGTGTTAAACTACTCCAGGTCTGTGCTCACGAGTGAATTAAACCACGTTCGCTACGAACTCGCGCCGTTCCGTTGAAGTGCGGTACTGCAATCAATCATCCCTGAATAGTTGCAGGCAGGTTGCTTACTCAACTTTCGCCATCGCGTGCCGGGGTGTTTGCAGTCTAATGTATGCACACGTTCGTGCAGTCTTCACGCATGCTTCACCCCGTGTGGGGCTCTGGAGCAGCGAGCAGCGTGCTCAATCAACTCGACGATGACACACATTTTGCCAGCAACCTTGCGTGACGCTGTGGCAACGTTACGTGCTTGTACTGCCGTCACTGCGTGCAATTTAAACATGCGCAGCAAAGCACATATCTGCAGATGACTATGGTAAGGTTGTTGGCAGTGAGCCACAATGGCGCGTTCATCACTACTGGCCACCTCGCCTTCGCTATCTATATATGCTTACCGCAAGCGTGCGGTAGTCGCATCACTGATAAACCAAGTCATAGCCATTAGAGAAAGGTAAAACACCTTTTGTGGCATCTTGTGGCATCGGCTAGTTGAGCATCACAGGGAATTTTTAAATGACCAAAAGTTATTATTTCTTGATTTTGTGGCTCATTGCTTTCTAAGTCATTGTTTCGTTAGTCGGCGGCAGTCATAGCTGCAGAGAAGGACGTCATAAAAGTTTGCCGTGAGAAAACTGGTCGCCATTCTTCATGCTGCCTCCTTTTTCTTTCTTCCATTACTGCCTTTCTGCTGGTGAAGAAATGCCTGGAAAGTGAGCGACCTTGCTTGCAGTGTCAAAAATCTGCTTGCGGTGCTCGTCACGGTCCGCGATATCTTCGTTGCAAGTAAACTGCAGTGGGGGGCACTATGCCTGCGTGAACACGCACCTTTCGTGTACTTTAAAATGCCTTTTTTTGTTGTTTTTTTTTTCACTTTGTATGTGCCATATTTTTATCGCGACCACATCGGAAATGTTTATTGTAACAGTGGGAGGCCTTGAAAAATGTTCGCTATATGTGGACACGGTTTCTATGGGTAACATAGGAAAAATCGTGTAAGTGCATCGAAATATGGTCGTTAAAACTGATAGATCATTATATCTGGGATCGTTATAAGGGGGTTCGACTGTAATTTATAGACTTGTGCGAATATTCGAACGCTTCGAAAATTTAAACGAATAGTAGAGTATTCAAATTCGCTTTGATTCGAATTTAAATTATTGAAAATTTCGAAGTATTTGGAATGAACGAATAACTGTATACCGTATTTACTCGCATAATCGGCGCACTCGCATAATAGGCGCACCCCTAGTTTGGTCGCGGAAAATTCGATTTTTTTTAATTCCGCGCATAATAGGCGCACCCCGAACTTGGCCGTGATCAGAAACGATTCTACCCCCCAGCGGTATAGTTGGAACGCGGTCCCCGTACCCTGAAGAAAAAAAGAAGGCAAATCGACGAGCAAATGAAAAAAATTCGAAGTGCTAGACCTAACCAGTGTGTTTGTCGAAATAAAACTTGAAAAAAAAAAGCGTCTATGAGCGAAAAAAAAGGCTGTTCCATCAATTACTGATACCCCCCAAATCGCCGCGCTTTTTGGAGGTCACGTGTACAATGCCGGGGGCTCAATCGCCATCACCACCATCAGAGAAAAAGAAAGTAACGCCATTTTGCAAGCGGTGTGCGTATGTTGTGGTCGTGTATTGAACTTTGGTTCCGCCATGGGGAAGTACGCGAGGAAGTCGTCAGGAAAAGCTTCAAGAAGACGGGTATCTCGAACGCACTGGATGTGAGTGAGGATGACATGTTGTGGGGTGCGGATGATTCGGACACCGAAAACGAATCCCCGCTCGACGAGGATGAATGTGTGATCTCCGACTCGGACTCCGAATAGGGAAAAGGAGGAACAGCTACGACTTTTGTGTAAATAAATTTTACGTGTGTGTGTGCAGTTGACGGCTCTCGCTTGTTCATTAAAAGGTACGTAGGTATGTTTGTTTTATAGCCCCGCCGCGGTGGTCTAGTGGCTAAGGTACTCGGCTGCTGACCCGCACGTCGCGGGTTCGAATCCCGGCTGCGGCGGCTGCATTTCCGATGGAGGCGGAAATGTTGTAGGCCCGTGTGCTCAGATTTGGGTGCACGTTAAAGAACCCAGGTGGTCAAAATTTCCGGAGCCCTCCACTACGGCGTCTCTCATAATCATATGGTGGTTTTGGGACGTTAAACCCCACATATCAATCAATCAATATGTTTGTTTTATGGTGAATTAATTGGTAAACGATAAAGTTGCCTTTTACTTGACAAGTGTGCAGATTTAAAGCGCGAGAACCGAGTTGAAAAAATTTTCAAAAATTTTACCCCGCGTAATTGGCGCACCCCTAACTTCGAGCCGGATTTTCTGAAAAAAAAGTGCGCCTATTATGCGAGTAAATACGGTATTAATCCGCATGTAACCGCCTGTAAAAGTGGTTTCACTGCAATGTAGGGTTGCTAAGTTGTGAAAGCACCTATACAGGGCAAATTTGCTCCGCCGCAAAGCGCTTTTTCAAATTTAAAGGGGCCCTGCAACACTTATTGAGCATGGTCAGAAAACGCTGCCGATTAGTAGTCGAGGCTACTGAGAACATGCGAGGCAAATATTATAGCGCAGCACGGGGCCTGCAATTCACAATAAATTTTAAAATTTAGCGAAAAGTTGCCCTCTTCTCTCGGCAAAGGATACTAAAAGCTCAAAAATCACTTGTCAAAGCCATTGGCTGACTTGAGCATGACATGCTCTGTGGTTACTGGGACCATTGCTTGTCCACGTGTACATGCGCGATCGCACTGAAAGGCCGCGTATTCGAAGAAAAAGTGGAAGAGTGAGAAAAAGTGCTCAGGGTCCCAAGGCATGCGTGACGTTTTTCCTTTCCTTGTGCCATCATTCCCTGCTTAGCTTTCAGCTCTTTCGTCGTGACAAGAAGAAAGAATGCAATTGCAGCGTGTGACAAATTTTTGGAATTCTGCTCGTACAGGACTGATTTTAAAAAATTTTGCGTTGGTGAATTCGTGACACAATAAGCTTCTTTAGTGGCTTCGTGGCTACTTGAAAAAGTGTTGCAGGGCACCTTTAAATGAACGTGTTACCCTCAAGTCAATTCATCATTTTATTACACTTTAAAGCTTGGTATGACAGCTTACATGCTTTATGTATAATAAATTTTAAAATGGTACTTATTTTACGGGTTATCACCAGCATCGTAATGAAACTCAAATTGCACTACCACTGAAGGTTTTTTCGACAAAAAAAAAAAAAGACATTTGCTTAGAGCACTGGTGGAGGTGTTGCTCCAATTGCTCCAAACCTGCTCCAAAATGGTGTTGGCAAACTAAAGAGAATGAAGCTGAACCTTGAGACCATCCCGTGATTCTAAACAAAACCAAGAGCAGGCTGTATGCACTATCATCCTAGTGTGCTGCTGAAAGGCGTAAATAAAAAAAAAATTACAAGGGGTGACACATATCAGGCCGTGGTGGCCATTTTTTAAATATGAGTTGTATCTTTACTTCATATAAGAAATAAATCATGCTTTCAAATAAAATTTAAAAAAACGAGCACGGGTCCGAGCTCGAGTAATTGCATTGTTCTATTAGGTCTGTTTTTTTTTTTGTTTTCACCATTTTGCAATTTCTATAGTTCACACAATTGAGGGGAATTTAACACAGGTATGCAGTAAAAAAAATAGAAAGTCTATTAAGTAGTTTCAGACAGTTCATTGCGCTATACTTAACTGTTAACTCTATTGTGTCGCGTGCTGAAGCTGAATCTCAATGGGGACACTTGCAAGGGCTGTCCACCTCCACCTGAACACAAGAAAAGTCTGGACTCCTTTGACCCCCCCCCCCCTCCCCATGATTTATGCCAATGATGCTTGTATACTGACTGAATACTAGCATACAGCATGCTTAATAATAAATATAAATACTTATTAGATGCCTAATTGATATTGTAGCCTTCAGGAGTCGTTAGGAACATGCATCTGCTCCGAAAACATTACATAGCAACGCTAAGCTATAGCATCCTAAGCTGTAGTATTTTTTTTTCTGCTCCGAAGACACTTCAGGCTGCTCCAAAGCATCATTTTTTTGCTCCAGAATCTGCTCCAAAAAGAGATCTCGCTTCCATCACTGTTAGAGCCCCTATTTCAATTGAAAGAAAAACATTGTGCAGGTTAGTTAGGTCGTGATAAATATTCCCATCGTTGTTTTATATGTGATGCATACCATTCGGATACGATTCAAAATTATTCAACCAAAATCACTATTCGTTTCGTATTCACTTCGAACCTAAAATTCAATATTCGCACAAGCCTAGTATTAAAGTATCAGTGACTAAAATGTAACTTTTTGTTGCAAAGAAGCTATCAATCACAGTGTTACTGTTAATCAAATACATGACATTGGCTGGTTTTGTTTACGGGCTTCAAAATCTCAAGGAAGTGCAGTGGCTACCCATTAAACGTTGCTTTATAAGGTGATTGTAAACCGAGGGTTGCTGATGCGAAAAATTTGTCCAGTTTCCCAATTTTTTCATGCAGGTTTTTTTTTTATATATACTATGTTAAAGCTTGAAAAAGAACCATTTACATGCCGATTTTCACTTATCTTATTTCTTCACCAAGTTGATTTGGTGCATGTGTATGCATCATCTAAGAATACGAAAGTCGAAGACAGTGAACGTGAACTGCCGACTGCTTGCTTTAAAAATGTGGCCATTATACAGCCTGCTCCATGTACAATTTTGCTTATTCTGCATGTCGAAACTCAAATGAAATCAGTCAGCGTTGAATGTGTCAGTTCTATACAAGGCACAGCAGACAAGCAAGCCTTCATACATTGGCGAATGTGCATAAACATTTTCAACTCTACATTGCTCAACATTGTAACGTTTTAATTTGCAGACTACTCCTTATCTTCTCAACCTTGTCGCATACATACGCATTGTTTCGCCGTCACCTCTTACCACTCGCCAAATTCACATGTGCCTATGCTTGCATGAGATTGTGTGGGCTTTCCAAGTGTCCTAGCACTCTCTTTTCTGATTTCTTTGCCTGCTTTTTCTTCTCCTCGCAGATCGTCGAAATTTTGTGAATACAGTAGGTTCGCAATGCACTCTTTCTTTCCTTTTTGTATTGCTTTAGTAACGCACCCCTCGTATGCTTGTCACTGAGTTTACAAAGAAATTGCTACTGCTACCACCTTAACTGTGCTTCTTTGCAGTCAGTGTTTCTGGAGATGCAAACACAGCAGACTCCCATTATTAATCGACAAACATGCAAACAGGGAAGCTTGTATCCTCAAGGTTGGTTTGAATGTAGGAACACTAAACTTTTGACAGGCTAAGCAGCGCCCTACAATTGGTCTGTTTGTTAGGGAATTATGGCTTTTAAAGAGGCCGTCCTTTAAAAGACCTATTTTTAACTGTGTCAACATGACAAAACACAACGATGCATGCAGCACATGTTCATCGTGAAATGCGTAGTCACGCAAGGCGTTGACTTTCTGTAGGTGGCAGTGTGAAACTTCTAAAATGCAATCGACTTTTGTTAATTCAAAGAATTTTGTTTGAAATATTAAGAAGTTTGAATTATCAGAAGCTCTCAGATAGATGACTCTGGTTGAGGTCACAACACATTATGATTAGGCATTAATTTTATCAGATTAAAAAATTTTTCTAAGCCAAACCCCAACTGTGCGCAATGAACAAAAAGCAGAGGTGTAAGGTCCACAAGTTTATCAACCGTTTACTGCTGATCAGGCTTCTTAAAAAAAATTGTGAATTGCCAACTGCTTCTTTGCTATAGGCATGTGACTTCAGCACAAAGCTCTCTATACCAGTTGAGAAGCATCACGGTTTACCATGCATGTGCGTTCTTTCGAACATTTGTTTACTAGCAAAGCCTTTTTCCTTGAAGGCCTGAGGTGCTTATTTTTCATTTTTAGACTGTTATGATCATATAAGCATGCAAATTTTTCATTAAATATTAATTGAAAAGTGGCAGATTTTTTTTTGCATGGGGGGAACTGCAAAAAGTATGAATGAACTCAATGAAGGAGTTTGAACTGAGATGCTTTTAAATACATTGAAAGAATACAGAGCCAACCAAAAAATTGAACATTTTGTTTGAATTAACCGAAAGTATGAATTATCAGAGTTTCAATTATCGCAAGTCTTCTGTAATGCTCTCCTGTTGCACAGAAAATCGCTATTTATTTCACTGTATTAGAAACCACATCATCTGGCGCACTGTCAAAAGCACTTCCGCCTCTGTTGGCGCCATCGCAGAGTTTCCATTGTCAGCCTCTGAGTAATTCTCTTACACGGCGTTGTAAGTACCTTGGAAAACATGTTGATGTCCTCTATGACATGAGGCTTGATGGGAACACATTAACGATGATTGCACCGCACTGTTAACACCTACACACATGCATAAAGAAAGTAAATGGGGACGGGAAGCCAGAAGCTGTGACTACTGCTGGGGTGGAGTGATGTCTCACGTGGAAACTGATGGTGTTAATGAGGTAGTACTTTTGGTCTTGTAACTGTTATTGCAAGCTTTTGTTGCAGCCGTTGCCCCGCCGCGGTGGTCTAGTGGCTAAGGTACTCGGCTGCTGACCCGCAGGGCGCGGGTTCGAATCCCGGCTGCGGCGGCTGCATTTCCGATGGAGGCAGAAATGTTGTAGGCCCGTGTGCTCAGATTTGGGTGCACGTTAAAGAACCCCAGGTGGTCTAAATTTCCGGAGCCCTCCACTACGGCGTCTCTCATAATATAGTGGTTTTGGGACGTTAAACCCCACATATCAATCAATTGCAGCCGTTATCTCCGTGGTCACCACACTGCATGCACAGCTGGTAGCTGACATCTAAAACTACGTTCACTTTATTGTACTCACACACTAAATTTCTACGTATCGGTCTCGCAGATTCGCATGAATTTCCTGGGTATATAATACTCACCGACAAATATGCAAGAAAAAAAGTGTCCTTTGCACCCAAAAATACAATAATGTTTTCTGGCTGTTATTTCTTTTGCTTAAAAAAATAAAGATGTGTCACACGCATTGGGTGAAGCCCCGCCATACTAACAGCGGGGTGTGGCAGACTCGCAGGCTTCCACATTACATATAGGCCTGTAAGGCTTGAAAGGCCTCCAAGTGGTACATTTCAGATTTTTTTGTAGGCCATTCGACACAATCGGGGTTGCACGTGTGGTGATGTTCGGGTCTGACTGACTCATAGAGCAGACAAAGACATTTTATTATAAACAAATTTTGAATTAAAACAAGGCAGTCGCAAGAGCTAACAAAAATTAACTGAGAAAAAAACACAAATACGTTCGATGACAGGAATAGCTGGAAAAAAAAAATATGCTCTAAACGGACACAGCAAGGGTACAAATAGACACATCGCGAAATCTTATTAAAATAACTGGACATGATAAAAACTGAAAATGACAAAGAGAGGAAAACAAGAAGATCGTGTTCTCGCTTCTGAGCATATTTCATGACGCAGCGCACACAACTGCAGTTATTAACAGCTGGGTATAATAAAATAACATATGGAAAAAAAAATCACTATCAAAAGTCTATACGGACCATGCCAGCTCGTGGTGCACGAAGGGAAGTTGATGGGGGTGCCGTTGTTTGTCTCGCCAGCTTCGTTAGATGACGATGGGGTCCGATGTTACAGCCGACTCAGTTTCGTTGCACGGGACACGCCAGGCTCGTTGCCTACACGACACTCCTGACACCGACGACAGCTTTCTTTGCTGGTTCACTGTCAACTGCCGAAGCAGTCAAACTTTATCAGGGCATCCGCCCCCATGCCCTCCAGAGGTAATTTTCATCCTCGAACTCGTGCAGGCCCCTTTTCGTACAAGTGCAGGGAAGACACGCCGGCACCTTTTCCGGGCTCATAGTCTGTTACCGGAAGTTTACAACACGAAGGCGCCCTCGAAGGGGTGCACGGTAGAGAATTCCAGGCTTTTGTGCCAAGATAGCATTGATGCCTTGTGTTTTCTATGATTGGCAATTGTCAGCCTCGATAACCTGATCTGAATTGATGTAGCAGAACTTCGTTAATTATTATCTCAAGGAGATAGAAAATTTTTTTTAATAAAAAAAGGGGTGTTAAGTGTAGTGAAAAGAGCCCATCTGCTGATATTATTATTACACAAGGACACAGAGGAAAGATGGAGAGAGCAAGCTGGCAACTGCCACCTGGAGGGGCCTGCTCACTTTTTCGGGAGGAGGGAAGAAACAGAGGGAACAGAGATTAGAGGAAAGAAGATGAGGAATGAAAAAAAAAATGACGAAGACTTCGACGAGCATGAGTAATAGAAGCATAAAATAAAAAATAATAAAAAACATCTATAAACTGGTGGCCAGGTTCGTTTGGTTCATAAATGTAAGGAGAGCTCAGTGGGCCTTGTCGCGTCGGGAAACACAGCCGTTCGGAAAAAGGTAGTCACACTTTAGTCCTAGGAATTTATATTCCTTAATTAGCAAAGACCGCTGCTGATAGCGCTTCATGGCCCAAGCCATGTGCCTGGACATGTGTTTTTTGTGGTGTCCCAGCAGGGATGGTTGGTTGTGGAGAATTGAGTGCTGGCCGCTATTTTAAGATTTTTTATTTTGGAGGTGTTTCTCAGTTTTCTTCTAAAAAGAAGGGCTTTTTGCAGCTTCGTACTTTTAAGTAGCCTGTGTGTGTATTGTGTGGATTATTTAGTGTGCCACTCATTGTTTCGAATCACGCCTAATTCTCTTTGCAGCCTGAAAGGTGGGGACACGCAGGACAATCCCAAAGACGGTACTTCAGCAACGCGGCGGAAAAAAGATGACTTGGTGAGTTGTTCGGGCACTGAGTTGTGGCTGCTTTTAATTGCACGTCAAGTGCAACTACACCGCTCAAACACAATGGGGATTTTCTTTTTTATTGTCGAGAAATTACGTGCATAAATGCTCACCTTTCCCAGGACTCTTGCAGGGGCATTTCTCATGCAGTTAATATACCATCAGTAAATATTTAAGTATTGTATATTGCCAATTAGAAATTTGAACTCCCATCTTGCAACCTCTTCTAGGCAAAAAAAGAAAAAGACTGTACACAGCTTTATGCTGTGGTCATAGCACACCAGTAAGTCTTTCAGAAGACGGAGTGATGAAAGAAAACAGTTATTTGATTGTGAAACATCGCTTACGACTCGTTGTCGCTTGTAAAAAGGATGCAGCAGTCATGGTCATCGCCATCGTGTGAGCCACTGCAGCTGCTCGCCATTGAAAGGAAGCTGGTGGTACTAAGGTGCCACACGCAGAAAACGCTGTGTGGACTATGACCTGGTAGGAGCGTAAACCTAGCCAGCGAAAGCAGCGACAACGTCTGGGCCGAGCGTTTCGTGCTTAGCACTGACGATGTGTTTGCCGAGCTTTGCATGACCCACTACTTTTTCATTACAGAGTGTAGACGTCCAGCTGATTTTTTTCAGCATCAGCGAGGAACTGTGGTAGCTTTGTGGCTGAGGTCGTGCTTAGGACGTGGGTTTGATTTCCAGCCACTGCTGCCACATTTTGATAAGGCCACTGTGCAAAAACATATCATATATATGGGTGATTCCAAGCCAACTGTCCCAACCTTTCCGCGCGACCATTTCCGATTAACTTGAAAAAAATTCAGTGCTGTCTACCTAAAGCCAAAAGTGTTTCCCCAAAACATTTTTTGCAAAAAAAAAAAAATTTCATTACTGCAAGCCTCATTTAAAAATTTCCGGAAAGCTCGAAACCATAGCTCATAAAACACGTTACCAAAAAGTCCGTTGTTCTTAAATTAGGTCAAGACAAATTTTTACCTTTAGAACAATGATTGGCATTTTACTTAAAGTAAGTTTTATGACCTTTTACGCTTTCGTGGATTTTTTGTGACATCAAATAGGGAGAATCTGGTTCATATTGGGGATTTTTTTATAGAAAAACAAAATTAGGGGAAATGTGATAGTCAACATTAGCATGTTGCCGGAAGGTTTTACTGAAGACCAAAAATAGTTTCAGACGTATACAGTGCAAAATAAATTGTACAGGTGGCGACATAGTCACAAAAAGTTCATTTCGGCACATCTTCAGCTTTTAATTCAACCATGAGGCAGTCCTACTAAAATAAAGCAGATTTGGCTACTCACTGGCTACTCACTCAGAAATTTTTATCAAATTAATTTTTGTTTTATGCCAGAAAAATATTTTTAATTTGTGTGTTACCGCTCTCAGGGTGAGTACGTGTTTATATAGCCGTAAAAATGCGTCCTAGCAGTAAGTACAAGCTTCACAGATGTGGGGGATCATCTGGACAATGTAATCAGCTTTGTCCCTGTCTATTCAAAGCTAGTATTACCCCTAGTTATTACTTACAAGCTAGTATTACCCCTAGTTACGAGAAACGCGGGACCTACTAGACAGAATTTAGCCACGTGCCGCCATCCGATGGCAGCCTGCGTATAGTATACGTGTACAGTCAAGCCCACATATAACGGCCCCACTTACAACGAACTTTCGCTTAGAACGAACAATATCCGTGCAACAGTCAAAATATACATTGGCTCAATGGCACAAAATCGCACTTACAACGAACGTCTCCGAGCGCCGCTGTTCTGTTACAGCAAACGGAGTCAGCGGTCTGCCGACTTCCCTGGAAACCAGTTTCGACCACCCATCAGGCATCGGCGAGGTGCCCATACATTTTTATAGTTAAACGCTGACCCTGCCTCCGCGACCCTCTAGTTGCCGCTCTCCCCAACCCATGAAGAAAGGAAAGTTGTTTCCTTCCTCCATGCCCCGACTGCTTTTTGTTATGCACCCCTTTGTCCTTTGTCCCCCCACTACTCTGAGCGATCCGCATCGCCAGACGAGGTCCGTGTTTTCACATTGTCACCGATCTTTCGAAGACCGGTCAGCCATCTACCTTGTTTTTGATCGCTGGCACTGTCGTTGGCGTCGCCGGTCTGGAGTGACCAGACCATTCACCAACATCGTCGGCCACCGACTGTATCCGATATTCGGCGTCTAGTGCACGCGCGTACGCTACTCCACCAACTATGATAATTTGCGATTATTTCGTGTTTAAGACTTCTTCTCGCTCACGTCGCCCTCAACTCAGCATGCCTTTCGCGCGCATGCGGAAGCACGAAATCGGCTGTTATTTTGCTCGGAACGAATCGTGAAGTATCGGATTGCGAGAACGACGAAACATTGGAGTCAGTGCCTCATGCAGCTTATGCCACGGGTCTCTGCAAATGAGCACCCTGCCGTTTTAAATGAACTCGAGACCGCCGTTATCGCTTCTGCTCTTCTAAACACGTGCATCACAAACTTTTTGGGACAAAAAAAGTTTGCGTTTTCACTCGCAACTTTTTAAAAAGCTGTTTCATTTACTACGAACTTCGGGATACAGCGAACAAATGCCACGTCACGCTCAGGTTTGTTATAAGCGGGCTCGACTGTATATGCTTACGCAGCGCCGGAAAGTGGTACCGATGTGTGCAACACATCACTACCTATATGCTAACATTTAGAAGTAGGAAGATCACGATGAAGCAAAGGATCAATCGAAGGGAAAAAAAAAAGATTAGCTGCTTGGCAACTCATTAACACTTTTGAGCTGGCCCTGCAACACTTTTGAGCATGGTCAGAAAACGCTGCCGATCGCTAGTAGAGGCTCCCGAGAACATGCGAGCCAAATGTTATAGCGCAGCACGCGGCCTGGAATTCACAATAAATTATCACAGCTAAAAATTGCTTTCTCTTCCCTTGACAAATAACGGAAGACGCTCAAAAATTACTCGTAAAATGCCCATCCATCAGCCATTGGCTGATTTGAACATGGCGCGCTTGTTCGTTACAAAAATCACCGCGGGAGGCCGTCACTTGTCCACGCATGCGCTTGTGATCGCACTGAAAAAACCGCATAGTCAAAGAAAAAAATATATATATAAGTGGTCAAGGTCATGAGCCACTCGTGACGTTTTTTGTTTGCCCCTTCCATCCCTCTCTGATTAGCTTCCAGCACTTTCATCGGGATGAGTGAAGAGAGAATGCGATTGCAAGCGTGTGACAAACCTTTGCAACTCCGCTCGTGCTGAACGGACTCTGGAAATTTTTCCGGCGTTGTAGTATGCCAAGCACCCTATTGAAAGTGCCTTATGCCTCTTTTAAAAGTGAAAGAAGCATGTTTAAAACATAATACATTGGAAATAGAAATGTCCTCTAATATGCGATCCGATGTAGCTTGATGCCCTCATGTTGTGGTTGTAATATAACGAAGCTACACCATGGAAAGACTTGGAAGGTCAAGAAACTGTGCCCTATAACATGCAGTGGGAGACTTCTATAACTGCGTGATGTGTGCAGCTTCTGCAGTGTCGCCTGCCGAATTGTACTTTTAAGAATTTAAAACAGTTACGACGATTCTCGTTTCTTTTATTGTCATGCGCACCGCACTTACGCAGTTGTTGATAGAGTTCCAAATCACGTTACCTGCGGATTTACTCAATGCCTGCAACCTCTCGCCTGCAAAGCATGCCCTGTTTTCAAGTAAAATAAATGTTCTTGTTTCTGAACTTCGGTGGCACAAATTGTCAAATATGTCGGAGGGCAGATGCTGTCCAATACATCACTGAGAAGACGTACCGTTATAATATCTGCCTCTTCATCCGTTGTAGTCATTATAATTAATGATCAATCACCAACTTGCCCAACTCTCAATCCTATTGAACTTCATTGGATATGTGGTCATGCAAGGAGATGGTATTAGTCATGTCTTGTGAATGTTGCTGTCCTTTTTTCTTTCCTTGCGGGGAGCAGCAGTTTATGATGCACGAGGAGATGGATGTGGCGGACAGCTTAGATGACCTGCCGACCCCGCGGCAAACGGCGCGCAACCAGGCTGCTGCGCAGCGTAACCACTTCCTGAGGCAACGCCGGAAACCTCTGGCCATGATTGTCTTCGACACTGAAAAAGAGTCGAAGCTCTACGAGTGAGTGGATCATTTTGTAATTGCAATTTTACTGCAAGTGCCTTTTTTCCAGAATATAAGACGGATATTTTTGAGTGTGCAGCTCTTATGTGCTCGTTTGTGGGCTATGGGACGTCCACTTGTGCAACTGTGCAGCGAAGATGGAATGTAAAAGGAGAATGCTTCTGTGTCGAGTTTTTGTTGAAAGATTTTCAGATGGTATGAATAAGAGCCCTCTCGGAAACGGTGTGCGAAGCTGACATGGAGCATTGTACAGGTCCGGGAAACTCCGGCATTGTGATAATATAATACCAGACACGGAACATGTTTGATGTGTTTTGGTCAAGGTGTGATATGTAGTAAGCATCCAATCCTTAAAGGAGCAGACTCGGTCTTAGACTATTTTTTGTTTATTTCTTCAGTGATCTTAATCAAGCTTCACAGGATTATGCAGTTTTTTCTGCTGATTTCAAATATTTAATTAGTTTTCCTGTAACTCATCTTGTTCCTGAGATAACTTAAGTTCAACCTCTATAGTTTAAGGCCGCCATAGAAAAAAAGTGCTTAATTAAAAGTGATATTTAAGTATGCAAGAGTTTTTTGTTTGTAGGCCTTTCTTGATTATTTTATAGGGAAATGAACTATTCATTTTCAAAAGCAGTTGAAATTGTATTAGAATTTTGATGAGTAATTAATTAAAAAGGCTTGTGCTCTCAATTCTGCTCCCATACTTGCATTATACACTCATACAGGTTTACATTGCAAAAAGAATCGTTGTTATACCTGCCCTAGCTGCAGAGATATTGAGACCTCAAAATTGAACAGTCGTAAATTTACTTTTTTGAGAAAAATGGAAAAAACTGAAAGCACACAGCTTTTTCAAAAAGCAACAATCATGCTGCGCATGTTTTGCAATCCTCATAAAGATGCTCATAAATTCGTAGCCGAGCTTCTAACACAGATGCCGGCCAATTATAAAGAAGCCTCGAAGTCGGTTCCCCATTTTTTTGCAGGTTCTGCATGTTAACAGCACCAAGAATCTAGACAGGTAGAATGACGTTACAAGAAAATTACCACTTCCTGGTGTAAATTTGCAGATAGATAGAAAAATACATGCAGAAACCAAATATGTCAATTTTAAAAATGAATTTTTTTGTCATTGTCTGGTCTTAATGTCCAGTCTGCCCCCTTAAGGGGGGACGCGGGTCTTAGAAAAGTAAAAAATGGCCAAAAAATCGATTTTGAGAAAAACGCATTTTTCGAATCTTTGAACCTATAAGCACCTCTCCTCAAATTATGAACGCTAAATTCGATAAAAAAAAAATAGGTTAAAATCTATTTTCAAACCATCACGGGAGTCGCAAAACAACCCACAAAACAGAAAATTTGTTCGAACTTCCCGCGCGCACCACCAGCGAAGCAGCCGGCGGATCGGCGCCATCTTGGGCTTGTTTTGAAGCTGGTTCCTTTGTGCGCGTTTTGCGGGCTCTCAAAATGGCGTAGCTCCAACACAACGACTGCCCTCCCCCGTTTTGCGAAGCCGTCTGCCGAACCGCTGATTGGCTAGAGCGCGCGCGCGCCGGCGAGCCCCCCCGTCTCGCGCTTACCATTGGCTGGCGCGGCGGCGCGGCCACGGTTGCTCGTTTTTTTTTTGTTTGTTTGGTTTTGCTCCGTCGGCGCCTGCTCTCGTGCGTGTTATCTCGTCTGCTACCCGCTCGTGTACCGACGTCGTCGACGTATACGTCTTTCTGCATTTCGCCAGCATGGCTTGGGAAGCTCGCCTGAAGAAGAACACTCGTCAAGCTTTCGGAAGGAAACGAAAGCGAGCGTGGAATGCGCGGCAGAAGGGAGCGGCCTGCGCGCCGCCGAGAACGCCGGAGATGGCCGAGGCAGCGCATTGATGAAGGATGTCTGGGACAAAAATGTGTGTTTTACTTGAAATAGTGTTTTATGTATAAAAGGGCGATGTTTTTATATATAACATGTGTCTTCCTTTGGTTTTCAGTGCACTAGAACAGCCACAAAGTTGTAGACTGGGTTCCTTATACTGATTCAACGGCCAGTACACAGTTTTTAAATGAGCTGTGGCAAATATTTTGGGAAGGTGCATTGACACATTTGGTACAGCCATACTCGCATAATGTAGAGCTATACAATGGTGCCATTTTTATTGCTCTAGCTTCACTTTAGCAAAAGTTACAGTTATTAGAAACTTTAAATGCGTTTTTCTCAGTTCGATGCTTTTGTGCACCACACTAAACCTTAGGGGTTTTTGTTATATGTTACTGTTGATTGAGAATGACAAACTTGGTATCATTTTATTTGTAATAACATTACCTATGGGGTGATGCTATTTTGATTACTCTAGAAGCATACTGTTAATTAGAATTATGGATAGTAATGAGCGAAAATTGAACAGAATATCCATTGTAAGTGCTGGTCTGTTTTCTTATCTATATAATAACTAAAAATTAATAAAAATAGCATCACCCCATACAGAAAGCCCTCAGCATTGGGGCTATGCATTTATTTTTTGGATCTGGCTTGCTTAAGTTGCCAAAAAGCCCCCAATGAAGTGCATAATTAATTAAATTACAGATGTTAATATCTTTTTATCCACTGAAGCTATTTCAGAAACAATTACATATTTGAAATCAGCATGAAAAACTGTCCAAGATGGTGAGGTTTGGTCAAGATTGAGCCAAAAACAGAAAAAAAATTTTAAAGACCCATGTCCCCCCTTAAAGGAGCCCTGCAACACTTGTTGAGGGTGATCAGGAAACGCTGCCGATCTCTTGTAGAGGCTCCCAAGAACATGCGAGCCAAATATAGCGCAGCACGCGGCCTGGAATTTACGATAAATTAACAGTCAGCTGAAAATCGCTCTCTCTTTTCTCGACGAATGACGGAGGAAGCGCAAAAATCACTTGTAGAGCGCCATCTATCAGCCAATGATTGATTTGAACCTGTCATGCTCGGTTGTTACAGAAATCGCCGCAAAAGGCCGTCACTTGTGCTCGCGTGCGCATACCTGAAGGGAAAAAAAGAAAAAAAAAGTGCTCAAGGTCACGAGGCACGCGTGATATATTTCCTTTGCCTGTGTCATCCCTCCCTGCTTAGCTTCCAGTGCATTTGTCAGGACTGGAGAAGAGAGAATGCGATTGCAGCGTACGACAAATCTTTGTATATTCGCTCGGACTAGACGGATTCTTAAAATTTTTTCGCCGTTGAATTCATCAGGTAATAAGCTATTTTAGTGAATTCATTCCTTGGTTACTTAAAAAAGTGTTCCAGGGTCCCTTTAAGACTCCCTGGGGATTACGAAATTGTTCAAAAAGGTGAATTCATGCTCTTTCATTCCTGTCAAGCAATCAAATCGCAACAGCCACATTCAGAATTGCTTTAATGCCTCCCACTATACTTATCAGACATTTTGGTGCGCACCGAAGCTCTCGTGAATACACAGTATACTGAATTTCGAGTCTGGCAACACTGCAAGATAATAAATGGAGCCAACAAGTGGTTATGGTCTGTAGCTTTCAGTGGCGAGTGTGCTGTGCATTGTGTAAATGGTTCACGAAGTTGTGGTGTGAATTTTGTGAGGTGTAGTGGTTTCGGTGGACAGTGTTTTGTTTGTTGATCATGGATAGCAAAGTGGAGCTGATAGTAACCATCAAGATTTGCATAAAACTTGGTAAAACAGCTACCGAAACCATGAACATGATTGAGACGTCTTCCAACACTAATGCTCTATCTTGAATGAACATATGGCATCAACAGTTATGTAAAAGTTGGGTGGCAGTCACAGACAACCATACACGCAGTCGTCTGGTAACCTTTAAAACCAATAAAAATGCTGAAAAAGTGTGTGAAAAGCTGTCTGAAAACTGCTGTCAGGCCCTCAGTGCGGTAGCGCTGGAGCTAAGCATCAGCAATGACACTGTCATAAAGATCATGAAACAAAAAGACTAAGATGTGTTCCAAATTCCTGCCCCACAATTTGACAACAGAGTAAAAAGTCCAGTTATCATCACGTTATGAGTGGGTTAAACTGGCAGAAAATGACCTAAAATGATTTTAAAAAGTTATAATTAGGGGTGTGTAAATACGGGTCTGCAAATACAGTCGAGCCCGCTTACAACGAAGCTGAGCTTGACGCGGCATCCGTTCGCTGTATCCCGAAGTTTGTAGTAAATGAAACACGGCTTTTAAAAAAGTTGCGACTGCAAACGCAAACTTTTTTGCCCCAAAAGGTCCGTGATGCATGTGTTTCGAAAAGGCGAAGCGATAAGGGCGGTCTCGAGTTCATTTATAACGGCAGGGTGCTCGTTCGCCGAGGCCGCTTATGCCACGGGCATAAGCTGCATGAGGCACTGGCTCCCAAGTTTCGTCGTTCTCGCAATCCGATTCCTCCAAATCGCTCTCGCCACGTACTTCATTCACAGCGCCCCAATCCATGCACGGCTTTGCAGTGTTGGCCTCATCGCCGCCCGTAATTAAACCACCGCAACAGATGTCCCACCCGCTCTCCCAGGTCTGAGTCGACGACGCGTTGCCACAAATCGCTGCCGCAGTTCGGAAGCTTCAGGCTCAGCATCGGGCCCGACGTCGACGAAGTCGGCCTCGCGAAAACAGTTTCGCGCGCATGTAGCCGTCACCGCCGCCCACGAAATATTCACCATCTCCACGCTCAGCTGAATACCGGGACGCCCGAAGCGGCAATTGGCTGCCAGGTGGTCAATAGCTATGAGCAAGCACTCCGCAACGCGGCACCTAACGCGCGGATTACGCTCAAGCCAAGCAGTCACACTTTCGACTTTTTTTTTTATTTATTACATACTGCAGTCCTATAAGGACCAAGCAGAAGGGCAGATGGGAAAGTTACATGTATCGCATGGTAGCGGTGAATACATATCAATAACCACGCTTTGGTCATACACACGAACAGTATAGATATATAAACAAATACACACATACATACATTTATACACACATTTTCAGGTAAAAAAAAAAACGTTGCA